TGATCCACACCTCTGGATCTCTGGCAATGGCGATAAGCTCAGTTTCTTCACAGGCACCTGCATCCCTCATCGTATCCCGCCTATATTGTCCCATTCCCTCATTCCTGGCACATTTCACAAATTTTGAGGGGAATTTTCACGGTTCTATCGTGCGCCCGATTCGAAAGGAGCCCTTTGGGCAACGACCGTCTCTCAAGGGCGCATATATTCGCGTTTATGGTGATCTCTTCAAAAAACACTTTAGCCCTTCGTTGGTACTTCGAAACGCCGAAGTCATTACCATACAGCATTTGACGTACAGCCCTCTACCAACTTCGATTATTCCAGATACTTCGTACTAATGTCGATCTCCAGAAGCTCGACATCATAAGCCTGCGACAGCGTCAGAGTGCTAAATTGGTATCTTCTCAGGTCTTTCGTTAAGCAGCCAGGAGGCTTCATATCTGCCTATCGACGCCGCATATATTTACCCTCGGACGAGGAGAATCGCGGACGATCTGTCGGGGCTATTCGTGTTCGATGGTCTGGATCCCTCATTGCTGATACCCTGTCCGCGTCCGAGGCGTATCCTCTTCCTGTGGAAAGGACACAACGTATTTCGAATTCGGAGTGCTCCATCCAATATGGGCCCGGAGAAGCATTGACATCCACTTGGACGGCCTTCATTGAGGCTATCAGTTCTAGCTTACCTTCCGCGCAGAGGACGGCCTGCCAATGCTGTGATCGTTGACCTTTGGAATTCAGTCTTGGTCGCAGAGGATAAGTAAGGTATTAAGCGCCTTGTATATCGACGAGCTCGTTGTTGCGATTTTTTTGCGGCAAGTGACACGTGGGGTCGAGATCACGATCAAGAGCGGGATTCGGGACATGATAGAGTATTCGAGGGCACTGTATGAGAAAGTGAGGTTCGGAGTTCGACTGGAGACTCAGCTTCAGGACCCTCGGGAAGCTTAAGGCCATAGAGGGCACAATGTGGCGACTCGGATTGTATTGATGGACTGAGAAGGGTTTGCGAAAGGTATAGGAAGATTTGGAAGTGAGAAAAGTAGGAGTACTTCACCGTACGGTACATAGGGAAAGATTTCCTGCACAGCCGTTCTCTCCTCTCACTGTCTTCGGGTGGTTGTACCGTAGAGTATTCATGAATAGGAGCGCTCGATCGAGTCGTCTCTCTAGAAATTCATGGTTTTATACTTCTCAAGGGAAGAAGGTCATTGAAAGACAGCGCCGTCTCGTTGACGGCTGCCCCCGGCCGGTTTTGCCACGCAGAAATTATGTAAAATGAGAATAGGGGTTCGCCGACCCGGAGTTTCAGAACTTCGTCTCAGACGCCCATCCTGTTCCGACCGAATTTCCTTTCCGGCTTGCAACGAACGACCTTCGAAAGGACGGACACTATATACTAGCTAGGCGAGCATGAAACGAGACGAAGGAACCACCACTTCCTTCCTTCCTCGCCGCGCACCACATCTCCCCCCTCGCCGTGAGCCCGGGCCCATGAACGACCCTAGCGGTCGAACGCTAAGGCTCTTCCCTTCGTCACCGCCTCTGCCACAAATTAAGAATCACACACCGGTACCATTTCGAATTCCACAAGCCCGGAAAACAACGCCTCGGCCTCTCAAGCCCTTCTAGCGGGTCCCTTCCACCACGATTCGGCATTTGCACACCCCTACCCGTCTGGGATATCCGGGCTCTTCCATGCGTTGTGCAGGGCGCACGATAACGGCACCCGAGCGGCCTCTATCTTCTACAGATTCCAAGCAGCCGATCCCATGACGGCGGTACAAGTCCTCGACGAGCTGACCGGGGAAGATAGGAGCGACAACGACTTGCTCACGTTCCTCCTCGTGTCCGTGTTTGATAGGGACCGGGAGGCGGGGGTGAACCTCTTGCGCTTGGCCTGTACCTTGCCACCGAGGCCGCACCATTCGTCCCAACACGCAACTGTCGGTACCAGCCTCGCAGACGAACATCCGAATCTTGAAGTTTCATGGTTCACGTCAGTGTGGGAATTCCTCTTGAGCCGTACGTTGCGGTTTAGCGTTTCTGCGATAGTTGACTGATTTAATGGGTCCTTATAGCGCTCAAAATGATATAGACAAGAATCATTCTTCGTACTACGATTGCGTCCAGGGATTGGGTGGATTTGCGGCGTTTGTTCATCAAGTAATGATTCGGCTCTTCTATAGTAGAGTATCTATTATTATCACTTGCCATTTCCTTGCCATGCTGAAAAAAATTCTGTCCGGGATGTGACATCTGTGTAGTGAAAATCCGATAAATATATCTGACTTACAGAATACCCTGCCCATGTAGCGGTGACGACCGTGAAACCCGTATTCTGAGACGAGCCTTCGTGGACTATAAGCAGTGCTAGCGGCACATCCTCGACCAGAAAGGCCCCTGTGTCACGCACGTCGACTTCCGCGTTAATTCGGACGCGAGAAGAACCCCGAATGCCCGTTTCACCCTCGGGTATCTGAGGGCGTCGCAGGCTCACGATGACAAGACGGATTTCAAGGTGTATAATGTCCGAGTTGTCAGAGAGCGCTAGAGATGGTACAGACAACACCGTTTTGGAATACCAACAAACAGCAAAAATGCATGTAGAGGGGTGGGAGGAAATCCAAGACCTTCCGACAGCGAATATATGCGTCATCGGAAGATGCCGGCAGCCCAAGGCGCTTCAAGTTCTGTCTAAGCGGGACACACGATGAAAGGATTCCTCCAATCTTCCAACCGTGCCAGATACTGGAGAAGGGAATAATTTGAGAGATGGCACACAAAGATGCATGCAGACGGTCTAAACTTCTGGATAACCGTCGCCGTTGCGAGGGATCGGAGGCGTGGATTGCACCTCTGTTCCCTGTACGGCGAAAATTCGTCCAGTTAGAGCGGTCTGCAGTCAGAATGATGCCACACAGACAAGGGTGCAGGAGAGCCAGGATAATTGAATGCGGCTGTGTGGGGCAGATGAGAGACAGGGAAATCAGGCCAAGGGAGGGTACTTGGCTCGATGACTGCATTCAATGGTAGGGGCCAACCACGCACAGCAGGCGGCATAGATTCTGTTTGGAAAAACCCTCCCTGTCTGCGTCCTGAGCCGTTGATGCACAAGAATGGTAGCGTAATCGCTACTAATACGACAGAGTGTATGGAGGATAGGATCCAAAGGGGTCGAGAGGGCGTTCGATACGGTGGGATAGCAGAAGGAAAATGTACGCGTTGGCTACGATGGGAGGAGAACACTCCAGCATATACTGAGCAGAGAAGCCTTCCGAGATTTCCAAGATCCAGCGCCAACGTCGCGTTTTCGATGCGGAATCGTCAACGAACGATTCACTGGATGGTTAGACCTCGGAAGGCCTCCCTACTGCAGCAACCGCTTGGTGGGAATAGCTGTCGTTTACGCGCTCGCTCAGGAATAGGTAGGAGTCGGTGGGCAGAGGAAGGAAGGGGAACATTATCCAGGGGTAACGCACAAAGCGTGAAGGGGACTAAGAATTGAGAGGAGATGTGGACGACGTGGAGGGGAGAGGGAAGGGAGGCTCCGGTAAGCGGCAAGGTGGTCACCGACTACGCGGGCTACTCCGAGAAGACCCAGCCAAATAATCACAATCATTGAGCTCACGCTCTCCACGTCCATTGTGTCCTCCTCCCTCTCCTTGTCCTCCCAGCTCCTTACTATATCAGAGCCACTAACTTGATGAGGTCACACCCCGTCCGCTGACAAAATTCCCGCCATGAATCCCGTCGTCCGTAGGAAGCCTTTTTATTCAACTTCGACTCTAGATTCCGACGCTAATGAAGGTCGTCCAGGTTCTTAGGTCCCAGCCTCGCGATTGCGATTTCCCTCCTCATCGCAGACAACACGTGTCTTTCGCGTGTCCCTTGTGCTTTTTGTCTTCCTCGGCGCCTCTTCTGTCCTCTCCGGACCTCTGCCTCAACATCGTCTCTCGACACCTCGTCCCTCGGAATCCCCATCTTCGCCAAGTCCGAGTCCGACTAAACCTCCCCGAGTACGGGCGATATTACAGCTCCCCTTACCCAGACTAAGCACATGGACGGCATAGATGGCCGCGAAGGAGTTCGCGATCGCCACAGGGCTCGTAGTGGTCGGAAACGTGGTGCTGGTATCGGGCGTGACTCGTGGAGGATAAGGTGGCGGTGAAGGATGTACGTCGATTCTTGTCCTCTTCTATTCCATGACGTCCTACTTACCCGACGTCACAGGGCCGAGATTTTGAGATATGTCTGCGCCACCTCTGGACCTCGCCACTCTCGCTCTCATCGTGCATACGTAGCCCACCCGAGACAGACGAAGAGCGCCGAGACCTCCACGCGATATTACTGTTTGGGCTACACGAGGAGGGCGGCGTAGCGCTGTGGGCATAGACGGTGTGAGGGGGGGGAGACAGAGGCGGAGGCAAAGGTCGAGGAGGCTAGGAGGGACACCGAGCGAGTAGAGAACAAGGAGAGGAAGGACGATCAGAACAGTAGAATGTAGAAGGTGCGTCTCCCGTTATATCGATATCTTTTCGTCATGCTGATCTCCTCTGCCTCTCCATAGCCATCTAGGTTGATAATAACCAGACATTTTCGTACCCTGGACTTTCGTATAAGTAACAATGTGATCGACGCTAAAGAAGCCTACGCTGTGAAACGCCTTCTGCCTGCTCGTACGAGCTCGATGACCACCCATATACACAATGATATCAACTACCGCCAGCTCGTTCCAGGCCTCGAAAAAAGACCTTTAACGTCAGCTGGATACTCCACGGATAGGCTACCTGGGTGCACATCCGCCCAACATTCAACCTTTGCGAATCGTGATTCGAGCGATAGACACCTTTTCCTTCTTGAAGAAAGAATGTGCTTTCTAATGATGCGATCGGATCGCTCGAGCTACGAAATCGCGGTTTTACTGATCGACAACTGTCATTTATAACGCTTTTGCTGTCTCTGTGCGTGCTCCTCTGCGTATCACATCTTGCCGAATGGTCAGCGGAAGATTTTGAGGTAAGCAGTACGTTCCGGATGAGCTACGTGTCTGTTATTCATCAACGTCAATTTTAACAACCTCGAGCGCATTTCTCGCTAATGAGAGTCTAAGGTAGGTAAGTTGCATCTTGCATAGGTCGCCGCCTCCGTTCATCATGGATGATACGGATAATTCTGACGATTGGGTTCTCTCTAAATTTAGACCGGAGTCACCAGCACCACCACATCCATCGCAGACCTATTGAATAGCTGTCGTGGCCCCAAACGTCATTGGGGCACATCGAAATTGGTGAGTAGCCCAATTCCCCACCCTTTTTCGAGCCTCTGAAGTTGAACGTCTGAACAGCCAGCGTCAAGGAGAGTATATGAACACGAGGCCGTTCACTAGATTCGATCAACTCGGGGCACGGTGAAGCCAATAAATAACGCACCACTAGAAGTGCGTCCCAAGATAGACATCAGTGCCATTGACGTCCGTGAAATGATTCCACAGCTGTCACCTCGGACTCCGCAGAACGACACCTCCGTCCTGAACGCTTTAAACGAGCTTCGAGATGATAGGCGAGCAATACCCCCTTTCCTTGCTCTCCCGTTCAGACGATAGCTTCACAATGGATTTCGCAGTGGAGGCTTACCTGGAGAAGAACCTTGTGGCGCCGTACGTTGGAATGATTCTGGCGACAACGTGAGTTCCGCTTTTCCCTTGATGTGAACTGCGTTCCAACAAGGTCTTCCTTAGCATCTATGGCATCACCTGTTTACAGACTTTCATTTTCTTTGGGAGCGGGCGTGCAGACGGGCGTTATCTTAAATCAACGGTAGGTTTGTGATATTCATCTGAAAGCTATGACATTCACTGCCCTCCAGATTGCCCTCTTATGGTGAGGATAATTGATTCTTCTTGGAAGACGCCTTTGACTAGCTCGACCTTCGGATCAAGGATTGCAGACACGGTTCACGAAGCCCTCATCGCCCATACACTGTACATCTATATTTCTTCGAGCTATCATAATCGAGCCATCTTGTACCGTCCGCCATGGTAGGTGCTCCGAGAAGATCATTCAAATTTTTGATCCCTCAGTCATAACTTTAGGTCAACCCTTGTTCAGATGTATTTTGCAGCTGCTAGTGATTTTGCCATCCGACTGTACGTACCCGATTGTCTCTTCAACGATAAGCCAACTTACATGGTTACCCGCTAGCATTTATTCGCGACGAATATACATACGTAGGTTGTCAGGCACTATTGACCGCGGTACTCCGTGGACAAATCTATTCTGTGTTTGCAGTTCTAGCTCTGCGCGAAAAGAAGACTCTTGCCTACTTGTTAGTTGCAATAATCGTGAGTCGCAACGCTCTTTTCTTCCGAGTCTCATTAACTTTTATGCAATATTTTCAGAACCTACTATCTATTGCGTCTACAGGCAAGATACTGTCATCCGTTCGTGACTTCGCGGGTATTGATGTCAGGCCCATCATAACTTCGAACAGGACTCGCTTTTGGTGAATTTTCTTTGCCGTCTTCACGCTGTTGCTCTCGAACTGATCTATCCGATTCAGCTTTTGCCACTATTGGGTGCGCTCTTCACTGATGGCCAGAGGGGTAGTCTCATGCCTCGCCACATAGGTTTAATTTGACTACCTTCGACTTCCCAAGAGTATCGGCGAGTAATCAAACTTTCTCCCTGCGTGAACCGAGTCCTAATGTGAGTAATTTCTGAATAGTGGGCTCTGTATAGCGGTCTGGGGTGTTGTGCGGCGGCGGACTTCATCATCGCAATATCGCTCTCCGTGCTTCTGATTAGCAGTCGCACAGGACTTCGGCGGTTCGTGATCGTCTTCATTGGCGGGACACTGCTCATGTCTCAATCCGCTTTTTCACAGAACAGATTCCATGATCTCCTTCCTCGTTGCTCTGGCGATTAATACAGGTGAATGCCATCGATGATCGAACCCTCATCTGCCCTCTCAATAACTCGACGGCCTACCATTAGGTCTTCTTACTAGGTATGTTACTCTGTTCGGAGTCGACGAATAGACACACACAACCACCAAACAGTCTCTGCGCGCTCGGGTGCCTGATCGCGGTGAGCTTTTTTGTCCAATCTCTTGCCTTATTACTTCATAATTCGTCAACCCACAGTTTGCCGTATCGTCCAGCACCATGATATATTTCGGATTTTACATCCTTCTCACAAAACGTCTGTCTTTCATTTGTTATCTCCCGGGTTATGCATAGCTAATGAATTTCAGTATATTTCAATGCCCTGCTCGCATCCTTGAATACTCGAGGCATCGCGAAGGCCATCGCCGATGGGACATCAGCTGGAAGGATACCCGCGCTGAGGGTCCTTCCTGGTTTCCACAGAGCGAAGGGAGACTCCGACTTTGTGGATCTATCGAACATATAAAATGATTGAGAGTGAGGCAAGGTGAATTCGTCTTTCTCAACGCACTCGTCCGTCACGGTGAAGAGCAGGTTGACATCGACGCGTCGCTGCGCTGCGAGAGACCAATTCACCATTCTTTTATTATTATTTTTACCCTCCTCGAGCATCGCCCGTGATTTATCACAGTGTACCGTTAGGAATGAGCAAGGGTAGTCTATTTGACGCCAACTATTCAAGTTCTCAGAGCCATATGCCTTAGGGTCCGCCAAATCGTTGGGAGGCCAAAGTCGAAAAGAGGTTGTCGTCGAAGGGAAGGACGGAGGAGTTGGGACTAGCTGTGTTGAGGAAGATACTGGAGAAGCAGGGTCAGTTGACCATTAAATCAAGGAAAGGAAAGGGCGGGCGTACGCCACGAGGTTGGAATAGTATTTCTTCGACCGATGTCCCTAGCACGCGTGGAATCTGAGGCCGACGCCAATCAGCCACGCAGCCGCGGCTTCCTCCATGAAACCGCAAAGGAAAATATGCGTTGATTTCGACTGACATTCGTGGGCAAAGCTTTTCTACACAAGAGCGTCCGGCGCTTGTGGAGGGGACATTGAAACTCGAGGAGTCAGGAAAAAGACCTGAAACGAGCGCCCAGGAGCAACGGCATGCCCTAGAGGTCGAGGTAATCTTCGCGATGAGATTCGATTATGGAAGTTTCGAGGCCGGGGGTCACCTATTTGAACAGTGACTTTGCCTACGGAGAGTGAGACTTCAAAGACTTACCTAAACCCACTGACGGAACGCACGTGCGAGGGATGAGTGGAAAGTTACTCACCTTGTGGAAGACTGTTTACGATCGCTGAGTCGTGTCACATTTCGGACATAGGCTCACTTCTGGGACGTGCCATACTTAAATTTCTTTCTATGTCATTATTCAGTGATTCGTCTCAGCCCTCCGATTACCTGGAGCTATTTTCTCTGATGACTCTGAAGGCCCTCAAGTTCGTGTCAAAGTTTGTGAGGTTAGTCGACATAGGCAGCCTTTTTTATCTATTTCCACGCCTCAGAGCCCTCTGCGCTCTAACGCTGATAATAATGAGTAATAAGCTCTCGTTCCCTTTATAATCTGACAGTCTGACTATGATATATACAAAGAGTGTGTGCTTTACCCCCGAGTCCTGGTCTGGTACGAAGTCAGCATGTGGAGAATTGAACAACGAGATGAGAGAACCTTAAGTGTTCTTCCCTTCGGACAGTGCTTGGAAGGCCTTCATAAGTTTAGGAAAGTTGAATAAACCTGGGGACGGATCCAAAGCCAGGTATCCTGAATGGAATCGCAGCAAGAAATCCGTGCTATTCCCAAATTCTAATTGAGAGCGACTGGTGTTGGAACGGCAATAACGCAGAAGCAGAAGGGCGATTAATAATGTTGCAGCGTCTATCGATTCAAACCCGTTTTCCTTGTCGCGCAGAGCGAGCTTCAGGAATGTGATAGCCCAGAATGAAGGCGGGTCTGGGTCGTTTATCACGTTTGGGTCCGTGCAGCGGCATATCATTTGGACGAAGACAAGAAAAGCCGCTGCACGCATGGCACCTTGCGTGTAAAGGGGGGTTTCTGGCCCGTTTCCTGTCAGCTACGAACGGAAAATCAGCCCGTTAATTCTCTATAAACCGGTGTGAGGGAATTCTGAGATTTCTTACCTCCCAGGCTAATTCAAGATCCCCGGGAGCTCGCCTCGCAGAGTTGCCATTTATAAACCACATGAATCCTGTCGTCCAATCCTTCACGGAATCCACGAATGTTCTTCCACGGCGTGATTCCGAGGCCTAGGCATTGTGTTGGAATGTGTTATACATCTCGACTTTGAGGGAAAGATGGCTCACAACATAAGTAAGAACGAATCGGAGGGTGTCCACCATGGGTTGGAAAATCGCCATCATCTTCTCTTTGTACGGTAGATTCTCTGTGGTATTAGCATCGATGCTTGATGGACAATCACCAAAGTGATGCCATAACAGAGCTATTGAATCCATTAAGCCACGAGACGGCGGGCGGCGGGGATAGTCCTTTGTGATACAAGCGACTATGAGCTACAGCACCGATGTACAATCATTGCACCCACCTTATTTCGGAATACCTGGCCAATGTTTCTCAAACATGCCTCTACAAAACCGCCCAAGAAGTTGAGGCCAAGTCTATCAACATCGCTATAGTAGGTCAAAAAGAAGGGGACTGCGTGGCCCATGGTATCGACAATTCTTGGCGAGAGTTTGGCACATCGACAGTGATAAAAGAATGATAAAAGTGCAAAAATGACGGCCATAGGCCCAGGATCGGCTCGAAGATCTGTCAACCATCGTTTGTAAGCTCGTTCGTCTTGAGAGCAGTTCAACATAACATACCTCGTGATACGAAGTCCATCTCGCTTAGGTAGGACTCGGCGATCGTCCTATGGGTCAAGGACAGATCGAGGGAGAGGTCGCCGGCGCGCACCGGATCGAGCAGGAGATCCAGGAGTGATGCATACAAGACCTTAATTTCTGCATCCCTAGATACGACCTTAATAACCGAGGCTAATTCTTCGAGATGAAAGTTTATTTCTCCATGATTGAGATTCAGGGCTTTCTCAAGAAAGGATGGACTTGGGTAGTTGATGCCAGAAGTTATGGAGATGGGATAGAACACGCCTTTCGCGATGACGGTCGGGGTCGCACGAAGCTGGATCATTCCAAGGATGGACCACAGGATGGAGATGTCCTTGACTCCGGAAAGAATGTGCCGATACAGCGCATCTAGCGTTCCAAAGGGACTATTGGAGTTCGGTGAAGGGGCAAGGCCAAGGACGATCCTCAATTGGTTGTCAGGCTTCTTTTTCGGGGAGCGAAGGAATCTGATGACGGTGTTGGCATAGATGAATTGTCCCGACGCACGCTGAACAAGGGCCATGATTTCGTGTTGACTTGGCCACTGTTCGGGAAGGTACTGCCCAAGCGAGTGCGTGTTTCGAATCCTCTCGAATTCGTTCAGAAGAAATACACATATGTCGACTGCGGAGTCTGGGTCCTCACCGAGATCAATTTGGCGGATGTGGTCGGTCTGAAAAGCGGGGTCACGATTAATGACGGCCATGAGATGGGACTCTGGTCGGCATGCAATGAGAAAGCGGAAAGGATACGAAAGTCGGGGGAGAGCAGTGATGAAGAGGCGAAGTAGGTCGCATTGGATGTCGGGATCGCTGCTTTCGTCGAGCCCATCCAGGACAACCAATCGTGGTTTGGTTAAATCTGCGGAGAATGGAACGAATGTCTGATTGAAGTGTTTGATGAAGAGGCGGTCCATCTGAACGGCGCGTGATAACTCGAGGATCCCTGGGTTGTCCTCGATCTCCTTGAGTACAGGGTACTTAAGCCACGGGAACACTTGAATAAGTTGGTAAACGAGCGTCGGGATGACCGCGTTCCCATTACTTCGCATCGGGTTCAGGGCAGTGCGCGATAGGAAATGGGTGGAAGCGAGGCGCCCCTCCTGTTGACATATTTCGGCGACAGACTGAGCCAGAGCCGATTTGCCTACCCCAGCGGGACCGTGGAGAATCATGGCCGACGCAGACTCATCCCCTCCAGCCACCCAATCCATCATCTCCTTCGTGATCGTCACGCGGGTCATTGGGTCGCATCTGGGCGGATCGAATCGTTCATTCGAGTCAAGCTGCGCTCCGATGCAGCAATGTTTAATAAGTAGTCCTAGAGCTGTTGTTAAAAACGTCAGATTCATCAAATGTGGGGGTTCCGGTGGAATGACTTACCACGAGATCCCCCGTCTGTGTGAACACTTGCCTGGATGTCGATGTTGCTGCCTATAATATCACCCGTCGCCCCTGCCAACACAGAGACACCCGTTTCCATTTGGATGAACTTCTAGGGGAGCCGGAAGTGCGTTGAGAGACGTAGAAAAGGAGGACGGCGATAGGAAAGATTGATGAGAAGAGCGGACGTGCTGGGCAAAGTCTGTGGGTCCACTTTCCCAGGCTGCACACCTTTAATCTGATCAGCTGGCAGTACTTGTTGACAGCGAAGCCGAGTACAGCATTGGTAAAATGCAATTTGGACTCACGATGCGAGAGACTCACTCTCCTGACTCCAGACTCTAGAGCGGTGTACCGTCAACTTGGCGATCGCTTGTTTATCATTGAACCAGCAGCGTCAGTGACGTCGCCTAACAGTGATTCAAGGACGGGTCTCGTTATAGTTCTGACGAAAGGGCCATGCTGTGGGTGTATCAACTAGGATTGTCGTCTTGGTAGGCATGAACTTCATCGACCCGTCTGAGGTATGGCCCTACGATTTGCTCTTCGGGATTTATCTCGTAGTGCTCGGAGAACAGCCACCTTCGCTAATAACTCGAGTCCTGTTAGTAGTGGAATTAAAGATGGATGATGATATCATAACACTACGTACGGTGAAACCCCCCGGACAATCCTCTCAAGGCTCCATATTCTCGTCATCAAAGCCGAATCTGAATGCCATCTAATGAAGATCACGAGAGGCATACATCAATCCTCTCCGACCACCATCGCTGAACCATCTCGCAAGAGAGGTCGTCGACGCCGGGCGCATCAACAAGCCTTTCATCCATGCCCATGATACCAACTTTCGGTGCGTAGTACCGCCTTTCGCCGATATGCAACGGCGAATCCTAGTGTCGAGTTTGGGATCTTCCTCGCCCTCCTGGCCCAAGATAGGTGAGGGCCAGTAGCGCGCGGATACGGGGGGCAGGATGCTTGTCGTGTCGTGTACCCGGACCGCGTAAGATCTTTGGAAATGAAAGGTAAGACGCCAAATCCGTCGCGTACAAGGAAACCACTCACATTCCTACGTTCCTCTCAGGCTCTCCTTAGTCATTGTGTGCATGTTCGGTATGGAGTCTGCACCTACTCCTGCCATCCCGATTCAAATCCGCCGTGGGTTTGCTCTGTGTTGTGGAGTGTTTCATGTATTCGATCCACCGCACCGAGCCCTGCCGGCCGGCTGGTCGCCGATATAGACGTTGAGTCGCTATGGAAGAAGGGCGGGTCCTCATTCGCCAATGCAGCCACCGTCTGTGCGAACTGAGCAGCTGTGACAAGGTTATGAGTGCTAGAATATCAATTCGGATGAGTCTGACAACTTACCTCGCTGGTGCCGACACTGTTCTCTGCATAGTCGCCAACGAGGAATGGCTATGAAAGTAGGGTTAGAAGACATCTACCTATGTGGACAATGTTGACACTTACGCTGCGTCGTTGCCAGACCGTCTTGCCGCCAGGAACGTTGAGCTCAAACGATGGACCTCCGTCTTCGACTGGGGAAATACCGATGCCTATGTCATCGCGTATCTTTCTCGTGCTAGACGCGGAAGGTATCTCCAAGCTGTAAAGGCTTGGAAAGGAGAGATAAGGAAGATAGTCCATCGTGTACGGAGCTAATACTCACATGTGCATTTATTCTAGCTCGCCCGTGTCTTGAATATCTCCGCCAGACGTCACCACCCGTAAATATCGCCTTCAAGGCCACATTTTGGTCACAGATTTTTGGGGTTAACGTTGCGAATGTGCTGGGGAAGAGACATGAGTCTAGGGTACGCAGGTAAATTCTCGAATATTTGGGCAGGCGACGATGATACGAACCTGCCAGGATGTATCCTAGGTGGTAGTAACCAACATTGATGAAGACGGGCTGGAAAAGCAAGATAAGAACTCGCTTGTCCATGTAGATGACTCAGAGGCCTACCGGAACCGTACCCAGCTCGCCTTGCCACCTCGAACATCGCCCTCAACGCTCCACCTTAGTTTCGAGTTGAGGCATGCAGAGGTCCGCTATCGCCATAGAAAGAACAGGTAAGATATATTGTTCATTGTGTAAGGTGGTAAAACTCACTCCGATGTCTCTTTCGGCTCATCTTGCCACGATCACGTCTGGAGTTGCTTCTACGACCTCCGCTGCCATTCTCTGGACTTGAACCCGCTTCCGCGTCCATCGCCAATTCATACGCTCCATGTTCGTTGACCAAGCCGTTTCTTGTGGCGTCACTTGCTCAAAGTCTGTGGTAGCCAACATAGTCCATGGAAGAAAGCGACGGCTGGCGCCGAGGTGAATTTGAGCGATAAGCTCTACCTAGTGAGCGGAGACGAGCGAAAGACACTGAGTTCCAGGTTAGCACGTATCGCCCGCCGAGATCTCATGAAAACTCACCCAAAGCCTGCACCGGCATCTCGAAGCCAACATCCACCACAAACGACACCCTACCCACGTCCATTGCCTCGTCTCCGATAGAAATTCCCTTCCATGAAGGATTTTCTGACGCTGAATGAAAATTAGATACTCAGTAGGTGCTAGAGGAAACCTCGCCAAGTTGAACCGACCTGCAGGGCTCAAATGTCCTAGAGGCGCGAGGACGACGATGCCGCGGCCTCCCCACTACGATTAACGGCTGAGTGAAAGCTGTGGAGGACCCGGGAATGAGATGCAGGTCACGTATATGTAGTTGGAATCCCAACGTACCTCAGCAGATTGTGACCCTAGTTCAAACCTGCTACTTGAGGGCGAGAGTTGAGAGTGTTTAACGACCTTCGATGATGTCAAATGACTGAGGTTTGTATTCGGTGTGTCCAGAGCATATATCGTCTCCAACTCTGAGTCTGCGGTCGGGTGCCAGAGGCAAAAGAAACCACTGAGAGACCAAGAGACCAAGCCCTCGACGCCTCGGACGCGGTAGTCGGGCAGCGGGAATTAGATCCAAAAAAAGCGTACGCTGTACAGACGAGAATTATCTACGCCTTTGCATCATGCGCTGGTGATAGGGAACGGGAATGGGAAGACAGGCAAAGGCTGAAGATGACCTCAGAGATTGCGCGTATTTGTCAACACTCTCTCGGCACCTCCGGCAACACATTCTCCCGAACCTTTCACACGCTTCTCTTATCCACTCCATGTCCTCGCTGCTCCGTCACAACGCGATCCGACTCTCAACGATAAGGTTTCCTCGTCATTCTCTCTGGGATTCCTGACGCTTTGCCAAATTCCCTTCCTGTAGACTTCGTTAATTAGGAGCAATAGCGTCAGGCAGCGCACCGAGCAGGGATATCAGACGGACTCGGCACTCCATTACACCCAGCGCCGTGTGCGTAGGTGACTCGATATCGAGTTGGCTTCGCGGCGTTGGATGTTAAAATGGCTGTAGAAAGCCCTTGATCTTCTCCTCTGTCCCTCTGCGGCGTTTCTGGATCAGCGTAGAGAGGTGTGTACTTTACGTACATTCCTTTCATCCTCCCCGTCTTTCGCCAAAGTCACACATGCTCGCACCACGTACGGGATCTCTGTACAACCTGAACAGGTGGCTACCTACGCCTATACAAACTATATTTCTTCGATATCTGCGGACAACGAAGGAGGAAGGCAAAGGAGGCAGCAGGGAGACGTCGTCGGCGAATTCTACCCAACATATTGGGAGCCATCTAACTGTGCACGATGGGCTCCCGAATATGGGTATTTATGATTCCGAAATAACACCGTCTCTCTGCTCTCCCTCCTTCGGCTCAGATATCCACTCCGATGCTCCCAAAGTTCCCAGACCACGGTCCAGGACCTCTAATTGCTCGCCTCTGATCCTGCTCTCTCGCACTTTCCTTCCTCTTCTGCCATGAACTGTCAGAACACACTTCTTCGGGCAGCACCATCGAGGGATAACGCCGCTCGTTTCGTTCAGATGCACACTTCTCGTCATCAGTGAACGGGGTTATGCCCCAAGCCTCTAAATTCACCGCTATGGCGATATGTCGTTCATGAGGTGGAATGAGTGGCTGGATCCTTCCTAGTATTGCCTCTGTTCTCCGCCATTCTTCACAACCACTACTCCATATACGTCGCAATGTCAATAGCAAGCCGCTCATCCTATCTGGCAGACATTCTCATCTTTGAGCTGGGACGGAACCGTGTCCCAAGCCTCTTGGGCGATGACAGGATCGTATTGATGTCGGACAGAATGAGCAGCTGCGCCCCTCTTCATGTGGCATCTACGGTCCGACCCCGTCCCACCCGCATCCGCCTCGCGCTTTCTGGCTTTGAGGACGAAATTTTCTCCCATACATCCACCTCGTCCGCCTGAACTTGGAACTTCGTCGCTCGCCCGAAATGTCTCCTAGAATCACGAGAATTGGACGAAACGCCCGATTGTTCGAGTACCTTCGTCACTTCGCGATAAGGCAGGCACAAACAACTGGCGAGCGTCTGTAGCTGTCCAGTCCAGGTCATCAGAAAGCCCAAAATTAGGTACCGTGAATCCTAATGGAGATACAGTCTAGAGACGGAGCGCCACCTCACGACAGCCGAAGCACACTTTCCGAAAGTGCGTGCGATGCAGCGAGTCTGTTTTCGAACGCCAGGGAAAGAAGAACAAAGAGCTGTGCAATGGACGTGTCGCTCTTAGACGGCATATCAAGCTCTATATCACTGCTGAAATCGTGGTAGGAGTGAGGTGGACCTCCGTCGGCGTGCTCCTTAAATTGTGCTGCGCGAATACTCAGGTCCCGAAAGATCAAAGAGAAGTAAAGGGTGGCAAGAAGTGTGTGTTCGTTTCCTGCTGCCTTACTTGAGTTTGTGGATCGTTGTCCGCAAATACTGACCGGGATCCAGCTGATGTCGGTGCAGGTAGTCAGTTAGGTGGACCGGGATGCAATAGTAGAAAAGACCAAAGATGGATGTGATGAGCAACAGAGCAGTCAAAATAACTGAGCGGCGAGTCCACTAGATTATGTACAGTGCTACATACCAGCCCGCAACAACAACTCGATAACGAGTCAAGAATCCTGCGATGGATGGACGGGGCTTGACCATCCTTCTGCTTGAAAATGTGATCCTGGGTACGAAGGGGTATGTGATGCCAAGAGTAAGAATAAGTGAAAACACAGAGAGTGCAAAGGGGATGCTAGTGCCGAGAAAATGTTGCGACAGAGCGATGGGATGAGGAGGAATTTGGAGGAGGGGAGGCGTGTGAAGGTTTACGTTTCGGAATTGACGGGAGAAGAGATTCGGGAGGTGCCGAGAGGGCCTTGACAAATACGCGCAATCTATGGGGTTATCTCTTCGCCTTTTCCCCTCCTCATCGACATCGTGAACTGCCAGGTAGTCATGGAGTCACGGTCATACAACACACTCTCCGTGGATCCAACGATATTGTCTACAGCATCTTGATCTCATCGTCTCTTCCGAACCGCAACTCGCAGGCTCAGAGATAGTGACGATGCATAGTCCCCCTCAACCTCCACTCGTGTACGATCTCTATAGCCATCAAGCGCCTTCAGCGCTCAACCCTTATCCTCAAGTAGAAAGCTTGAACTGTAGATGCAACGCATGGCGAAAGAAAAGGGTCGTGCGCCACATCGAGGTACGTTGCTAATTAGCAGCCGAAACTCAGATACATAACCCTCCTCTCATAGCTGTCCCCTTCACAGCTTTCCTCCGGTGGTCAACAGCAGTAGACAGGCTGTGTCATTCATCTCTCTCATGTCTCTAGAATGTTCAAGTCTCAAAGGTGAGAACAACACGTCGACGTATTCCAGAGCTGCGCTGAATATCCGAAGGTCCATCCAGCTTCGGCGGATCTACCGTAAATGGGTGTCATCAGAGACGAGGCAATGGACGCGGGTGGAGTGTTGACTAGTGACGGTGGATGTTGGCTTCGCGGCGCTGATAGAGACATTGGGTGAGTGTTGCGAAAGCTTTATTTCAGGTGCACGACATATGCTTACCTTGAACTTTCAGCCTTTCGCTGTACACTCCGGCCTATGCATCTCAAATTCACCCCGAACGAAGAAGTCCTTCTCTCACCCTTGTCAGCGGAATTCACAGCGATGGATCCAAGGAAATGATGCCATTAGAAACGGTTTCCGTGAACAAGATGCGAAGTGAACGAACCGATGACGGACGCCGGGGCGGATCTGAGTTGAAATGAGGGTGGCGAGTGGGCGGTGGTGGTTGCAGAAGTGGCTCGTGGCATGATAGCGGCCAAGATGATCCAGAAAAGACCTCAGAGTGAGTGGTGTATTCCTATACGACGAACAGGACCCCTTAACTTTCGTTTCTGCGGCACTAGCGGACCTCACTACGACGGAGAACCGTGAGGATGTAGTCGAGCGTCTTCAAGATCGAAAGCAGCAGTCGATATGGCTTCGAGGTCGATGTTCGCGTCAGCGAGGAGAGCCAGGAATGGCCCGAGGTAAGTGTCCTCCTATCTACGCGAGCACATGAATTCTTATCACAGTCTTCCAGCTTATCATCGACGTCGGTTGCTATCACCTGGGCTACGTCATGGTAGGTTCGTATCATTGTCGTCTATTGGAGCGGCGAGTACTTACTAGTACCTGGCATCTCTTCTGCAGCACGTTCGCAATGACAACTTAAAGACCGATGGTCAAGAAACCGGCGTTGAGACGATCTAGAAGAGTCAGCGGCATAGACTTTCTTGACGAGGATGATCCAGGATGGACATCGGAGTGAGTATGTACATTGGGCGATGAAGCAGGTTTCTTACCTCTCGTTTTAAAGCTCTTAGAGGCCGGAGATGAATTGGGTGTTGAGCGTAATCAGTTAAATGAGGGGACAGATATGATAAGATTTTGAACATCTGGCAACAATGTTTTGTTCCTTTGCTGTCGGGCGGTACTCGCAGGCCCGGCCTGGCACCCTCTTTCGTTATAATTGGCTGGTATCCGAAATAGATTGAGGCTGTACGCGTGTCGTGCATTCAAACCGTCAGATAAGAATCCGCAGTTCCGCACCTTGACTCCTTCCACCACTAATCTTTGCGCACGAACACAATCCGATGGATGAAGATATCCTCTTGAGGTAAATCTCGCTGTTTCACTACTAGCCGTTTGTACTGATTCATGTTCTAGGTCGCCGTCACCATTAGCGACTACCGACTCTACCGCAGCGATAGAGAAGTTCGCAGTCTTCACCTCCATTTTTCTCGTGTCCGACCTCACGCATCCCTAGCGAGGAATTATTTCTTACAGGTAATTATTTCGGCCACTTTAAAGCCTTCACGTTGAAGGATTTCCTTTCAGACATTACTCTCGAATATAAGGCCGACACCACGGCGCATACCGCTCCCGAGGAACTAACCCTTGTAATATTCGGGCCATACGACGAGATGGGGGCCATGCTACCGTTGGAAAGAATATCCGAGACATCATGGCGGCACGAAGGGATCGTCGAGATGTGAGTTCATGTCCTTCCTTATTCTCCTTCGCTCAACATCCCCATGAATGTCCCACATCAGGCCTGGCATCGGAGAGGAACTCATTATGATCGCCTTTTGGGACCTGGAACCCGGGGTCCGTAAAGTGGTTTATCATTCCGTGGAAGGTGGCGCATTTGTTACAGTTGCTGGAGGCTTGGTCATTGGTGAGCACATCTCTCTAATAATTCTCAAAGACGAATTGTTGTTTATGAGAGTATTTAACTTCGTCAGGTTCCTGGGAATTTGTGGCTGACATAGATAGTCCAACGTTTACTGTGACATTCGATGTCTGCACGATCTTGGCGGTCGAACGACGAGGCGATCAAGATGAGGATTCTGCGGGTGCGTTCTTCTTTTTTTCTGTTCCCGGAATCTCGTACGATCACACGAATAGATGTAGAAATACCCGATGAAACTGCCAGAACGACGCCATCCGAGCCAGGAGCTGCTCAGGCCGAAATCGAAGTTCCTGATGACAACTTCACCGGCATGCTTCCTCTCTTGACTGACGTTGGAATGCTATTCTCCAGTCGCTTCGAACACACCGGCGACCTCGCCGACATTTCCAAGGCCATATCAATTGAGAAGAGGCTCGTTGCTCGCACACCGGACGGGGATCCTAACCTTCCTGACAGGCTGACCAACCTCTGTATATCACTTTCCACTCGGTTCGATTCCACAAGAGACCTCTCTGACATCTCAGAATCCATTTCTTCTGGGGAGAGGGCATTAAATATAACACCCGAACGCGATGAGGACATGCGTTCCCGCCTCATAACTCTCAGCGCTGCGTATATGTCTCGCTTTTCCCTCGCACAAGACCTTCATGATGTCTCCAAAGCAATATCTGCCCGAGAAAAGGTTGTCCAGCTCACTACAGAGGGCGACGAAGACTTAGCCGTGGCGCTTAATGAGCTCGGAGAATCTCTGATGCGGCGCTTTGAGCACGAAGGCAATCTCACAGATATCACAGAAGCAATACGAGTGCGAGAGAGAGCAGTTGACCTTACTCAGGAGGGCGATGAAAATCTACCTGGTCGGCTAAACAACCTCGGGCTTTCGTATTTCTGTCGCTTTGAACACAGCGGGGACGTGAAGGATATTTCTAACGCAATATCGCTACAGCAGAACGCGGTCGATCTCACCTCCGAGAATCACGAGAACATGCCTGCTCTGCTTAATGGCCTTGGAAGCTCACTCATGTCACGCTTTGAATACACAGGAGACCGTCTCAACATTGAAGGTGCAGCATCTGCCCTGAGGAAAGCTGCGCGACTGGCACCCGAGGGTCATGAAATCGCAGCCGCAGTGCTCAATAATCTTGGGATGGCACTTTGGGGTTGCTTCCAGCGCTCGGGGGACATCAACGAGATTTCTGAGGCCATATTAGCTCACCGAAAAGCTTCTTCCCTCATATCAGCTCTCGAACGGCCAAATTGTCTGAACAACCTTGGAATCTCGTTCCGACACCGCTTCGAAGAATATGGGGACCTTCTTGACATTTGCGAAGCGATATCCGCCCTCCAAAGGTCCGTCTCCTTGACCCCAGAAGATCATGTAAAGATGCCAACTCGACTCAATAATCTCGCGACTGCCTTCCTAGCGCGGTTCGAACACACAGGAGACCTTGCCGACGTTTCTGAGGCAATCTCGACCCAACAACGTGCGGTACGCCTCATTCAGAAAGACCACGCCACCATGCCCACCCTGCTCAACACCCTCGGCTGTTCGCTTTCCGCTCGCTTTCAATATACCAAAGCTCTCGAAGATATTTCAAATGCAATATCGGCGCATGAAAGAGCGCTGAAGTACACTTCGAAGGAGCACACCAACGTGCCGTTATGGCTCAGCAATCTTGCGATTTCGTTCAAGCTTCGGTTCGAAATGACAGCAGATCTTTCAGATATATGCAAGGCAATATTAGCGCAGAGACAAGCCATCGATCTCACTCCCGAATGCCACCCTTACCTACCCACCTGGTTGAACAGCCTTGGAATATGTCTTACGCTTCACTTCGAATCCACTGGAAACACGAATTCAATAGCAGAGGCGATATCAAAGCACAAGAGAGCTATACGGCTCACCCCGGAAGGCCATGGACTTATGCCGAGCTTCCTGAAATCCTTTGGAGATTCGTATTTAAGTCGCTTTGAACACACGGAAGACCGCTCGGATCTCGAGGCGGCTGTTTCCAACTACCGTCAATCTGCTAATAGTCGCTCAGGGCCTCCTTCCATACGTCTCGATTCTGCCAAGAAATGGGCTGAATTAGCCATGAAAGGTAGCCCGTCAGAGTCAGAAGTCATGGCTGCCTACGAGACCGCCATTCGCCTCGCGTCTCAGGTTGCAGGACTAGAACAAACAATCGAAGTGCGCCACTCTAATCTCATCGTCAATATTTCCGACTTAGCAACCACAGCTGCTGCTATTGCCCTCTCATTTGGACGACACGGAACCGCCGTAGAATGGCTTGAGCACGGCCGCTGTCTGGTGTGGTCTCAGATCAACAATCTCCGGACGCCCCTTGAGGTCCTACGTGACAAGGACAAAGAACTGGCTGATCGCTTCTTAGCTGTATCAAGAGCCTTGGAGAAGTCAGGTTCTCGTCCGGAATCACGAACTTACCATAGCGAAGACAAGTTACAGGAGAGAATGGCCCTCCAGGACGAAGTTCACAAGCACCATAAATTCGCTCGTGAATGGGAGGAACTCCTCGCTGATATTCGTCGTATCAAAGGATTTCAGGGCTTTCTTCAACCGACGAGTATGTCTTCCCTTCTGAGCCTCGTACCGAAAGCAGGGCCTGTCGTTGTCATCAATGTCCACTCCACTCGGTGCGATGCCCTCGCGTTGCTTTCTGGCGCCGAAACCCCCATCCATATTCCTCTCGACAATTTTTCTTATGCCCGAGGTAATAATCTGCGGGGCCGTCTACAACAGGTCCATGGAGCTCGCTCTCGAGGGGAAGAGGAAGAAGAAATTCGTGCTGGAAGGCGAGTAATCGCCAGAAATAATAACCTTTGTGAAATTCTTCTCGAGTTGTGGTCCCATGTTGTGAAGCCTATTCTTAACCGACTCGCAACCCCAGTAGGTGGCCATGTTCTAAGCTCAAGAATGATTCTGACCGTTCAATTCTCTAATCTAGCTTCATACTACCAGTCCTTCCCGCATTTGGTGGTGCCCAACCGGTCCATTGGCTTTCCTACCTATCCACGCCGCAGGAATCTACAGGGGGGATAGGGAACAAGCGGAATGCCTTTCCGACTTTGCCGTGTCCTCCTACACTCCCACAGTCAGCACACTTATCGAGCGCACAATAGAACGACCTAGCACAGAGGGTCCAAGACACGACAGTTTCTTGCTCGTCGGTCAACCCAACGCGCCAGATCTTCCAGCGATTCCTGGAGCTGCAGCTGAAGTAAACGCTATTTGGGCAGAGCTGAGCACGCACAGGGTGGATGCTCTTCGCGTGCAAGATGAAGCCGCGACGATTGAAAAAGTGAGAGAAGAAATGGCGACTCATCCCTCCATTCATCTTGCATGCCACGGATTCCAGGACACTGGTCACCCCTTGAAGAGCGGCTTCGCTATGCACAATGGGTGGCTCGAGCTCTCTGACATTATCAGGATCCACAACGCCCACGCTGATTTGTCGTTCTTATCAGCCTGTCAAACTAGTACCGGCGATGAAGAGTTGTCGGAGGAGGCTGTTCATCTGGCTGGGGGTATGTTGGCAGCGGGATATCAAGGTGTGGTGGCTACCATGTGGGCGATAAATGATGGATACGCCATAGACATTGCCAAATATTTCTACAGAAATCTTCTGAGCAACGACCGCGAAGATGGTAAGCAGGAGGAACCGATGAGTGCTAGGGCACCTTACGCGCTTCATCAGGCGTCCCAACGTGTGCGAGATAGATTCGGCGATTCGGAGAATGCGCTTCGCATGTGGGTGCCTTATGTGCACTTTGGAATGTGATTTGGATAGTGTAGACGAGAGACATATATTCTGTGCGCCACAATTGCTGAAATTAAATTGGCTCGGATGACCTGATCGACTTATCACTCGTCTGAATACATTTAGTAAGCAAAATCCCTCCTATTTTCTGCCTGGTCGACTTGGCCAGTCAAGCACATTTGTACATCTGCACATTAAGAATCAAAACTATTGTTTTGTGAATATTATAACGGTTCGGCAAGTTACTACCAGTGCTAGCTGGAAATGTAGTTGGAACGCGCTGCAGGTGTGTTGCGGGACATCGACGGGAATTTGAAGCACAGGCCGACCGACTAGTAGCTGTGTAAGGAGTGGTAGAATAGTGTCATACCATCATGGACAACAGGCCCACCGCCCTCTGGAGTCGCATCGGCTTTCGGGGTCCCATGTCTTCGAGAAGTTGAAAGCTATCATCAGGTCTGTATGTTTCCGTTCGACTGCTCTGGGCGCGGATGTGCAACAGAACTCGACTCGTGAAGACCGCGTGCAAGGAACGGGACATTCTAGAATGTGTAAATTATATCAGGATGCATGGATGCCGGAACAGGAAAATACATACCCTACTGCGAGGAACTGATAAGGGGCAGGAATCTGTCTTTATATGAGTGCATGCTCGAAGTGATGCGGGTTCTATCAGAGGAGGCATACCAATATATTCCAGCTCAGAAGGAGGTTTACAGTTGAGAGAACTGAGGAGGTCGAAGTTCAGCCGCAATTCAGTTGGAGAAGCAGGCCGTGCGGTTGAACTGACCAAACATGTAGAAGTAGTATGTAATCCCTGTTCATAGAGGCAAGAATAAGTTGCGAGATGCCCAGGGTCTCGTCCTTTGGGGCTTACCTTTGCTGTAAATAGTTTTGAATAACACCGACTGACTTCCACTCCCAAAATTATCTGGAGATTCGAGTTGTCAGTTCAAGTCAGCCTAGGTTCCGAAATGCAAGAAAAGTCCGCTTGCTTACATGCCTTCGCAGCAGGAATGACCATCAAGAAGAGAGAGACTATGAGCCAGTAAATAAGCGTGCACAGAAATTTCGACAGAAATTGAGACGCACGTGTATCCCAGATGAGTATAAAAACCCAGCTCAGTGTTATGACATTGTCGGTAGCCACTATGACGCAGCCCAAGAAAGGTGGCGCGACAGCCGTGACTGGGAAAGGACGAAGTTGTTAACAAGGGCTATACCGTCTCAGGGTGAAGTACAAGTGAAAATGTACATCTGACGACCAGTATGAACTTGATGAGAAATACTGCAGTCAGAATCCAGCAAGCGGCAAACAGAACGGGAAGAAGGAACATCATGACTCTGTGGCAGTTCCAGACAGCCCAGATGCGAAAGACAAGGATGACTGAGTATAAAGCACAATGGGAAGAATGGTCAACTTGTGAAATACCGAGACAGTTAAGAATTTACCGACTCTCTGAAGTCACTAGTCCCACCAAAGTAAGTGACTGGCCCACGTAGTTGGCATACGTGCAAAACTCGGGAGTGAGGTTCGAGCTGAACGAGACTGGGCAAAAGGCGTGAGGTCTGAGCAACCGCGCTTCATTAGACAGAAAGTGCACACTCACTATGGTTCCCAAACCACAGTATGTCAAGGAACGGGATGTATCATTGAATGAGGAAGACAATCTTGACGACCGTCCACCGCTCTGGCCAGATATGCTCTACCTCCAGTCCCACCATTAGGAGGTAATCCCATAGGAAGATGGCGACTGGAAGACATCAAATCACTGTCAGCAAGATAGCGCAGAACCTGGAAACAGATAGGTGGCCATACAGTCTATGCTCTGCAAGATAGGGGTTAACCTGGTCCAAAGGGCGAGAAGCGGTAGAAGACTAACTTTGGTTATGCTCAACAGGCACAACCTCTCAACTATCTCCGTAAGATTGAAGGGCTCTGCCATTGCCGCACAGCGACAAGATGATGAACGGGGAAGAGAGCTCATTGAGCAATGGGCAGTGCAGGTCTCAAATACGTAGGCTCATGCGCAGGGTCACACAGGCATGACGATGACCGAGGACAGTATGGAAGCAAAGAGCGTCTCGCTATGCATACATTCAATGAACAAGCCTCACTTTCATTTCTGTTTTGAGACGTCAATTCAATTGAATCATCACGGCACAAGCCTGTTGCACCTCGCAGTGCACCTGTCACCAGCAAAATACTTCCCTCATACTTATCCAGGATTCGTCAACGAACTCCAAGGAGACGGTCCTGGACCGAAATAGAAGACAACTCCTAACTTGAATGTGGTTCTTCGACCTCTTGAAAGTTGGAATCCAAAACTTATGTGGCGCTTGGGCAGACAAGAATGCTCATTCCTCGCGGAGAAGATGATAAACTTGTGAGTGGACATTGTGAACGGTTGTACTCACTTGTATAATATGACATTTCTCTTCTGTCTGCTATTCCTGGACCCTCTGGTTGTCACCTTCCCTTCTTCCACCCACCCCGAGACCGCCGTGCCCTCGAAACCGACACTTGGTACAGTCTGAAAGAGAGATTCTGTATGTTGCGAGCTGGCATTCGGCGTTCAGGAACTTGATCAAACTTTGGTTGAAATGCATGAAGACGGGAAGATCTGGGCGCCGTGCACCTTGTCCAACCGACATTCCATAGAATCTGCAACTGGCGACACCTACAAATGGGGCGAATGAGCTTAGTGCTTTAGACACCACTCTAGCACGTACATTCCAGGAATACCTCGAATTTGAGCCCTCTCATTCAAATGACATGCTCTCCTCAGCTTCTTCCTCGTGAACGTCCTATCCTCATCCGGTGTCCGCACTCATTGCCTGTCTTTTCCAGAGCTTGAAAAAGTAGGACAATATCGTGCTATTGCAATTGGGAGTGTCTTTTCCTCTGATGGCCAGGGGTTTGTCATAGGTGTTAGCGGCCGCAATGTAGGAAGCGTTGGCGTTGCGGAGCATGCCTAGTGGAGAGAAAGGGACAGCTGAATCTTGGCTGGGATCAAAGATGGGTGGGGTGTATGGTTTCAGATGGCGGTAGAGGTTCTGTCATTCATGTTAGATGAGACAACTGAGGAGGGTGATTAACACGACAAGAAAGAAAGCCTGTGATAACATACCCGTAGTCTTAATGTGCTAGTGGAAAAACTGGTCTAGTAGTTGCTGCGAGAATTTGTGCGAATCCATGAAAAAATGAATCTCCAATCTGCGTTCTCGAGTGAGTAAAGGGCAAGAATCAACATCAGAATACTTACCAGGTATCCTATCGGCAACTTCTCCTTCAATCCTGCGTGCCCTCTTCAGCATCCTACATATGGTGATCGAGTCCTTTTATGACCCATCCGACACGATGTGGAGGTTCAATTACTTCGAGGCTGGGCAAAAGAGGTAAGTCAGAGTGAAAGTGGCAAGCGGAGAGCTGGAATACGCACACATCTCTCAATATCATCAGGGTATGGTGTGCGTTCGTGTCCAAAGAAGAGAGTAAGAACACATCGATATGCCTGCAAGCAACAATGAATGGGATCTCTGCAGAAGGAGATTCATCGTACCATTATGACCCAACTCCTCCATCCCATCCCACTTCTCGTCTGCATCTTCCTCAGCGTTCAAGGTGGGGTCTTGACAATGGGATCAGAGATGGTTGAGTCTGGAATTGTCGATTGGTGTTGAAGACATTTTTGCCATAGCGAGGTACCTTAGAAATTGTGGTAGTTGAGAATTGGCATGATAGTTTGCAAGGAGACAGTCAATGGCCATTTGGAGGTCATTTGAAAGAGAACCACAGCTGGATGTGACAAATGATGAACGTAAGCAGTTATGCGTTACGCTAGTGCACAGGCCGATGATAATCTTATCTTATCGTTTTTGACCACTTGTTCCGCCATAAATCAGAGTACAATTTACAGGTGTAGGGCATGAAAGGCTATCAGAAAGTGCGACGGCACAGATACAAAGTATCTTGGGAAGTAAATCTAGATCGTACATACCTTGCATGGGTCAAATTTGCTGTAAATTACAACAAGTAATTATGTATGTGTCAAGAGGCGGAAGAGTCAGAAGCAGGTTGCAGAAATTCGCAGCTCTGACCACATAAAATATTGAATACGTGCGGCGCGGAGTGTATCTCAATGTGCATAGTATACTACATCTGACCATCCGAGCTGCTTGTCGATTTGAATGTCTGGGAAGTAGATTAATGGGGCAAACAGTAGAATTTACTTCTCAAAAGTCCATCACTGTCAATGTTGAAACTGTCTGCAAGTATGTAGCAGTAAATTGATAGTCATAGTCCATGTACCACCATGTGGTCATAGAGCCCCACTGCAAAATCAACTCTCCCCATGTCCACTCTTAGGCATTAATTGAAATACCCTGCGATAATCCCCCCTGTATCAACACCTGACTTCCGTCGGTGCCATTGATAGGATAAGTGTTTGTGAACACGACAGTGTATGGTGTGCCAGAGAAATAGAACGCATATGGGATCTACAGCACATAATGTTTGAGCATCACAATATTCGCAATCCGTCGACATTTTGACGTTGAGATTGCTAAATAACACTGACCTGAGTTGAGAACTCATCCGAAAGAGACCCAGCCAGAATCATGTGATGCGCTAGCACAATGGGGGGCTCGTGGCCATTATTCTCGGATGCGGGGACTACGATGGTGTAGTTGAGATAGGTGGGCACGATGCCAAAATAGTTGACAGTGCAGGTGAGATCAACTTTGATGTGAATATCCTATTCGTATCATGGGTTTAGAGGTGAGTACTCTGGTACGAAGCATGTGCATGACGCAGGGTCTTACGTCGCCTGGGTTGTATGAAGTAGCACCAGTCGGGCTTGAGACGGTGAGGATGCCGAACCTTGTAGCTTGCAGGCAGGACTGGCAAGGGAGAACACTGGCTGAAGCCACAAGGCCTGCGAGGTAGAGGACAGCAGTAGAGATGGCGAACTTCATTGCTGAAGTTATGTAAACTCGGAGGGGAGAGGCTCAGGATACATCAAGTAAGTCAGGAGAGATGTTGAAGTCATCAGTAGACAGAGGCCAATTTATAGCATCGTCACTTAAGCCGAAGGCCGAAAGAGGGTTTTGAAACGTGGGGTTGAACGACCGCCATTGGAGTGGGATCATTCCAAGTAGACTCGAGAATCACTGTTATTTTTACGTGTTCCGTTCTAAAATTAGGCAGCGTTGATGTTCGAGAATCAATGGGTAATCTGTACATGGAATTGAAGTTGGAAGCCAGGTCTCCCGGACTCTGAAAGCGAAACGGGCTTGACAGTCGTACCCAATTCCCTCAAGCATTGTGTATCAGCTGGGCCACATGGGGCCTGGTCCACCGTCTCGTTGTCTTTTGCATCTTCTCCCCGCTGTTGTTGTGCATGCCCATACTCTCCTGCATTCCATGATGCTGACATTGGAGACGTGCCTGTGGGCAGTGGATAAGACTGCTCTCAGAAGCATGAAGCAGGCAGAAAGGGTGACAGGTCAATCGGATATCTCACTGCTGTTGCCACACCTTCGAGTAAAATGCGAGCGAGCAGAGCGGGAATATTCAATTGTCGTCCCCTTTTCTGCCATAAGCCCTATGCCCACAATATACAATGACTTGTGTGAAACTGAAGCATGCTAGAGTATTAATTGTATTGCAGGGAGAGAGCTACAGAAATGGCATCAAGAACATCAAGATGAGACGAACAGCCCTCATGGCACAGCTTCATAAAAATGCATGCACCAAACCTCCACTGGAAAGCGGAGAGGAAGACGATCCATGCGAGGAAGTGTGCATGGAGGACTGCTCGGCACGTCATTGGAGTGCAAACTCTTGCTCATGGCACGAGGTGGACAACAGCCGTACCATTGAGGAGCAGGAAGCCGGAGGGGGAATAGCGGACATTTCAATAGAGAGGGTGGTTATTCAGCTTATAGATTGAGGAAAGGGGTGTACCGATTGCACCGAGCACTAGAAAATCTTTAGATATCGATAGGGTCGTCTTGTCTTGCCATTGTCTGACCTCGATGGTGCCAATATCTTCCAATTTGACTGTATACAGCCTTGATGTATCGCTTGTGCATCATGGAGATGAGAGGAAGGTAAGTAAGCATGAGAGACGTATCGATGAGGAAGGAGATGAGGAAGTGGGTGATTAGATAAGATAAACAAATCACCACAGCCAAGTCCAAACATGACACAACAAACACTCCAACATCATCCATGTCCATGAGCTCCTCTAGTCTAACCCACCCTTCTCTTGATTCAACCGCGTATATCCCCCTACAACATCCTCCGCTCTCATCAACACACTTGAACCTATCCCCATTGCAGGCCCTATTGCCATTTGCCCCACCCAAGTGCCAGCTGCCCTCGTCCACCCTGAGACTTCCTATCTCATTCCAACACGCGGTCTGACCATCCGATATGGATGCTCACATTCCAGTTGGTATTCCAGGGAAGCATTTTTAAGGTGGTGGACACAGCATTTTATCGTGAGGTGTGGAATTTTTTTTCTTATTGGTGGGTGCATCAGCCTCCCTTCTTTTGTGCTCAAAGCAAGTTTTCTGCCTGATTATCGATTACCCTTCAAGCTTCACAGGCATCGGTCACCCCATGTAGCTCATTCCTCCTTGCGATTACACCCATCGTGATCATATAATTACATGATCTACCCATCTGATCCTTATCCCACCCTTGCCCTTTTGACCACACCGCAGACCCGCTCTGGCTGTCGAATACCCACTGATTTTCGAGGGAGCCACTTACATGCCAGCACAGACATCTGGCACACCTGTCTCCAGGTATTGCCTTTCCCGCCGGCGTAATAGCATTGTGCGCCAGTTTCGATCGCAGTGGGCGACATGTCCAAGATCTCGTCTCATCTCAGCCCTCCTGTAGTTTGAGCATCATATCTGGCTCTCTAGCCAGAGGAGACCGGCCCGCTGCCCCATCGAGTAGGGCATTTATTTCTATTCTCCCACTTATTCTTGGACAATGGAGTTAAGTGTGCTACTCTCACACAGAATGGCTGTTCCTTTTGCACCAGATCATACCCTCCTCCTTACCCCATCCTCTACTCGAGCCTCAAATGATGTCGTTTCTGCTGCCCTTCACTGGTATATCCATCGTAAACCGTCTTTCATGCCATCTCAGACCAAATGGCAAAGAGGTCCCTAGGCAGTGGGCGTTGCAGTCTACCATCTAGCTTACAGACGACATGGTTCGTCCGGTTCCGACTAAATTTCCTCTCTGCACTGCGTGTCAGATGCCTGACCGCTCTCGCACAAGCGAAAAGACCAAGGATCCTCTGTGATGAATGGACAGATCGCTTGCAGAGAACGATGCTTCTTGAGTCGTTGGGACGCAGGCAGTGTTGTCCTCTGCTGTATAATTTATCATGGCTGTTCATTGCAGGCAATCCTCGCTTGGTCCATCGATGTGGGCATTGTCTCTCCCATTTCTGTTGCTCCATATTAGAGATATTTCGTGCTCATTGTCTGGAGGCGAACTCTAGGAATGCACATGCATGCAGCTCTTGTTTTGTGGGTCATTACATTCCTGGTGTTTCAAGTCCTTGTAGAAGACTCTAGGCTGGCTCTTCTTGCTCAGGCTCGAATTAAAGTGGATCTTCTCATCATTTGATTGAAATGATAATTATAACGCTAACAATTCTCAAACCAGTAAATATTGTTCGGTCATTTACATTTCGTTTCTGACGACGAGGAAACAGAGGGGCTTGTGTACATAGATACTGCAATAAATGAAATTCGAGTCCTTATATATTGATATGTGAGGGAAGTGCCCTCCGAGAGTTAGGCACTGGACCATCTGAATCCGCCTCTGCCCCAACCCGAACTTCCAGATGCAACGAGGTCAATTTCCCAATGCACGTGTGCATTGAGTCGCATAAGACGTCCTTCCAAAGGCAGAGAAGAAACCCCACCATCGTCACCCGAACTCAAAAGAAAGATGAGGCTGTCAATTGCAAGGCCTTCATCTAACAGCTTACCGCCCTACGTCCGCTGAAAGCCGAGTGTGGGTTGATAGAGCCAGATTGATCCCTGCTGTGACCTCCTCTTTCGTTCGTTGGGAGGTTCGAACTCAAGGGCTCGAGAATCCACTGTGGAAGTTCACAACAGAGGAGTACTATACTCTACAGCGAATGAGACAGTGACAGACATGGCATTGAGGATGTTGATATGAGACATGCAGCTAGATCTATTCCCAAGATTCCAGAGATGCGTGCACCCACCCCCCTTAAAAGAGGAGAGGAGGTCAGGATGTACACAGATAGAAGAGCTTGGCGCATTATGGGAGTGCCAACTTGTGTTATGACAGGATGAGACATGCCATAGTGTCAAGTAGAGCCAGGAGGTGGTGATGTTTGATGATAGATGAACGCAGGACAAAGGAGGAGAGATGGCCTTGAAAAAAAGATACAAGGAAGCATGCACATGGCATGAGGTTGCCGACGGCTATACAGTCCAGGAAAGGGACTCCATATGGTAGACACTGGAACCGAGGGGGTGTATATTACTCAGTAGATATATTGAGAGAATAGACGCACGGGAGGATCAATATCGATGTGGGACCGTTGTTTCGAAACCTCGGTTTGCCATTATCCAACCCTTAACCGAGGAATCAGGTCACGAAAGGCAAGAAATGGCATTTAGATCTGTTGAACCACCAGAGACCCGTGTTTGGATTTGAACATCCTTCTGTGTGTGAGGTGCCCAGACGACTTGACAGAGCAGACGTGGCCAGCTATTCAAAGTTCAACTCATCTCTTTGATGTCAATCTGCCCATTCTATAATTAGATTTAAATTCTATTGTAGGAGAGGCGTTTCGTGTGTGCGCAAAAAGCGCTCGGAGCTTCTCACCTTCTAGATTCCTACTGACCTTATAACTTTCGAAGGCAAAAATATACCACCGAGAGGCCTGGCTTCGATGGAAAGTGTGGTGTCCAGCCAATAGCTAGGTCCATTATAGATTGATACCCAACTCCCCTAATGTCCTTGGGAACACCGTATATATTTGGTGTGTACTTGATTTACGGAGCAGAGGGATGGCTATCAGAATGGTCATTATTCGGTAATTTGGATAATCACCACGACTTAAAGCAAAAAGGGAAGGGTTCGAGAAAAATGAGAGAGAGAAAGACAAAGAGGCCGATGGAAGACAGCACCGAGTCATAGCGCTGAGCGCGAGAGCTCATAAGCCCCCGTGCCTGTGTCCCAAAATTATTGATCTTGGCTCTCAAATCCCGGCGCTGGGCCAGGAACACCACTGTTCATGTTTTTCTGTATTCAATCGCCTCAACAATTCTGTGAAGAAGAATAGAGAAATCCATACATATACGGGGTAAAGGCGGTGACCTGGCCCTTGGCCATAGATGAGCCACATTTTAGCACAAGGACATATGCCCAATCAAGCTTTCAAAATTTCAAGCCTGAAGCCACAAAACTTGAAGCCACAAAATTTTGCAGTAATATCTGGGCCGGCTCTCATTTTCCCTTGTGTAACTAGGTGTCCTTTGTTACTTTTTTGCCCTAGAAACCCTGGCTCCCAAAATGAAGCTGCTGCAACTTGCAGGACCAAGCGGCTTGGCGCATGGCCAGTGCTGTCAAATCTGTACACCGGTGTAGTGGACACACGTCCCTCTATCTTACAATAGGTGGAGACGAAAATGCAAGAAATATAGGATTTTCTTGTAGTGTTAGATTTTGGGTGTCTAAGACTTCGGAACGTGGACCCATAGATCCAAATGATGACATACATAAGAGAGCGTGACTGGAGTTGCCCGGGTCGCCTAAATGGTGACTTTACTAAATGCATCCGGGCTCTGCAAAGGCTTATTGCACAAAATCACAACAATATGATTGGGCCCATGCAATGGAAGTCCAATATCCATCAGCGATTTTGCGGATTATTTTCTCGCCAAAAAGAAATCACAGTGTGAGATCTGCTTTCACATGGTTCATCTGATGCGTGACGTCTGGAACAATGGGCGCTTGACCCTGAATATTGAATACCCGCTTCTTGGAATCTGTACAAATGAGTGAAATAGCCGCTTTGGGAAGATGCTAGTATGCAGATGTGGGCGCAGAGTGATTGCGCTTTGCTATAAAGCAGTGGTGGAATCCGTTGACATCCCCAATCTTGTCCCCTTGCCACTCGCTTGCCGCTCCCATCCAAATTCGCCTCTGTCCCATGCCTTTCCTCCCTTTGCATATCATGACAGAACACAAGATCACTGTGGCCGCCTTCGACCTTATGTTTGAGGGAGAGAAGTCATTTTACGACACCCCGGACCCCACTTCACTTCTAAACGGCGAATACGATGACTTCCTGGACGACGGGCTTGAGGTTGGGAATGGCACACAGTAAGCCATCAACTTCACCTCGCCTTACCTCACCTTTTCATTTTTGTTATTGTGTTAGAACATACTACGACTTCAGCCAACCCGCTGATTTTGACATCTTCTGTGGGGAGATCCAACCAACTGCGACTGTGCTGACGCCTGCTTCCTTGACCTCCTCCGTGCCTTCCTTCAACTCCCCACCTGGGTCATATGAGCTTCAAACCCCAGTGACTCTCAGTGCCACCAAATACTGGGCACACAGAACCACCTCTTTCGCTTTGGGGTCATCACCAACACATCTTTCCTGTTGCCATACTCCCTTCATGGCACCACCACCTCCAGCAATCAACCATCTCCAAGTCACAACATCTGCTCTGATGGAGATGGCCATTCAATTTGGTGTTTCTGACGATAGCTACTTCCCTGTAGACAGTCGCGTGGCTCACGATGCCACGACATCAACCACATATCCTGAAGGGTCCTTCCCATCTTCAGACTTCACTTTCTCTGTCGCACAACCACCTTACCCATCCAATCACTCAGGCCTTATATGGCCACCCACCATGACATCTACGATGTCTCTCCAGTCTGGCGTCTCCAACAACATTGACTTCTACGCAGGCAGTAATGCGATTCACGATGCCACCACATCAAGTGCATATCCCTCAGGGGCGTTCCCTACTTCCAATTCCACGTTTTCCATCATGCAGCCTCCATACCAGTCTAATGACTCTGGTCTCGTATGGCCACCTAGCAGCCACTTTAACCCTCAGAGTTATTTTGACTACAAACCGCCAACAGAGTACAACTCCGGCCCTGCACTGGAAGCGCCAACCGGTGTATTTCCTTCTTCAAGTTCACACCATTCGGACATGTTTGTTTCCCAATCCAATTGACACTTTGCCTTTGAACCTGTTCAACCAATGGTGAGGGGGTCTAACCCTCGCTCAGGAAGAACTGGGCAGACCCGACAAAGAGATGACGATGGAAATGGAACAGCGGCGCCACAAAAGCCACCAAGAAAGCGCAGGAGGGTGCAATCAGCAGTCGCACCTGGCACAAGCACTGCTTTACCCTTGCTGGCATCGACGGCCTCAATGTTATCGCCTACGCCTTCCATGTCTTCCACCTCCTCGTCTTTGTCCTTGGGCTCCCCCACCTCCCCCCGACACTTCGTGCCAACTAGGTCCAAGACGAAGATGGATGCTACCGGTGCCTACTGTGCACTGCTGAACCAGTGTTCACAGACACAGAGAAAGACATTGTTCGCCATCTTGGGCACACCGAGGTGCACCACCCCGAGAAGGTGTGCTGCTTGGACACAATCTACCGGTGCCCTTGTGGCAAGGGAATATTGGGAAAACGGAAGGACACACAGAAGCGCCATGTGCGCACGTACATCACCAGGGAGCAGAACCGGGCGATCTTGTCAGGGAACATGGAACAGCTCGATAAGGTGAATGCATACGAGGCGTGGTTGAAGAGTGAGAAGTTGCTTTAATTTCTCTTACCTTTCACCTGGACCGCTGCCATTTGTTTTGTTTTCGAATTTGCTTTTACATTGAATGTCTATTTATCAAGTCACTTTCTTGGTTTTCATGCTATCTGTACCTGTGTACCATTAGTGTTGTTTCAAAATTTCACTTCCAATTTACCTACATTAAAAAGTCCCTCGAGGTATTACTTGGACGCCAGGAATAGCCTGATTTTCCATGGACAGAAATATGAGGTAGGGAACCAACTCGACGTCAGGACCGAGCTAATTAACACAAGATTCGATCGACCTCAAGATGATTGATGTTGGTTCCATCGACCTTGATGGCATGGGAAATATCTTCAGCTCTGGCCTGTCATAAATCTTCTAGTGAATAGTTGTCAAAGAGAGCGAAGGTGGGGTCGCAGGAGACGGGAACGAGATTGAAATGGTTGATAGCAGCGAGTGAGACCGTTTCTCTACTAGCTTAACGGCTGATGGTATTTATGGGAATTGAGTCAGGAGTTGGGACAAGCCCGGTAGATGGGTGCAACTGTATGGTGCCCAAAAATACATCAGACATATAATATTAGTCTCCAAATCTGCTTCAATTAAATGAGGAGCTTACTTGTCGATATGCGAATTGTCATATATGAACGCCCTAAGGACAAGTATCTGTTCCCCTAGTTCTTTGGTTGAAGTTTTCCCTGGATCACTCTTTCTACGCTTCTTCGAAAGCAATGTGCCATGGCCAATAGACACCCCAAACTTGAGGAATGGGATAAAGCTCAACTAGAAATATCTCCCCAGGCGCAAGGCCTCGGAACCTCGAGATATTAGAAAGGGAAACTGCAGGTGTCTGTCCATAGGGATGAATTTGTCAGAGTCAACGTGAATTAGAAAGGATGGATCGTCCATGCACCCATGTTCATTAAGAAGGTGGAGAGGGTGAATATGGAGGAGGAAGTGCGAGACACAAAGGAGTGCACACAGACGCAATGTGAGGGAATGGTCAGTGTCATTTCTCATTGGACCAGACAGACGTTAGTGGATTGAATTAGAAATGAAGATGGTGGCCAGCAGGGACCTACGCGCCATACGACCACGACAGACTTTTGTGGACATTGATAGGCTGATGCAATTAGTATGGCGAAAACAATTGGTAGTCGATGATGTGGGAGCAGATAGAGGGTGTCAAAGGCATAGGCTTCATGATCCTTCTGCATGCAATCACTTATGCATGGGTTCAGGTTGTAGAAACACTTTGTGATTGTGGATCTAAGCTACTACTGAGACACAGAAGGGGTCAGAATAATGGAACATAAGTCATGTACCGAGGAACATACCTTGTATAATCTAGCTCTCATTACTTCTATCCCACTTCATCTCTCTCCTCGCCCGCTCAACACCCAGTGTCCAACTCTAACCTCTGCCTTTACCCCTGCAACTCCGTCTGCCTCAGTGGAAATCCTTCCTCGTACGCGCGGTTTGGCTTTCTACAACTTCTGCTCCTCATCTTGGGCCTGTGACATTAGCTCAGTAAGATATCACGGAAGAGAAGTGGATGAGAAGTGACGTATGTTCACAATCACTGTCTTATACTTCATGCCCCCACAACAACAACATGGCTCAGACCGCCCCAAGCCCCATCGAGATCGTGAATGCTTGCGCCACATTCCAATCCATCAACATGTTTGACTCGGAAAGGGCATATATGGTCAGACACAGATTTGATTGGGACATCACGGGGTGGTGTTGGGGTTACAGTCAAAGAAACACATTGAGGTGGTGCAGAGGAGAGCGAGATGAGAGGGAGCTGGAACACCATCTACATAGCACCAGGAGCTGGGTCAAAATTGCAAGGCTGAGGCCTACAAAATGTGAATGCCTTGCATTGGTATAAATTTAATATTTGAGAATTGTTGGATGAGGAGAGGGCTTACCGAAGGCTTAGGAATCCATGGGGATACTATACTCAAGGGAGATGGTTTGTTCAACATGTCCGTAGTCTTAGAACGGTGACAGCAGGGACGGAGAGGAGGAGGAGGAGGATGGAGAGGCAAACTGAAACTGGTGAGCTCTAGCTTGTGCATGTTTGGCAATAGCTTCTCGAAGTGTGAAGTGCATGCATAGACGGCGACACTTCCCAGATTTGACTATCCAGCGAATCGTTTGTAGACGATTCCACATCAAAAATGCAACATTGGTGCCACCAGATTCAACTACAGTTTCTCTAATGGTTTTTGGCAAGATAAGAGGAGTGAGCTCTCGAGAGTCTGAGAATTGAAGACATGAAATGAGTAAGACATGCCATTGTCACATCCCATTCCTGAACCCATTGTTCCATTGTCCCATTGTTCATTGTTCTGGTTCATCAATGGGCTTTCCCTTCATTGTTCTATTCATTATTGTCCTTATTGTTCTCTGTCATTGTTCTGCTGGCATTCATTACATAACCTAGATCTTCTCCATTGTTCTCAATAGTATAAGTAGCTAGGTAGTGTACTGGATTCCCCAGCTTGAATCTCAACCTTGACAACCCCTCTGCTCTGTTGTTCATCCTCTGTCTCCTGGGCCTTGGCCAGGATGACTTCTTCTTGTCTCTTCTTTGTCAAGACCAAGGCAGTTCCTGTAAATTGGGGACAACCAGATGATGTGTAGGGGCACAGCACAAGAGCATGCTGAGGCCAAGTCCCCCCCTCTGTTCAGGTCATTACAGCCATTCTTTTTGTATCCCTCTAACAAAGTTTCTCCCTCTCCTTCATGAATAATTGAAGCTTAATGTAAGACCGGTCTTGTGTCATCGCAATGGACAGCAATTGTGTGGTGTCAGACAGGAGAAATTCCAAATCAGGTTCTGAATTCAAGTTAGGAGTTTCCGTTTGTTGTCTCACTCTGACCACCACCACCACACTCTACGTCGTTCTCGCCCAGCCGCCCGTATACCAACTTGAACAGGAATAACGAGCCAATCCAAGTCAGACTGGATGGAGCCGATCTTTCTTCCTCGCCATGCACCACACCTCTCAGCTTGTCATGAATACTCGGAGGCAAGGGGTTGCAGGAAAATACACATTTCACGCTCTTCACCACCTACCGGTCAAGGGTTCCCGTGAGTCGAGTGGTTTCTTCCAAAGTTCACTCAATTCACAGGTAATATTAGCGTCAGCGACCTCCAAGTCAACATCGAAGACGACAAGCCAGAGAATGACAATATTCATGATGAGCCGGCGTCAGCATCGCCTCCCCAACCCTCGCACACACCCTTGGAAATATGTATATTCCTCACAGCCCTTCACCAGGAGGACCCTCGCCGTGCAAATGCAGCTTTCAACGACTACCACCAAGCCAATCCTGCACGCGCCGGAGAGGTCTTCTCGATATTGGTCCACAGAACTCGGGAACAAATGCAATTGGGGCATTTCTTCTACTGGGAGCTGTCTGCTTGCAATGACATTGCAGCGCTCGATCTCCTTGAACCTTCCTTGTGTGTACACCTTGGTAGTTCTCAACTCCCTCAACCTCTTGACGTGAGGATATCACTGCCATACCTCTTTTGCTTAGATGGTGCATGGTGTCTTGAACTAATTCTGGAGGGGGGGCTCATCTCGATGGATTTTGGCCCAGGTTTGCAATGCCTGGCTAGGATGCCTGGGTTGCTCAAGGAATTATTTAAAGCCATCTTGAAAGCGAGAGGATGAAAAGGTTCGATCCTAAGTAAAGACAATTGAACATACAAACATGCATTATGATTCGAACTGTAGCCACCTTTTTCCTCTTGAAGAAAGAATGTCACTTTCTAAGGACACAATCAGATCGCTCAAGGTACGAAAGCACGGTTCTGGTTCTGCTGATTGATGACTGTCGTTGGGCTTTTCCATAGAACACTTTTGCCGTCTTGGTACATGCTCCTCTGGGTATCTGACTTTGCTGAATTGTGCTCATATCGATCCAGGCAAATATTAACACAATGACCCACCCTGTCTAATTAATTTCCTGACTTACATTTCTTTATCAGACATGCACCCCGTCGAAAGCCCATTGAGTTCTATCATCCGAGCTTCCAGATGAGTGGATATATGAAAAGAACAAAACTGGACACTCGAGCCAGCTGAGCGTTGATCTTGTATTGAGGATCAACTAGGTACGCCGAGATGGTGGGCCAATTACCAATGCTTTATCAGGAGCTGTTGATAAAGTGAGTAGCCCAAACTCAGAAGAAAGAGGAGGCAATGGTACAAAAGGATTTTCATCTAGCAGCTACTACCCTATGCCTGCTGCGAGTGGAGTATGGGTTGGTAGAGCCAGATTGATTCTGTCCTCCTCTTTCATTCAACTTGGAGGAGGTGCAGACAGATGAGTTCAGGAGGATAGGTGGTCCAATCAAGTAGAGGACAAATATCTATCACCAGCGCGATCGTGGGGTTGGGTGGGCCCACATACTTAGATGCTGAAATAAGTGAATATTTTGGATTAATATGCAAAGGAAGTGTCCTCCGAGTGCCAAACAGTCCACCCATCAGTGGCCCAAATTCAAAAGAAAGAGGGGGCCATCAACTTGAAAGAGACTCTCTTCATCTAGAAACTCACCACCCTACGTCTGCTGTGAGCAGAGATGGGTCGGTAGAGCTGGATTTACTCCTGCCATGACCTACTCCTTTGTCCGTTTCATGATTGAGAGGCATAGGCACACAGTGGGAGGGGTAGAATGAAGTTTTGTAAATAGGTGAAGAGGGTGTGGAAGGACGACTTCGAGGGGACAGGAGATTTGTCGATGAGCTGTTGGGTTTCAGATGGGTACAAGGAATGAACATACACAATGAGCGAGAGGAAAGAGGATGACACAAATAGGCGACTGTGATATCTCGCTCTTATCACTTGCGCCTTCAAGGTAGGCACATGTACATAAAGCCGGATAGATCACTGCTCTGTCTTCCTCTTTCGATCAATTGCTGATGTGTGGTGGTGGTTCCAATGAGAAATGAGTGATGGTGAGAGAAGGGCAGGGATGTCAATGAACTGTACATAGATGTTGGACCTTAGTGCAGAGGCAGTCAACCCTCAGCTTGTCAGAGCTTGCAACAAGGGGGCCTTGTGGAAAAATGTATTGTGATGGAGACAGCATTGGGAATTTTGACAAGAGACAAGTAGCCTGCCAGAGTATGTGCGCAAAGATAATGCGCGCACTGACTCAACATCCCCTACTCAAAAGGGGGAGAAAGGAACAATGTGAACAAGACTGCATGTGTGGAGGGCTGCTTGGCACATCATTCAAACCCAGGTTCGAACACGAGCAATGGTGGTATGAGACTGGGAAGACCTCAATGGTGGAGGACTGGCAAGACATGGTTGAAATGGCAGAAGAGATGGCACAGACAGACACCGTTCAAGTATGACCCAAGTTCACCCGAGACAACACAAAGGCAGCGGTGTGGACACTAGCAGTGGAAAGCTGATGGTAAACGATCTGTGTAGTGTCAGTAGTATGTCAAGAAGAAGAATATGGGACGTACCAGAAGCCACTGATAATCCCCATCTTTCCCCCTTTGTCACCATCCCGTGTCCACCTGAAGCCCTCCTGACATCTGCCAAATTGATGATAAAATATCTGAATTGCTTGTGGTCCAAGGACCTGACAGAAACGTGACAGCGTTGTATCGAGTGTAGCTCGCTGGGTGTGAGAGGATGAGTGTAGAGTGAAGAGAGGAGATGGCATGGCTGAAGCAACAAATGGATGATGGAAGATGAAGGCAAGATAAGATTGATAAGATAACACAATGACTGACGCCAAGTCCAAACTCAACACACTTTCACCCGAACCAACACGACCCTCCTTCCATCCTTCTGCTGATTCCTCTCTCCTCCGCCTCCTCTACACGCTCTCCTCCATGACAACAAACTCAAACTCTGCCCCAACCATGCTTGCAGCCCCTATTCCCGTTTCCCTCAACCTGCACTACTGTAGTATTTTGAATCTAACGGCCATTACACGTCACACAGCTTGTGGATATGGCCAAAATTGAAGGTTTGTCCCATGTCACACCTTGTCTGGCTACCTGTGACATCCAACATACCTACCATTTTTGGATTTTTCGGCCGTCCTGGCAGGTGGACGTGGCCAAAATCCAGCCTCGGTCCCGTGTCACAGCAAATTTGGCCAGTGTCTGAACTTCGTCCACGAGGTCACAGGTCACACCCCTGGCCGTTATATTCGAAATACTACAGTAATCCAACTGTGCAACTCATGTCCACTGCGGGTCTCAAATGTCTAATGCTTCATACCAATGCTCAAGTCTGGTGTCTGGTATTTGACAGGCACCCCTGGGTTGGTATTGGAGTCGAAAGCTTTGAGCTGCAGTGGACAATCCGTGGTGTAATACTGTATGTGTGCTACTCCCAAGTCCGATCATCGATACCTATCCCAGTCCCGCCGTTCCTACGCCTGATGTTTAACCTGGGGGCTGATCACTCGCTCCTTTATAGCAAATGTGTGCCCTCCTGGTGTTCAAGAAGGTCAGCTGGATTGAGCAGTGGACTAGGATGAAGACGGGTGATGTGTTTTCTTACACACCAGAACCATATCAATTCGGCTGGTACGGTCCAACCTTCATTCTTCCTCTCATTGCTCATCAATACACCAATTCCAGACAGTTTCAAATACATGGCATTCTCTGCCATGGTGCACCTTTCCTTCATATCAACTCCAGTCATGGTGCATTTCGGACCGGGATTCCTAGCGCCATCCCATCCATCTGATCGCCCAGCTCATACTTGCACAACTTCGCCCTGGATTCTCCTGCATATGCATCTGTGTCTGCACCTAGCCTGTTCGTCCATTCCATGGCCCCTCTCCACCCTCACCCTTCCGTCATGGCATGAAAGACACTGGCCAGCGCACCATGGTCACAGGTCTCTCCATCCACACTGGCTATTTCCACCGCTCTGAGTTCATTTCTTGGTGGATTGTCGCTTGGGTGGTCGTTCTCGATCCTGTTGCCGTTGCACTGCTCATAAAGTCTTCCTCCACTTCAATGTTCCCTTTATTGCTTGCAGCACCTCGTAGCTGAGAACATTTGTTCACAGCATACCAAATGTGGAGCAAACAGATAGGCCCTGGTCGACGATGCCATATCCTCTCTAGTCCTACCATCATGCATAATCCGAATGTGCCATATATTACCCACCATCGCCTCAACAACTTCTACTTCACCTCTCATGCCTTCGTGCAGAAATATGTCCCTCCCGTGATGCAGGCATACTACTTGACTGATACTCTGTTCAGGATATTCTCTGGAACTTCCAAAGCATCTTTCCTGACCAGAGTTCACTTGACATGTCTTCTTGCAGCAGGTCGGCACCCAATCGAAGAAGGTGGCACCCTCATCTACCTTGTCGTGCTATCCTATTTCCCAAGCTACAGTGGGATCATCTTTGAATGCATGTTTGATTCCTCCCTCCCAGACTTTTCTGTAACCCTTCCAGCATTCCAAACTCAGATTCATCCAGTGGTTATCAAGAGAGACTGGCGCTGGTTACTTCTCCTCAGAATAGAAACATACAAGTCACATAGATGAGTATATACTCTACTCAGATGTTTTCGTGTCATGACAATTATACAGTCCCTCCAATTATTCCCCTACCATATTGAGTGCAGTTATTTTGCAGGAATGGAGACTGCACTGGTATGCACCTAGGTACCGTGTAAGCGGAATAAGTTCTGATAAAGCTATTTAACATGCAGCACAAGATGTATGGGCAGCGCGAGGTAGAAGAGGTGTTTGGTTGACTGAAATAACGAAGATCAGAATGAAGATGACAGCGCATGGCAATTCTTACGGAAAGTGTTCAGATCAATCCCCTCACCCGTCCCTGTATATGTTTGCATGATGCTGTTCTCCATTGTGAAACTTGTCAAGCCACTTCCAAAGTTGATGTGTCCTCTGTCTAAGTAGAGGGTAAGTATATCATCGTATCAGAGGTCAGGACAAGCTCACGCCGTCCTTTCACCAGAGGGGCTTCATCGTTCAGGTCGAATATCATGTCGATGAGCCAAGTTTTCTTAGACTTGTTAAAGAACTGCTGGTTGGAAGAAAGAGTGACAGCGCCCGCCTTCTTGTTGTTGCTCCAGGCTAGCATCATGGGGTGGGAGGAGTACACAGCGGGGAGAGAAGTGCTTTGCTTATAACATTTCACATTTGGACAGGGATCGATCACATCATAGATGCAAGAGTTGAAAGGGAAGATGAAACGAGAATGTTCCTCTTGCCATGATTGCGGAAGTAAAAGGTACAAAAAGCCAAGGACTGCGTGGAAAATTTAGGTGCTCGACATAGGCGCTTAAAGATCCAGTCATTTTACGGCTTCAAGCTCATCGTCCTGTTGGGTAAATATGGCATATAACACCAGAGAGAGCTCAACACCCTTATAAGGGGGAATTGGAAGAGAACTGTGCCATGCACTTTCTGTCTGTTCACCTTTGAGGTTCACTGGTGAGCTAATTCTATGAATGGTCGATCTGTCCATCATGATCTACAGGACATCCTTCACTGCTCCACTTAGAAGCACTTATTGATAGCTCCTGCTGTGGTCAGCACCTCTTGCACAGTGGAACGACATCAGTTGATCATGACGATTGCTGTGGAATGATCTTCACATGCACCATCCATATGGCAGAAGGACTAGTAGCACTGTATATGCATTCCAGCCAGTTTGAGGCAAGGCTAATCGATCCTCCTCATACCAAGAATAGGGTCAACCCTGTCCATGTATGATCAAGGAAGCCAGGGATAGGAAATGCGTGACTCCCGGGAGTGAAACGGAATGCCTGTGAAAGGGCCCACAACCACAACCACGGAGAACAATCAGAGAAGGTGGTAGTGGACAAATGTGCACTTTATGGCCTGCACCCATTGGACAACGCCAAAGTAGGCAAATCCAGAAATCTGCGCACCCTGCTTGCGCCGCCTACATCCACGAGGCGGACATAGGAGTTGATCAAGTAGGATTGGTATCTGGGTTCCTCCTCTTTCACTAGGCAGTTACTGGGTGGTGTGGTGGGGAAGTAAGGTGTTTTGCTGAGGGGAAGTGGGTACTTTGGAAGGCGTAAAGAAGGCAGGCAGGAGGTTCACCGAGTTGAGACACCTTTGATGAAGGGCACTAGGAGCGAGGTCTGCACCATGCATGAGATATGCCAAACAACCATTGGGTATTGAGAGGCTCAAAGACCCAGAAGAACACATCTGAGATGATATTGCGGGCATTGACAAGACAAAATGTGTCGCACTTGAGGTGTGCTTTTACGTGGTACCACGCAAGCGACAGACCATGCGTGAGATGTGCACAATGGAGATGGCAAGCAGGGTTAGACATCAACGTCAAGCACAACTTGTTTTGTCAGTCGAATGGTTGCCACAACAGGAGTGCTGAGACGTGAAAGAAATAAACAATACTCAGCCGGAGAACATGAGGAGGATTCAGGTTGGACAGTCGAACAAAGAGAATTACCCATAACCAAAGGTCAGAGATATATAGTCTATCCATCCCAAGCACTGTTCTTGCGCAAGCAACATTGAGGTTGCCTGGAGTCCAAGAATTACGTAGCACAACAGTCCTCACAAGAGAAGCACCACCTCACACCAGGGATCGTCCACTGCAGTCTTTGTTTAAATGTTAAAACACCAGCTGCATCCTTACCGTCGATTTTTAGATGGCCAGACCAGACCTTTGGAGGGTAGTAAATGCACAGCAGCAGACGTGGGTTGCCTTGACTGAGATGGGGGGACTGGAATAGGGGTTAAAGGATGATATAGAGCTGATTAACGGCAACCCAGGCCAGAAAGTAGTGATAGGGAAGTCAATGTTGTGTTGAAGGAGGTGGATTAGAGTCCACATGGTTTGAGAGGTTGTCGTGGTCTGAAGTCGAAGAGTGTTGTGTCGAGTTTCGGCATCTCAACTGTCTTATCTGATCTTATCTTGCCAAATGTTGTGCACATGATCTTATCTCATTCTAACTCGTTCCCATGGTTGGTCTTGTTGATTCCAACAGCCATCTTGACGACGCTAGCGCAACCCGCCTGAAAGACTTGGAACTTTAAATTTTCAACGAAATTGGCATATAAAGGGTCAACATAAAACGTCGACAAACACCTTGCAGAACAGGTTCAACATTGTAATTTTCTTAAATAATCCTCATTGAAGATCCTTGTGGTGAAGAACTCTCACTGTTTGTTGACATATATAAAGCTCTTTGAGCGTGCTTTAGTCCTTGAATACAAGGTGTATTAGTTCATTATGTGAGTAATGTAAATAGCTGTTTCTTGATCTAAGTGGTGGGGGGTATGCAAGCGCAGGTGGGCAAAAGCCCTGGGGCTTTCCAGCCTGCTGGATGTCCCGATCCTGGAGATAAGAGATGAGCTGCGAGTCCCAGGTGAGTAGGAGCCTTGCAACACGTTGAGCAAGTCTCAGATACCCAGAATGTAGGAGCAGGGGAAGACTCACTTATCTGCGGTGTAGACAGCGTAGGCAAGGCATTGTGAGCTGTGTTATTTGGCTGTGGAGTTTGGGGCATGCTTGCATGTACAGCGCTAGGATCTGGGCATGCTTCATGAGGTATATGAGGAATGCATCACTTGTCCATCATCCTTTAACCTTCACAACTTCGAATGGGACCCCACGTAGTAGATATTCCAATGTCAATCCAATTCGGATTCCATGGCCTTGGTGGGGTTTGAGGCCAGCAGATTTTGCAGCTTTGGCCAATGCTTTTAGGAATGCAGGCTTTGTCATTGGTCTGTGTCCGTTTTTGTATCTGTAGGCGAATAGTGCACTGTTTGGCGGTGGTGTGTTCATTTCCAAATGGTGTTTGAAAGCAGCCTCGGGGTCAGTCAGGCCATTCTGCCTTGACCATGAGACGTCCTCTCCGTGGATTGAAACTTTTGTTCTTGGGATGTGGAATATGGTGAAGTGGAGTCTGTTGTGGTCTGTCTCTGTATGACGTAGATAATGTTTAGTTCAATGTGCAGCACTTCACTGTGTATTGTATGCTTACCATGTTTTATGTCTGATGGTTTGACATGGAGCACAGCATCAAAGGATTTCAAGTTTGGGATGACAAATTTGCTGAGGTGAGCAGCGGTGTAAAATGTGGTGGTGAGGCATGCATAAACCGCACTGTCAAAAGGCTTCGAGAGGTTGAGTTGGTCTTTGATTGCTGTCATGAAGTCTGGGGTGTACGGCACTCTTTTCTTTTGCTTTGCCGATGCTGGTGCCACCTTTTCAGCACCTTTGAGCAGAAACACCATCTCTGGCTCATTCATCTCCCATGGGAGACCATGTAGGATATGCCATGCTTGTACTCCGTAGGAATAGTTTTGGATGGTGCTTCCAGAGTATGCACCAGTGAGCATTGATACAAATGATGCAGCTAATCTACATCAGCCCTATGGCCAAAAATTCAAAGAAACACAAGAATGCACCAGAGAAGGTCTCCTTGATTGCAAAGAAACTAAAACAGGATGTCCCTGATACCATATCAAAACTGATCCACCATGGCCTGACGATCTCTGACATTGTAGCCCAAGCAGGCATGGTTGGGGGGCTGATCTACGAGGACGAGCTCGAGACAACAACAGAGACTCTTATTACACTTGCACAGAACCCAGCACTCATCGGCCTGAAGGTGTTGAAGCCATTCAAAACGGTGGTGCATGATCACTGGAGGGTAGCTCACGAAACGATGAACACAGGAAGCTCCTTGACATCGCGAATATTGTCGGCGCTGATTGACAACCGCCATGTCGATGCACTTGTGCTGCTCTCTGAGATGGCCATCCACAAGCAGTTGCCAAAGCTCGGTGCTCTTCAGCGCTGGGTGCGCGAGTGCGATGTCGTGCTTACACCCAGTATGTCCCAGGGAGAGGAGAACCATGTCTGGCAGGTACTCGATGCGATCCTGCGGACGACCCAGCCCGAGATGATTGCCTCTATGTCTAGCCCTCATTGGGGAGAGGGGAAGTTAAAGCAGCTGGGGAGCAAGCTGCTGTGGTTTGAACCTTTTGGCGTCGACCCTGGACTCCCAAACCTGACAAAAGGCAAGATTGCACCAATTACGTCACCAGAGGCTCTTGAGACATCTTTTAATGTCCTCCAACCTCTCCAAACCACCCTTGGCCACGAGCGATGCCTGCCCAATAAACATCCCATGACTATCTACTTCTCCCCACCCACCAAACCCTCTACCTTCCCACTCCTTCCCGCCTCACAATGAATCCGCCAACCCAAAAGACATGAAGTCGTCGGAGTGCCCAGGGCCTTCATCATCAATGACGCTCTGGAGAAGAGCAAATGTGATGCCCTTGTGCGAGCTGCAGAGCGTATTGGGATGATCCATGACGAACCTACTGTGGGGTCTGCAATGCAGCTGGCCTCGGTGCTCGCACATAATTTTGTGTGGCTTGCTGACCAGGAGTTTATTGATGGGTTGTACACAAGGGTTGTGGATCTCTTGCCAAAGGAGGTGAATGGGGGCAATGTGCGGGGGATAAATTGACGGCTTAGGTTGTATCACTATCGTCCTGGGGCGCTGTACTGACCACATATTGATGGCGCCTGGCCAGCTTCAGCGCTTTCCACATCCTCAATGTCTCTCCCTACCTATTCCTATGTCTACGACTCTGATCCTACCCTCTACTCCCATCTCACCTTCCTTATCTACCTCAACTCCTCTTCCACCACTGCCCCCTGACCCCATTGTCACCACCCTCCATTCTGGTCCCCGCAGACTTTACCGGCGGCTGCACAACTTTCTTCCTCCCTTCTGCCACCCATGGTGTCCTCGAAGCGCGCCCCGTCGAGCTGCACGCAGGGACCGTGTGTGTCTTTCCACATGGTGTGGCACGAGGAAGCTTGCTGCATGAAGGAAGTGGTGTTATTGAAGGTGCAAAATATGTCATCAGGACCGAGGTGCTGTACGAGGTGGATGGGAGTGAACGTGTCGATGTTGGGTTCGGCTAGGTGTTAACAGGGTGAGACTAGTGGTGCTACTCGCTCATATGTTAACCACTCGGCTATGCTGAGAAGGTCAAAGGATCTGTAGAGACGCAGAAAATCCTTAATGCATCCTCAAGTCAGTGTTCTCTCTGGCCCTAATGCCACTTCCTATGCCCTTGTGCCGTTATACTGAATTGTTGGCCTCGATCTTGAATTATTTGTTCATTCCTGAATCTTCAGCCAACGCCATCTATCACTCCAGGCATGGTTTCATGTTCTTCAGAAATGCATTGGGTACCTTCTTTATGTATGGCCAAGGTGGTCTCTCACGGGTCGTATAACTCAATACAAGGTGTCCTCTTCCGAAGAATTAAAGATGTCACATCCCCATGACACCTTTCTCCAAATAAGCGCCCGATGTTTCTTTCGAGGTGAATAAACACCTCCATACTTTGCAGGGCGATTAGACCGATAGAGGCTCACATCTGAAAATGAACCACCACCATTGATTTTTCAAAAACCGCATCCGTCTCCTCTACCGCTCCGAAAACACCGTCAGTACACTCCCTCAACTGGCCTCAGATACTCATCTAAGAGCGGTGAATGTCGTACTATCCTCTGATACAAAACTGTGGCCCTGCGACCACAGACTGCACATCCACCCCAACCTTGCTGTGCCCCATACCTGGCCCTGCATCGCAGTACGCCAGACTGACACACATCACCCTTGACTTTCCAAACCCTGTGCCTCGCCGCCAGAGCAGGGGATACCTCTGCGCATGCTGTCCCCACCCCCCTTGAACGACACGACGTGGCCCGTGCATGATGACATAATCCGATAACAATTCTCAGGCCTCGCATGAGATCTGCTCACCAGGCTTTCCACCCAGCTACTACCTCACATCACCCAGAGCTTTTGTGGCCTTCCATTGTTTCATCGTCGTCTCGTGCAATATTTTTCCTACTCGGCCTTGCGCTGACACGCTGCCGCTTCTAGGACCCCGCCTCATCCACCTCTCATCACACATGGATGGTACTATCCCACCTCAGTACGCACACGCTGGATTATGGAACAGGGTGATCCCAAGACCATTGTGCTTGCCGAACCCTGCCTCATCCATCTCCTCAGCACACATGGAACATACTATCCCACCTCACTACGCACACAATGCTTCACCAAACATGAGGATCCCAGGCCCGTCTAGTGGCGCAGTGGTGGGGGGATCTAAGGAGCTGGAGGGCTCTCTGGCGCACTTGAGATGGGCTCACGAACGACAGGTTGGTAGCCAGATTCTCAATTATACCACCCTCCCTCTGACCATGCCTGCGGCTCCCATCACCTCCACTACCTTACTGGAAATTGTGTCACTCAGCAAGCCTAGCCCCAACATGACCATGCTTGGACCAGCTGCCTCCACCTTCCCCTCTACCATGCCAGAAATTGTGTTGCTCAGTGGCCCTAGCCCCAACATGGCTATGCCCGGACCTGGTTCCAACAATGCAACCTCCACCATATTTGCCTCCACGGCTGCTTCTTCCCCCACACTCACCAATCAGATAGGGGCTGCTTGTCACTCCACCTGCCAGGCCAAGCAAGCAGCCTCCCTCCCAACGTTGGATGGGGAAGGTGACGTCTTCATGGATGATCCTGGTGACAAGGGAAAAGGCACCCTCTCTTTTCCCCACAATTCCCTATTCTTACAACACTGTCAGGTGTCTCTGCATCCCAGACACCGAAGACATCCCCGACCAAAGCTACAAAGGGAGAGTTGACTGCCGCATCCATCAAGAGGCTCAAGAACATGGTGCGGACCCTTGAGGGTCGTATTGCGGTTATGGCCTCTCATCTCGAGAACGGCACACCAGAGATCGCAGAGAAGATGTCTACTCTGGAGAACCGTGTTACTGAACTGGCTACCAATATCGCATCCACTCAGGCCCCTGGGAATCAGGCTTCAGCCATGCTAGCCCACATCGAGTCCACAATCGCCCGCCTCACTACATCCAACAACGAAATTGTAATGGCCGTCCAAGCCCTTCAGGCCAATGAAGGACAAGTAATGGGTACCTTATCCTCTGTTGACGCTCGTGTTGGGGCCCTCAATGCTCGCATACAAGACCTCTCCGACATGGTGTCTGCCGGGTCGACAGTTGACCCTTACCAGACTGGATCCAAGTGACCTCGCATGGCTGCTCCCGAGGTCAATACACTATCCAACTCCACTTCCACACCATGCCAGCACCAGCGAGCCCCACCTGGCACACCAACCCTGCCCAATCTAACCACTCCACTATTCCTCATGCACTGCCTCCCACCCCAGCTCCAAACCTTCCTCAATTCCAGAATACACCTGCCATCCCTCATGCGCCCCCACCTATTGCTGCTGCTGGAGGGTCTACTCATTCCAACGGCACTCAGCCCTCGACTGGTGATGGTGTCGACATTGAGGTAGGGCCACTCCTCTGGGGCAGGGACATTACAGGGCAGGCCAGGGCACTGATCAACCACCTTCCAAATGCTCCCCAGGTCACCTTCAACATCCATGCTAGGCATGGCCGTACCAATTTTATCATTGTTCACTTCCCTGACTTTAAGACTGCTGATAGTTTCGTGAAAACATGGCATTATGCCACCCCACCTCAGTACTCCCGTCTCTATGTGTCCCTTATGGGAAACTAGGAAGGGCAGGAAGTTTAGTAGTAGACATAGACACCCTCCCCAAAAACTGTCTCACTGTTGACAATGATACTGTTTTGACTGTGCCTCTCCCTATTACCATAAGAATTATGTGTTGGAATGTCAATGGCGACATTGCAACTAAGCTTACCTGCCTGGCATTCACTGATGTTTTGAAATTACACCATATATGTTTTATACAAGAATCTCATCTCTTTATGCAACAGGAGAAATCTCTTGAAGCATTGGAAGGGTTTGCTGTTCACGCACTCGCCCGATCAGAGCCTCATCTCTTTGCAAGGCCATGGGGCAGTCTATTGGCTTACATACACAAGGATCTTAAACCCCCACAGTGTCGGGAAGATCTTTCAAGTCCTGATATCCTGGTCCTCAAATGGGACGAGTTCCTCGTGGTGTGTGCCTACATATTACCAGAATCAAGCAGATGGGAGGACTTTACAGATGTCGACCCTTTCATCAAACTGACCGAATTACTTGCAGCACTGAGCGTGGTCACAAAGCCCGTCTTTGTCCTTGGCGACCTCAATGCATGCACTGGGACAACATTGCCCAACGTGGCCACACAAAGAGAGTCAGAGGACTCTGTCCTATTGTCTCGTGGCCATAGGTTATTACAAACAATGCAAGATCTAGACTTCCTTCTCTTTAATGGGGATGTCGAACTTGGGAGCTCCAACCGCAGGTACACCTCCTATCAACCTCATGGTAAATCTGTAATCGACTATGCAATCACCAACAATGCAGAGTCTTCTCAGACTCGGTATATGCAATGGATAGCATCATGAACCGAAGCGTCAAGAATTTGACCCGAGGATGGAAGGTTCCAAACGGGGATCTTCTAAGGGACATCACAAAAATCATTAAACAACGTAGCACCTGTATCATGTTCACGCAAATTAGGGGACACAGTGGGGTCTGAGGGAATGAGGAAGCAGATTCCCTTGCTCGCAAGGGCATGCAGAAACCCCCTGCCCCGGTGTACTGTCCATGTGAAGGACCTCAGTCAGACCTTTCGACACAACAAAACCCACTTGACCTGCCTAAAAAGTTAGCCTTGAACTCATTGCTACTCCATCATTGTTGGAGAAGCTGACTAAATGGAAATCACAACACCCTGACCTTACAGGGGATGCTTATTTCTTGGATCTCCCCATGCATAGAGATCAAACAAAGGTCTTGGAAAAGCAAAGGGTACATAGACACACCTTACTAGAAGCGGAAACCAAGAAGGATTTCTGGATAGTGGCAAAGAAAACCATAAGAGATAAAACTCAGCTTCTGGAGGACTTCTCAGCAGAAGATCTACGCTCCACATTTGAGAACCGGATGAACCGTCCATTTACTCCACCACCCAAATTTGATGCTGCCAGGTTGAAATTGAATGAGGCAACTGCTGATACCATCCTGGATGTAACATTTGATACAACTGGTGTCTGCCATACTTATCATAAGATACAGGTACTTGCCTGCACTGCTTCTGACACAGTGCCAGGGTAATTAATGAGGAGTTCACATTTCTCATTATTGACATAACTTCTCATTCTGAGCCATGGCTTGTAAGTCTTTTCATTCTTTGGTTTGCTTTTCATTACTGTGCCCCTTCTCATATCTTAAGAGTTATCATATCACACCATGCACTTCTCATATCTCAACACATTTTTCATTCTCATCCATACTTCTCATTGCCCTGCACACTTCTCATTACCCACTGACCTTCTCATATCATGGTATTCTTCTCATTTCATGGTGCTGCTTCTCAGTTTGATGTGTATTCCCCTAATGGAAAGCACATCACATAAGGGCTTGGCTGGCAGTATTGCTGGCATATTTCGGTCATTTCCAGGCCGATTTTGTTGAAATAAAAAATACCATAAATCGTAGAATAATCGTAGCATTCCGTAGATACCTCACACATGACAGTGTGACCATTTTTGGTAGCTTCACAGCCAAATTAATGCCCTGCACTTCGAAAATGCGAAAATGCGGCCTCACTGGGCCCCCTCCCATGCATCCCCTGATAGAAACAGGTGAGCGTTTATGAACAGGCATATAATGGAGTCCTATCTACCGCAGAATATCTGCAATACCTGCAAAAATGCTCGCATAATTGCCTAACCAATGCAATTCGCTAAAAATAGCCAAAATGCGCACCCAAATCTCTACCCATGGCAGGGACCGGAACACAGAGACACCTTAGCGGTTCGATAGGGGATATGTAAGGCTTCCTGGGAATATATTTTGTATGGCCCCGCATGCATTATTCTTGGCTGTACGCTTGAATTACTGATTTTCGTTCAAAAACACAAAAATGTGCCCCTCATTCCCTCCCCAGAATCCCTGTCTCGCACCATAATATCTACTCATATACCCTACTACAGAGTACCTATACCACTTCAGGTCCTACCCTCAGTTATATTCCACTTACAGCTTGTGTCATTCCCCTCTCCTCCTCCTCCCCCTCAAAAAGCAAAAATGCGCACTGAATGTTCTCCTCTCCTGCACTTCATGGCATCCTGATACATATGCAGCATTGTTTAATAGCTAATAAGGTACTCATGTGTGTGACGATGCCCTGAAATATTGAAATCTGCAATTGCAGGACATGTATTCCTGTTTCCCTTGGTTCCCTCTTAATGTTTCCTCTCTCCTGGCCTCAATTCTGGTCTGATTCTCACCAAAACATGTTCCCCATACTCAGGAAGAAAGGTATTTTAAGTATAGATACCCCCAAGAACGCATTTCAGACCACTTAGATAACAGCAAAATCACACTGATTGGCCATTTCAGAAAGATCAGAGACATAATTATTTAATCAGACACTGCAGACAGCCTCTATATATATGCCTTAAAATTCCTCAAAAAGGTTTGAGGATGATAGAATGAATGTGGAAAGCAGGACACTCAAAAATGCGCCGGGGAGAGACCATTGATCAACATTCTGGATGAAGCTAACTATGTGTCTTAACCATGTCTTTGGATACCCCATCTGATAGATCTTCTATACCTCTGGGGGACTATGGTATTTCGAAAGTATCATATATTCCCTGTCTAAGACACATTTTATCATGATTTTAGAAGCAGCAAATGGACCTGAATTCAAGGGGGAGTGTCAGAATACTGCTCTGATAGATGTCAGGAGGAAGGACTGATTAATTTCATCTCCCATGTGGCAAATAAGCAGATTACACTGGATAATAAGAGGCAATAGTACTAGATACAACCATTATGGTGTTCCAGCAACAGGTGATTCCAATTGAATCATCCGGGGAGGGAATGAGGGGCACATTTTTGTGTTTTTGAACGAAAATCAGTAATTCAAGCGTACAGCCAAGAATAATGCATGCGGGGCCATACAAAATATATTCCCAGGAAGCCTTACATATCCCCTATCGAACCGCTAAGGTGTCTCTGTGTTCCGGTCCCTGCCATGGGTAGAGATTTGGGTGCGCATTTTGGCTATTTTTAGCGAATTGCATTGGTTAGGCAATTATGCGAGCATTTTTGCAGGTATTGCAGATATTCTGCGGTAGATAGGACTCCATTATATGCCTGTTCATAAACGCTCACCTGTTTCTATCAGGGGATGCATGGGAGGGGGCCCAGTGAGGCCGCATTTTCGCATTTTCGAAGTGCAGGGCATTAATTTGGCTGTGAAGCTACCAAAAATGGTCACACTGTCATGTGTGAGGTATCTACGGAATGCTACGATTATTCTACGATTTATGGTATTTTTTATTTCAACAAAATCGGCCTGGAAATGACCGAAATACGCCAGCAATACTGCCAGCCAAGCCCTTATGTGATGTGCTTTCCATTAGGGGAATACACATCAAACTGAGAAGCAGCACCATGAAATGAGAAGAATACCATGATATGAGAAGGTCAGTGGGTAATGAGAAGTGTGCAGGGCAATGAGAAGTATGGATGAGAATGAAAAATGTGTTGAGATATGAGAAGTGCATGGTGTGATATGATAACTCTTAAGATATGAGAAGGGGCACAGTAATGAAAAGCAAACCAAAGAATGAAAAGACTTACAAGCCATGGCTCAGAATGAGAAGTTATGTCAATAATGAGAAATGTGAACTCCTCATTAATTACCCTGGCACTGTGTCAGAAGCAGTGCAGGCAAGTACCTGTATCTTATGATAAGTAGTGGTCAGTACTAGTGTTGATACCACACCAGAACAATTCTTCTCCGCTCCCTTTACAGAGGCTGAGATAATAGAGGCTAAATCTCTCCTCCATGACCATGGATCCTCTTCATCACCAGGCATCGATGGCATCACTTACAAAGATATTGAGGACTTACCAAATCACACGCTATGCTATCTGGTGAATGAGTGTATATCCCATTGTGATGTCCCCTCCTTATGGCTGCGAACACTCTTAATTGCAATCCTAAAGAAAGGAAAGCCATGAGACAACCCTGAAAGCTATCGTGCAGTAGGACTAGAAAGCTGTCTACTAAAACTGCTAACACTTCTCATCCATACGAGGCTGACAAAGTGGGCCGATGCAAATAACCTTATTCCCCCAAACCAGAATGGTTTTCGTAGAGGACATCGTACTAATGACAATGTATTCATCCTGTGATGTGCCATTGAGAAGGCTCGGGCACTGGGACTATCACTATATGTTGTATTTGCTGACCTGAGCAACGGATTTCTGTCCACAAACCATGCAACACTCTGGCTCAAACTCCAAGCAATGGGGGCCAGTGGAAAAATATTTGACTGGCTTCAAGTGTTATACCAAAATATGTTGTACTGTGCTAGACATAGATCAGACACTTCCTCGACCTTCCATGCAAAAATAGGTATTCTCATTGGAGATGTGTCATCGCCTATTCTGTGGATCCTATACCTCGCCGACTTTGTGTTGAGAGTGGATGTTAATGATATATCCCTTTCTGGCATTCCAATCGTTCACTTGGAACAGGCTGATGATATTATCCTCCTGTCTACGACTGCAGAGGGAATTCAAAGGAAGATGGACGCACTCATGTGGTGGTGTGGAACAAACTTCATGATTATAAATGCGATTAAATCTTTCCTTATGATCTATGGTGCCATACAAAATGTGCCATGTGTCTGCTTTGGCAACAACCCCGTTGCATTATGCACAGAGCAGAGTTATGTTGGTGTCTCTCTTACCTCCCCAAAGCCCAGGGCAAGAGTTCTGAATCTTTTTGAATCACATTACATGAAAAAGGCAAGCAAGGCACAAAGCTTTAGTAACGCTATTTTTGGACTCGAGTCTATGGTGGGCGTGCTAACCCCCTGGGATGGCCAAAAACTTTGTATGGCCCTTGTCGATCCCCACCTGGTGCATGGATGTGAAATCAGCCCAGATAAAAATACATCCTCCTTAGCTAAACTTGAGGAGATCCAGGCTGCCTTCCTATGGTGCCTACTTGGCCTTAATCAGCGTGCAATGCTTGCCCCCACTCTCCACAGAGATGGCACTACAACCCTTATGCTTTCGGAGGGCCTTCATCAAACTCAACTTCCTAAAATACCTTACAGGTCTACATGAGGACCGTCTTGCAAGGTGTGCTCTGGTGGACTCCATGACACTTGCCCTCAACAATTGTGCATCATGGTACGGTGACCTGCAAACCGTGCTCACGAGGCTCAACGCACTGATGGAGGCTCCAGATGCATAGGCTTACCTACCTCAGGATGTAGAGAAAGTTGTGGCCACACTGAATACTGCCATGCTAGCTGAACTACAAGGTGTGATAAATAACTCCCCAAAACTATATCTATTACATGGCCTGAGAGAGAGGGGACATGGTCTAAAAGTATGGATTTCCAACACTATTTGCATGTACCAAACGTGGCCCACTGCAGAGCAATTACCCAGATCCTGCTCTCGTCACACTCCCTGGCCCTGGAGCGTCTCCAATGGACTGAACATCACCGCCCTAGGATCCCCAGAGAGGACAGAAAATGCCACATATGTAAGGAGGCTATTGAATCTCCAGAACATGCATTATTGGAGTGTCAGGCAGACGAGAACTTGACTACCTTGCGCAACACATTCATTGCCAAGTTCTACTAGGGAATGGCACAGGTAACCCTGGGGTATTCCAGGGAAACCCATACCCATACCCGCAAAAACCTGTACCCACACCCACAGATACAGGTTTTTTGTGGGTACGGGTCAAGGGTTGGGACAGGTTGACGGGTCCAGAAACCTGTACAGGTTCATTGTGCGGGTTGATTACTGATTGGGGTTAGAATGGCATGTAGATGAGGGGATTGCCTCGCAAAAGCATCACGGACGTTAAATGATGTTGCAATGGACATTTGCAAGGGTGAAGTACTTGTAACATGGGCATGTAATGACCTGAACAGAGGGGCGGACTTGGCCTCAGCATGCTCTTGTGCTGTGCCCCTACACATCATCTGGTTGTCCCCAATTTACAGGAACTGCCTTGGTCTTGACAAAGAAGAGACAAGAAGAAGTCATCCTGGCCAAGGCCCAGGAGACAGAGGATGAACAACAGAGCAGAGGGGTTGTCAAGGTTGAGATTCAAGCTGGGGAATCCAGTCCACTACCTAGCTACTTATACTATTGAGAACAATGGAGAAGATCTAGGTTATGTAATGAATGCCAGCAGAACAATGACAGAGAACAATAAGGACAATAATGAATAGAACAATGAAGGGAAAGCCTATTGATGAACCAGAACAATGAACAATGGGACAATGGAACAATGGGTTCAGGAATGGGATGTGACAGAGCTCAGGCATGCACATGAAAAAATAGGAAAAAATAGTATTAAATTGTAATAAATTAAGTACAACTGTGCAGGTGGCTACTAGAGCCACCTGCACTGAGATAGAGATAAAACAAGCTGAAACGGTGCTCCACGAATGCACCGTTTCTGCTCGAGTGGACCTGCCATGCTGTCTCCTTGTGCTCACGTGGTTCCTCACCGCTGCTGCTGTGGTTGTTGTTCACGCCGCTGCCGCCACCATCACTGTTCTCATTGGTCCTTGCTGCTGCCACTGCCGTCGATGTTGTTCCTCGCTGCCACCCTGTTGTCGTCATTCCCATCGTTCCTCACTGCTACTGTCGTGGTTCTTGTGTTCCTTGCTGCCATCGTTGTCGTTGTCGTTGTCATAGTTCTCCGCTGCCATTGTGGTTCCTCATGTCCTCATCGCTGTCATCCATCCGGTCCTCATGTTTGCTTCCCGAAATACCACCTCCATCCAAGTATTACACGGCATATGAGACACCGTGCTTCTGTGGATGAGAGGCAGGAGGTGGGGTGAGAGGCAACAGGAGGGTAAGGGAGGCGATTTGCTGCCCAAATTCCATCGTACAAGATTACACAGTGCCACTTGGACACTGGCTCCGCATACGATGCAAGAGGAGGCGAGGAGATGAGCGGGAAGGCAAAACGAGGGGTGGGTGGTGTTTGAGCAGATGGGGGCCAGATGAGCGGGTCGTGCGGGCCGACACAGATAGTCCTGAGCTCGTTGAGGGAGGGTGCATCCGCAGACGACGCCGACCATGCTGGGATGGGGAACAGGCAGCGGGTGAGTGGCTATCGTGAGGGGGACAGTTCAGCCACGTACCTTCATGGGTTTGTGGCCCATGCTCGTCCCCCCTATGCTCGTGCACATGCATTTCCCTTCCTCCTCCTCCTCCTCCTCCTCTTGTCTCATGCTCATTTCGGCGTACTTGCCTGCATGCACGTCAACCTCATTTCACGTGTGCTCGCCACCGCCCATCGTCTTCGTGTTCATTCCAGCTGCATAGCCAAGAGAGCGAGACGGGGAGGGTGAGATGGTGAAGGCGAAACGGGTGTCATGCCATCTCCATCTCCCTCCTGCTTCTGTTTCCCTTGCAACCTCTGCCTTGTCTGTACACGGATGGTACCTGAGAAAATGTGGCGAGGGCCGTGGAACCGAGCAGAAGATGACCCATATCCCTCCCTTATTGAAGGGAGGGGCAAATAGGGTGGTTGAAGAGCGGGATGTCGAGGGCGGCGCTGGGCAGTTGATGATTGAGTCGGCATGCGAGCAAGGAGAGGAGAGCGTGGGTGCTGCTGTCGCAGAGAAGCTGGCCCACATCCCTTGTTGAAGGGGAGGGGCATACGGCATGGTGGCTGGAGTCATGCATGCGAGGGGGAATGTCCTGAGGGACAGAATGTGTAAATAAGTGGTTTGAATGATAGAAATGGGTGTACTTACCTTATCTGTGACGAATGCAAGTCTCACAGCGCATTTTGAGGCATCAGGGAGTGCCAGGTGGTGGTCGAGAGCAGCAATCGACGATGCTCAACATCGTTGATTGTTGTTTTGGCAAACTCCGCCATGCGGCTGGGGCCACCAGTCCGCCTACCTGCGATGTTGAGCAAGACATTGGCGACGTCCTCAACGGCCATTAACAAGAGATTTTCATATAGCAAGTATATAGAACTACTTTACATGTGTATTAGAGTATATTTAAATAACTTGAATGGCATGAATGTGTCTAAAAAAATAGACATGTGTAAGTGCACTGTTGGGACTGTAAGTTTCAATGAGAATCTTACCGTTGAAATGTGCATTTGGAGATCACAACATTTAAACTGCAGGAACACTTTGGGGGAGGCCTAAGTAATGTACAGAGCACATACTACGTTGAGGTTATGATGTAAATAGTCTCATTTCATCAATTCTTTATTGCTGTACACACAGGTAAGTCTTTGCAAAAGCCTGAAATCACCACGCATGGACTGTGTGTGCCATATTCTGAGCTCAATCATGGTGGGATCTCTCTAATTTTTTATATACATATCAACATTTATATATATAATAATATCCGACCCTCATCCTGTGGTTGAGTGGCCCATGTGTGGGCACAGAGACATCCCATTCCTCGAGAGGCGGAAGAGGGGGCTCGGTCCGAGAGGTCATCAGCCAATCGGACTCCATACGGCAATAGCCGAAAAACAATCAACAATGGTTCAACCGTCATTGATCATTGTCTCGACACCCATCCCCTCCACCCAGCACCTCTCTGGTCGCCCATCCAGCCCTGAAAACACGACAAAAGGTATGTAGAGTACGTTTTATTGTTTTTGTATACTAATTACATTTGCTTTGTCTCATCAGAGCCCACCCACATCACAGATGACGTGGCCTCTTGCCTCAACCCCGCCGTGCGCCCCTCCCCTCTCATAGGGATGTGGGCTGGCTTCCAACCCCTACGTGTATCCTCCATCGACACCCGATCTCCCCCGCAACCCAGATATTGGCCCCACTGTGTGCTGTTTGCCCCGCCCTCACTCTCACCTCACCCCTCCCCTCCACAGGGATGTGGGTCTTGCTATTCGCCCTGGCACGCACTCTGCCTCACTTGGCCCAACAGGGCAACAACAACAACAGGGTGACGACGAGCATGGCAACGGGGTGAGGACCAGGCGATGGTGAGGATGACGACTGGGCGACGACAAGGATGGTGACAGGCAGAGGACTGGGCGAGGAAGAGGACGGTGACAGGATGGGGCGACAAGGAAGATGGCGATGGGGCGACAATGCGGGGCGATAACGGCAATGATGACCAGGAGATGATGGGGTAGATTAGACAGGAGAAGGATGGCGTGTGCAAAGCCACACCCTCCTCTCGCCCTCTTGACCTCTCTGCCCTCTCTGCCTCCCGCCCTCTCTGCCCTCTCTGCCCTCTCCCTCTCCGCATCACCCACCCCTCCCCCTCAACAGGGATGTGGGTGCCACTCTTCCTCCCACCAGTCCCCTGCCAATGTTTGCCGCTCACCACGACCTCTCCTCATCCCTCCCTACCCATATCTCACCCTCTCGCCCTCCCTTCTTTGCCCTCTTCCCAACCCACAGTTCCACAGTGGTGTGACGGAGGAATGACGGATTCAAGAGCAGCGACTCAAGCACGTTGGGCATGTGGAACAAATGTAAATGTCGTCACGGTGTGGGGGCGAGCACAGTGGGAGAGAAGTAACAAATGAAGGCAAGGGAGGGAAAGGGCAAGGGCTGGATGGACAAGAGGGCGATGGCAAGCACAAGCACGAGGGGGTGGGCGGTTGGTGTAACGGCGGTCAGCCTGACTGCAAGTTCACCACATACACCCGACACACCCTCTACCAGCTACTTCAGCACCGCATTGCCCAGTGCAAGGCAACAACACGATCGGGTCCCCACAGCGCAAGGGTCATCCCACAGGACGACAGCAGGACAGTGGCAACGGGGCAACGGCAATGATGATGACACGAGGATGACACAAGGGCGGTGAGCCCAGCGCTGACATTGACATGGCGGTGGGTGGCCTGTGCACGACAATGACAAGCAGGAGATGCACCATAGCAGAAATGGCATGTCATGGATGTGCTGTTTCTGCTCGTTTTGTCTCTACCTCATAGGGGGTTGGCTCTACTAGCCACCCCCTTCCTGTATGTATTTTATTTACAATGTAATATGATTTTTTTGCAATCCTTTGGTGTGCCCTGCAGATGCCCAAGCTCACTGGATGTTGTAACAGATGACAGCGAGCATATTTTCTTTGGTGAGGGAATGGCAGATAATTCCAGTAACTAAAAATAGCAGATGACCGAGAAAATGGCATGTCATCCAAAACATCCCCTCCCAATCCAGCCTATCCCGCCCCCCAACGGTGGGGGAAACGGTGTACAACGATGAGGAAATATGTTTCCTCACCACTGGCACCTTTTCCCCGTCGAAAACAGGGGCAGGAGCACCCCAAACGACGAGGAACAGTGTTCGGGCACTGTTTCCTGCATTGTTTGTGTGTGTTGACAGGTCCCGCCCACAGCCATGAGCCCTGGCACACCCGGCAAGGCCATCCCAATGAACTCCAGTAGGTGGACTGTAAAAACACAGTCCTGATCTATGAGGCTACCCTGTAAAAATACAGTATCTGATACATTCTCGTAGCTGATAGAAGTGTCTGGGCATCGTGATGGATGCCACAGGTAAACCATATCTTCATCTATAAGATGAATCTGATGATTGATAGCTCGTAGAGGTGGTAGAGGTGTCTCCACAGCTGTTTTACATAATGGAGCTGCATACTCTCAAAGGTACTCGTGCACCTCTTCAAGATTCTCCTCACGCAGCAGTGCACTCCTCGACACGACCTTTCTGACACTTATCCCTTCAATAGGCAATGATTTGTCACTTCCAATGACGCATCAAGTGGGGTTAAACCCAATCATGACACTATGTTGATACAACCACGGCATTCCAAGTATCAAATCATAACTCGAGACGTTCAAAATATCAAAGGTTCGTTCCTCATTGATATTCTGATACTTAAACTGGGTTGATATCTGATAGTTAACTTTAGAGCGCGATCCCTGAACAGCCAACTGTACGTTCAAAGGTGATGCTAGCTCTCTTTTCTTTAACTTCAGCTGATCCGCTAGTGTGCTCGACATAAAGTCGCATAGCAAACCCGAATCGACGAACGCCTGAGCTAAGCACCCATCGATCTCAACAGCTATTCAGATGGGTTCCTACTACCCTCAAGAAATCTTTTGCGAAGGCTGCCATCCTATGTGCTGAAGGGTACGTGTCATTCCCTTTTGCTTTTGATGCAGCGCAATGAATATCAAATTCCTCGTCTAGCTCAATCATATAAGCTTCAAGAAATGAATTCATCCACTCATCATCGTCGCCGTCATCGTCATTGTCATCGCTCCCTCCCGCATCTGAGAAGATATCAGGCGGTGTCTTGTCAAACAGGGTGTCAAGGTCCCAGCTGTTGAGCTGCTCGAAGTGCTCTAGGGACATGTCCTGTAAGTGCTTTGTTAATTGCCTCAAATACCATTGTCTAATGTCTAGGCGATGGTTCGTTAACTCCTCAGGAGTTATACTACTAACCAATCACGCTATGATGTCATATATCCTGTAGGTGTTCGCATGGCAATCCCACACAATTTTGAAACAGTACATATTGTTTCTTTTTTCTTTCGAGCAGTGGTAATAATTGAAGAAGCACTCGCCAAACGCAAGCTTCCATGCACCATTAAGTGCCCACAAATCGCGCTTTTGCGGCGATTTCTTGTGCCATCGAGGTAAGGGCTTCACCCTAACTCGTTTCCGCTGTGTGCACTTAATTGCATACCACCGGCCAATCAGGAAATCGTCTCGCAAGGCCATCGAAGCCTCAAGTACTTCCGTTTCATTGGTCACTTTGTCCTGTATGATTAGATGACCTGGGTAGCTAGGGTACACATTAAAATGGTGGTTTACCTTGCTTTCCCAGCAAGGATCCCCTGGAAAGGGTCGCATCGCGTCCAGTAAGTGCTCAACTTGTTTGCACAATGGATCGCCAATCTTCCCATCCACATTTTTGGGTGTGTCTTCACTCTCCGGATCATACAACAGCCTCGCAGCCTCCTCATACGATAAGGTAGGGCCTACTTCGACGTATTCCTCAGGTGGGTCATCCACATCTGACTTGCACATCCAGGAATCATTCTCATCGACTGCACCAGACATGAAATTAGCGAAGTCCTGGAAGACCTCACTCCTTTCTGTGTCATTCCCAGTGTCAAATGAGACATTTGCCAACATTACTGATGACACTCCAACCGATTTTGCTGGCTCGGTGGTACCTTCCAGGTTTCGGTACTGTTTCTCCTTTTGAACGGCAAGCTCCACACTGAAGCTCTTCAAACCAGGGGGCTTACTGCCTTTGTTCGAGGATACTGTCTGTGCTTTCGGGCACTGGCGTGAGACATGACCCTTCTCGCAGCAATGGAAGCATTTACCTTGCTTGCGAAGAAGTGCCTTCTCGTCCTCGGTTAGCTCAGGTGTGCTTTCCTTCTTCTTTTCGGGCTCTTTTCCCTTATCTGACCTCGACTTTTCATTGTCATGTGGCTTAAAGGGTTTCAATGAGCTTGAAGGTGCGCTACTGTTATTATTGTAATGACTCTTCGTATTCTGATTTGTGTGCTTGCTCAAACTAGCGCCTGCATCGCGATCTCCTAAAACAAGGCCATTGGCAATCTCGTGCCGCTCAGCAACACGCACAACTTCTTTCCATGATGAGGTTTGGGGGTCCAAGTTCTCCCTCCACAACGCTCGCTGTAACTCAACCCTTAAACCATTCCACAACTTGTCAACACGTTGACACGTTGAGGATGACCCAAGGGTATGGAATACTATCAATAGCTCAGCTGCGTATTCTCTGACTCATAGGTTTCCCTGTGTCATCTTTTCTAGCTTATGGCTTTGCTTCAAACGGAAGTCAGGTGGGAAGCAATAATTGAAGAGACCTTTCAGAAATTTCTTCATGCTCCACCCTTCGGTATCCATTGATACTTCTGTTGTGTAGAACTTGTACGCTTTACCGGTCAAGTAATCCGCACATTTGGATATCCGATCGTACTTTGGGATATTGGCCTCCCTGCAGAATCTCGCGCATTGGGTTGCAAAGCGGTAGAATTTCATTGGGTCAGCCTCACCGCTGTACTTTTCGGGTGTCATTGGCGCGATTTGCTTATACACGGTGCCCTTCTTTTTCTTTTTGTGGTGATCCTCCTCATCTTCCGAGTCAGACGGATCCAAGTCTGAAGGGTCCTCATCGTCATCAGACGATGAGTCTTCCTCCTCCTCCTGCCCATCTGCAACGCCTTTGGTAGGCGGCTCAGGTGGACATTTCTTATTCCCATTAAGCGCCCAGCTCAGATAACTGTCAGGTGCAACCTGATTGCTAGTGCGTAGGACTTCAGGCCTGGAGTTTCGAACTTGAGACAGTGTTTGCCCCACAGGAAGAGGCTCCCGCTGCGACTCTTGCCCTCCCTCAGGCCTCATTTCGTCGTGCCCTCCAGACGTCGCTTTACGCCCTCCAGCAGTTGCAGTGGGGCGCCACGTGGCCTGTCCGATCAACGCTTCCATCTCATTCGAGAGTGGGGTGGCTGTATGGCGTGGCGCGTGTTCTTCTGTAGCCTTGGCTGCCTTTTTCTGACAGGTATTCCTTCTCAAGCGCCTTGGCTTTCTCCTGCATCGCGCAGACTTCCTCTCATGTGATTTGCGGAGTCTCATTGGTCGTTTTACGGGTCTCGTTTGGTGCACCTGTCGAGTCCCTTTCCAAGCTATTATCATTGTTTTTAGCTAATCCACGGTTATCCCTATTACTGTGCATAACCGGTTACTCGGTCACACCAGCTACTCGGTCATTGCCTTTGTGGGTGGCACAGTTGCTCATTTCACTCCATTCTTTTTGTGCTTTCATGTATAATAGTATCAGAGCAATCTAACTACATTTTTTGGCAGACAGAACACCATTCCTCGCAGAGAAATGAGCCTCCCTTTGTGTCTGGTGATGTGTGACGGCCAATTTCCTTATTTGATATCGTGTTTCTGGTGGTCCCGGAGGGCTTTTCTCAATGACATGACACATTGCCAGGAAGATACTTTGGACTTAAGAATTTCATAGTGATTACTGTATAATTAAGCAAGTTCCTCTGATGTTGAAGGATTACTGCACTTCCAACCTTGAAAATTGGAGAGTGTGTCATTTTGGAGGTGAATTGGACTGTTCCTGCTGATTTCTCTTAGTACAAAGCACCTATTGCCTAAAAAAGAGGTGGAATGAATTGTGAGGCAAATATCTGTGCATGACAGAAGACCCCTTAATTTTTACAAATTTCTTCTGAACATAAGACACCAAGCAATTGAAAAATCTTGTTTTGAGTGATGAGAAATGTCAAATTGAATAGCTGAAAGGAAAACATCAGAAATCATGAAATAAGAAGACCAGAATATGATAGAGGTGTCTAAATTTCACTGGAAACATTTTTTCATTGAGGTCAGACCAACTTCAAAGAGTAATTCAAGGTGGCCGAGTGTTGTCCTCATATTCTGAGGTTATCTTATCATCAGCTTACTAAGCATAACTGACCCTAGTTACAGCTGGTGTACAGGACCAATACAAATCAGTCTAGTCTCAGGGCCTGGCTGACTTCCTGATTTTGACCGATTTTGACTTGTCGAAATAAAATATTCATGGAGGTCTCAAACCGTCCCTTAAATTTCTGGTAATTGGTGCACTAGACTCGCAACCAGTCATGTTCGCAAGATCACATGTGCTGACATAAGACAACCTAACGAAATAGGAAGGAAGCGATGTGAGCTTGTGAACAGACTGGAATAACTGGTCACGATTTTGGCTGGAAGCGTGACGGCCCGCCAAACATGAGTTTGGACTTAGCCGTTTTTTCGCGTTCACGCGTTCACACACACCGTCAAATGTGTGATCCCGCTCTGTCCCTCCACAAATAGCATTCTGTAGACTAGATATCTACTTCATCCAATGCTCCTGCACCTCTCCCTCTTCTAGAACCTCCAGCAGATGGCAAACCCTGCACCTGAGGAGCCCAAAGTGATCCAGACATCGGCAACATGGACAGTTGACTCGCGAAGGGAACTGACATCTGAGGGCTCTGGGAATAGCCTTCAATTACGAAAAGTGGCTGCGCTCCTGTCAGATCATTTGCGGTCTGGGTGGCTTTCACCGTCTTCTTCTGCTTCTTTGTTACCACGGCTCCTTGCTCTTGCCCGTCGACAACTGGCCTCTTCAGTGCTGCTTTGGGTGCTGTGGGCAGCGGAATTAGAGGTGGTATGTCGAGCTTGAGCAGTTCCTGCAAGAGCTCATCTCCGTAGGTCTCTTCCCAACCCCACTGGCCCGAGACAGCTGCTGAGAGCTGTTCCGGGCATTGGATTGGCCCCACATTTGCCAGCAAATCAACAACTTCATCGGAAACCAGCCCATCCGATGCGAACAACGCATCTTTGAAGTCACGGGCCTTGATCTTAGAGCGCCATGCAACGACCACGTCAATGACAAGTTGACAAGGCTCGCCTCTCTTGACAACCTTTGCCCTCGTGTTCTTTGGCTTTTCCCCAGGCACGTGCGATTCAGGAGTTCGGGGCAGCAGATATCACAACATGGAACGGACGGGACTGTTTTCGGTGTGTCAGTAATAATTTTATGGTGCTTTCGTCTTTGATAACTTACCTGTGACTAGTACATGACCATAGATCACGCCCAGGACCCTTCTTCGACAGGTGCCTGACTGCACCAAGCTCACCAACCCCTCGTCGGCCGCATCTTCACTTATCGGAGGACAATCACGCACCAGGATCGTATTGTGCCAACCTCCCAACGACCCACGTTGGACACCTCGCACCTTTGCATGATTCTTTTTTAGTTTCTTCAGCTCTGCCGCCTTTGCCTTTTCAGCGGGTGTAGATGCCGCCTTCTTCGTCTTCGTTTTATCAGTGCCACTTGGTGTCGCGTCCGGTTTGTTTCCCTTTTCATCCAGCATGATGCTGTACGTTGACGGCTCCACGAGCAGGACAGCAAGGCCAAGATGATCATGCAAACGAGCAGCTCGGCCTGCCCGTTGGACAAAGGCTGACACAGAGGTTGGGAGTTTCCACTGGACAACAAGGTCGATGTCTGGGATGTTACATTGTAACGACCGTGCCGGATGGGGTGGGGACTTGGCTTCAGCTTGACGGAAAGGGCAGCTGCGCCACCACGCAACGTCTGGGTGTCCCCAATTTCGGATGAACAGGGAGGAGCCAGATTCCGGCAGTGAACTAGAGCAAAGGGGGTATGTCGAGTTCGATATTCCGACTGAGGAATCTACTACTGTACATGGGTATTTATGCTATGTAGGATAATGGACCATGATTATGTAATAGATAACTTAGCCGGGACAAGGAGAACAATGAAGGACGATGGGACGATGGCTGGGAGACACAATGGAGTGAGCCGGAAACATGGCTCACCTCGGAAGTGCCTCAGAAGCGCACGGCTCATTCCCAGATGTCTCGGAAGCATCCCGGAAGAACACGGCTCATTACCACAAGCCTCGGAAGCTGGATACAGCCTCGGGAGCCGGATAATTGTGCCGGGAGCTGGGGACGGGTCGTGACATACATCCCTGGACAATTGTGAGTCACGTCAAACAACATGTAAGATGGCCGGAGACTCACCATTCCTGCAGCATCTGTGCAAACAAGGATGCGCACAGAACCCTCCTTGAATGCCCTCATCGCCGCCCGTCGATACTTTTTGGAGAAGCATGCGTTGTATGGTCGAATTATTCCAACGTCTTGGAGATGCTCAGGTAAGAGATCTGTAAGATGATCGATGATCTCGGTGCCCATTGCAATGCTATCGCAGTAGATAAATGATTTGAGGATATCGTCTGGCCATTCTGCAAGCTTGTTAATGACGAAATCGAGGTCGGCATACGTGTTTAGTGGGTGTTGGATGCCACGGATCACAATGGAAACATTAGGTTGGTCATTCCCTATGTCGATGTCCAGGAAATTCTTCTGATCAAACCGTAGTACCCAAAGGACTTCTCTCCGAACACGGGCAGGAAGAGTGGCAGAAAGTGCAACGATTGGAGTCAATTTTAGTAGAAAAGATCGAATAATTCCAAGCTCGCTGTACTTCTTTCGAAAGCCTGACCCCCAGTGCGAGATGACATGGGCCTCATCGATTATCACAGAGAGCACCCTTTTCTTGAATTCGGTGTTCTTGAGCACCTCCTTAATGAAGCGCCGTGAAAGCAGGAGCTCCAGAGAAATCAAGATGATTTGTGTGTCGCCTTTGACAATGCTCTGGACATCATGAGTTTTTTTGACACTGCCTGAAATTGCTCCACATACCTTCAGTTTCTCTGTTATGCACCTGCCGTTACTGCTATTAACCACTGTTGCGACAAGCTTGAATTCTTCATGGAATGTATCAACCTGATATAAGATGAGTGTGGGGCCCCTCTTTTCACAACTAGGCTCACCATCTCGTCATGTAGTGTGATAAGTGGTGACACCATTATCGACACTTTCCCCTTTGCACTTGGGTGAACATGAGGCCCTGCTGCAATGGCTGTCTTCCCTGTTCCTGTTCCCACATGAATGAGAACATCGCGCATTTCTAGCTGGGCATTAATAGCATCCATCTGAAATACCCGAGGTCCGTCTTTCCATCCGAACTGTTCTGCAATTTTTGCACTCAAGCCTTCCAGCTCATCTTTAGTGCATGGGTGACGATCCGGTACACTCTCTGATGCAGAATTTCAGGCTGAGGCAGGTTTTCGCCGGCGATGGGTTGTGCCTTTTGGTGCAGTTGACATTGGTATAGGAGAAAGGAGGAGGCATTCATTCCGGTCACTTGATTTTCTGTACTGCATCTGCTCCTATTCTCTGCAATAACCACCTTGGCTAGCAATGCCTGAGTCCCTTCCCCCCTTGTCTCCTCCACCTGAATCACCATTGACCTCTGAGTCTGAGTCCGACATTCCAGAATCTCCAACACCAGCAGAACGAAACACGACACGACGTGGACATGGACGTGCCTGTGCCTCATCGCTTCCACTTAGTCCTCTGCCTGTACCACCCCTCCCTGGATTACTTCAAACCCAAGTTGCTGACACGACTGATGTCCATACCTTGCCTCCACTGTTGAGTGACGGCCTCCAGCCAACATCTCCAATCACTGGAAGAACCAAGGGAGAGCGAGCTGCAAAAAATCGCATGAAAGGCCAGAGAAAGCGCAATGCTACACTGGCTCAGAAAAAAGAGGAGCAAGCGGCTCAGCAAGAGGAAGAAAAGGCTCAGCAGAGCGAGGCCGAGCAGGCGAAAGAGAGGCACAAGCTGAGGTTCTTTGATGATACCCTCGATTCCCTTTCATCCCGTGGATATACATTGGGACAACTGGTGCAGTATGTCTCAGATCCAACTCACGGCCAAGGTCAGGCGCGTTGGGAGAGTCTTTTTCGAGACCGGAAATCTGTTCCGTCAATTCTTGAACTTTGGGCTACCAAGGGCAGTACAGTTTCAAAGGAACAAGTTCATACCTGGGCTGTAGATTTCATGTCAGAGGAGGTTAAGCAAGAAGCCCAAAGAATCACGGAGTCAGGCTATCTTCAGACCCTGAAACGAAAGGTGGACAGCACATTAGTCCTCAATTTCGACCTCAAGACCATATATGCGCACCTGACATGCAATGGGTCCATCTTCATGAACATCCTTCAGTCTCTTGCAACCTCGGCTTGTCAGCTCAAGAGTGCACCGATAGAGCGTATGGCTAAAAAGATAAAGGTAAGTACTGTGAATATCCAACTGGTGTCATTACTAAATAAAAGCCATGGAACAGGTTGTAACATCGGCCGCGTTATCGGGAATACAGTTACAACAATAACTGGCCAAAGAAGGTCATTGGCCTGTATATGTACAGCACTGGCTCCCAACGCCAACCGCTCAGTGTGATGTCGCACTTGGGTCTATCTGAAAGCTATGATGCAATTACTGGAAAACAGCGTCGGAAGAAGAAAAAAGCGGCCACTAGCGATGCATTGCCGCTGATTGAAGAGCTTCTGAAGTCAAAAGGAGGGACCCTCCGTCAACTCTCACGCTCGATGGTGGATGCCGCATCTGCTGTAGCATCAACAGGCCTTTTTGCCACTTCGTATGATAATATCAACATGGTGTTCCGTGCAGCTGAGCAGATTGTTGGGTGGACAGGTACTTCTATTATTCTTGAACCCAGACTGCTAATATAAGATGGGTCTAGATGCTCAGGAGAATGGCACATGTGCCACAATTTGGCTGCTGTGGAAGGCAAGACTGGAAGACATGAAAGTCGAGGACCTGACTTCCACCTTTGATCAAGCACCCCTGCTCTCTATTCATGATGTAATCCTTTCTCCAGTGGAGGCCACTCAGCTCAAGTTAAACCTCCAACATACTATTTCACAGATAATTGTGACATATGGTGGTGAGGGTTTTGAGAAGTTTGGGGATGATCTTGCACGCACACTGCCAGTCAGTGACGAGAAGATTGAGCTCAACAAAACACCACTCCACCCTCTCCCAGCCATGGATATTGATGAGTCTACAATCGTTGGTGGGGCCGAGGTTGTGGAAACAATTTTTGACATACTCGGGATTCGCAAAGTGAAGGGCTGGCTTGGGACCATCAAGTTTTTTTGTGGCGATCAGCTTACTATCGCTCGGCTACGGGCACTTGTCAATATTCGGGCTGGCCATGAGGGAGGCTATTCAGGCTTTGGGTGGGGTGTTTGGATGCCAGGACTTTTCCATGCGAAGATGGCTGATGTCCATGGCTGTCTTCTGACACATTGGGGGAAACCGTCTGCAGGAACTCGAAATCCAGGATGCTTGGCCTTTCACAACACAGTTCTCCAACGTAAGCCCATCACCATTACATCCCCCCCACCCTTTCGCACATGCCGTGATCTTATCTTTGTGTCACTCTATGCCCGGGTCCTGCACTGTCTGCTTCTTGTCTCAAAGAAGGCATCTCTCAAGGAGTGTCTCGAGGATTTGACGTGGGCCCAACTTGAACTCTACTCAACAGAAATCCTCGAGAAATTTGGAAGTGCGGACATTGTTTCTGAGCTGAGACAGAAGCGGAAACAAGCTGCAGCGAAGCTGACCACAGAGACGCCAGTGCATGACGGTGACATGGTGTTCGAAAATGCTGTTCTCTTCTTTCGCGATGCTCTTCTCTCGCATGAGTTCACAGATGCTGTCAAATCTGGGGACTCAGGCCGAGTTTTATTAGTTCTGAAAACCTGGGCGCTTAGCTTTCGGGGAAGTGGCCGAACAAAATATGCACATGAAATGTTGCATTTAATCCATAACCTTACCCATGTATGGCCCAGGGAAATCCGGTGTGTTTGAAGGGAAAGTTGATATTCAGTTCATTAACCCTTGAATCCTTGGCCTCTTAGAAACATCATCCTCAATAACTGGTTGATAAATCCCACTGGGAACCCAAATTCATGGATCGAGGTTGACCTTATGCAGGAACACATGAATTTTTGGATTAAGGTCAGATGCGCGAGATGTTCTTCACCTTATCTCATCATTCAAATTCTCATGATATTTATTTGTCGTGCAGAATTTCTACCGAGCCCATGGCAGCTCTGCATCATGGGAATGGCTCGAAATGGTGGCCCCATGTGTTGAGATCCTTCGACAGCTTGCTCGTGGGTTTAAACAGATGCTCGAGTCGGACTTAGGGACTGCCCACCATCCTATGGACTTGTCCCATGATCTGCCTGATCTCATGGATAGTCTTGAAGATCATGAAGTTTACATCTACAAGAAAGGCTGATATCTAGATGAGGATGATGCCCCAGCAGTCGATATCATTTCCTCTGGGCTCAAGGATCTTCTCAAAGGAAAAGAAAGTCCTTTAGTCAACTATAACGACACGTTCCATCACCTCCAGGCAAGACGTCGCCTCAAACCGTTGGTGGGATCCGAGTCGGATGAGGACGAGGCTCCTGCTGCTCAGACATCACTTGCGACCACTGTCGAAGTTCTTCGACACTCGGAGGATCCCAAACTCGAGGATCCAGGATCGCAGGAAGGTAGTTCAGATGACTTCAACTCCGACTCTGGCTCGGAAAACTCAGATGACGAAGAGTCCGAGCACCCCGGTGAGTTCCTACAAGAGTTTGAAGACGGGAATGTCCAAGAATTATCCCTCGAGTCTGCAGCGGATGTCTGCCTTGACATGGATGCTGAAGATCTTGCCACTTGGAGCATGAACATGACTCAGATTTGGACACTGATGAAGAAGGAGGCTTTGTTTAAAGTACATACTTACATTAGAATCCTATTTAAGTTGTTCGAGTGCCCAAAATTTGGGCAGACGAGCCATTGTTGAACGGAATCAGGCTGCACACAGTCAAAATCACGGAAATTTTGCTAAGTCCATTGTCACACTTGGCGGAGCGAGCTGTGACCCGCCATGTGACTGACCAGTTCGACCAGCCGCTTTCGCAGCTGAAAGCTGATGACCGAAAGCGGATGGTCACGAGCCTATTGGTGCACAGGTACTTCAGATGCTTGCCTATTGAGTAGTACTGTTATTTTTTCTGATACCCCAAAACCAAGCACGCAAATCTTAGGCGAGTGTAGAGTGACCGAGATGCCGGTCATCTACAGTATCTACTGGGGTGTACCGCATGTTTCGGTCGCCATCATCGGCCGCCGATTCTCTGATCCCTGCGAGGAGCGCATGCTGCACCTCGGGATTACTTTCATCCTCAGGAATTCCAGCTGCTCCCCGATTTCTTGGGTCCACAGCCTTTCCCCGCCCCGACGGACCAGCCTTTGGTGGGGGGTATTCCTGTTCGTCTTCGCTGGGATCCGGCTCATCGACGAGCGGCCCATACCTCTGAAAGAGACGACGCTCGAGCGCCTCGAGGTTGCTTCGAGTTTGAGCCACCGCGGCCCAAGCCTCGTCCAGCGCGTCGTCACGCACTGGTCTTCGATTGGAGTCAACACTCCGTGAGCGTACCTGCCTCGCAGCTGCGGACCGAGAGGTAGTCTCGGGTCCGATTGGGGCAGCAACGTTGCTCCCATTCCCAACCTTAGGGACAGCTGCAGGGCGGCGTTGGCTCTGCACCGGGGTCGAATCATCGCCCCGCTCGGATTCCTCTTCGTCCTCCGAGTCTCTCCCGACCCTCGATCGCGGAGAGCATGCCCTATCCTCTCCATCGCCAGACTCATCAGTGACGGGCGGTGGAGCTTGCGACTCACCTCGTGTAGATGCAGGTGTCTGCCTGCTAATCCTCGTCGAGGAGCGAGTCGCCGTCGGTTTTGTGGTAGTCGTGGTGTTCTTCGTCGCCGCGGGTGCCATCTTGGAAGACTCGGGTGATCAAACCGAGGGGAATCCGAAGGGAGGTTGACGGAGACGAAAGAGAGTAAAGCAGTAGTTTAGAAACGAGTTTGTGCTGTCAAAAATATGTGGCGGGAGGGTGACGAATCACCAGTCCAGACACACGATGACCTCAAAAAGACAGGTGTGATTCAAAGTCAAGGTATCTACGTAGGCTACGTCGAACTTATATACTGCCGTAGATAGCTTATCTAATCGTAATCTTATCAGTACGCGTAAACGAAAATGTGTCAGCCTTGGACTTGTGTGACGAAGACCACGGCGTCTCGCCACACAGTGTAACCTACGCCGTTTCGCTGGTGCTGCGTGTCCAACGGCGACATGGGCAGTTTCTGACGGCAATGAGAAAGGACGAGAAAGTAATTTCTTTGTAGAATAGCTATTTCAGTTGGTGTCCACGGACGATACATCACCCCTCCCGAGACAGGCGGCAGTAGATGAGGAAGAAAGCACTCCTAACGGCCCATGTGCCATCTACAAACAATTGGACTGTGAATAATATCCGAGCCGTGAAAAGATTGATAGCGCACCTGGATAATCGAGAAGCTGCACCAAATGGTCGAGAATCTTCTTCTCATATCTCACTCGGGAGTCGGATCTCGTTCAATCTCGTCCCCGTAAAAAAGCTAAATCCCCTGTTGAAGTCGAATCTGATAGCTCTCCGAAGACATAGCTGACTTTCCTCAATGTCCTCGATAACGTCGCATGAAGTTTAGGTAGGTACTTGATTTACGGAACGGATAGACGACTACCGAAATGGTCGTTGTTCAGTAGTTCGGACAATCACCACGAATGAAAGTTGGAAAGAAAAGGCTCAAAAAAAAGGGAAGATGAAGATGGAGAGTCGAAACGAAAAGTCGTTCGAAGCAGCTAATAGGGGTTGTCACGAACTCACATAAAAATACCCTCATCTATGCGGCCGCTACGCAGTGTACGGGCAGTTTAACGATGCGAGCCCGATAAGACTGCCGATCATGCGTTATGTGTATCAGCGATACGCTGAGTTCGAGGGTACCAGTGCCTACTAGGAAATGTCACCAAGGTAAGGCCCAGAAACAGTCGTTGGATCGCATATGGAAGCCAGAAGGTGGGTCATACATGCAAAAAGGGAAAGGAGGGTGCGTATACGAGTACAATTCGAAAATGCATGTGGATGTTCGTACAACAAAAAAGGATACAGGCGAAATATTACAAGGGACGGTGGCACACCATCTAGTAGAGTATATGAAGGGCAAAGTTGGAAAGCAGAACGGATAATGATAGGACGCCAACGAGCGAAAGCGAAAGCAAACGTGGAACACCGAGCGGGGCGGTGAATTCTGCTAGACCTGCGAGGAAGAGAAGAACAGCGGCCTGAAGTAGGACTGAAATACATGTGAGAGAGGCTGAGATGTAGCGTTTTTGCCATAATTCGTGGATGAGAGCTGGTGTTACGTCGGATTGGCCATCACAGTCCCAGAGCTGTGCTCGACGAAGCAAAGGCGACATGCACCCGATGATAACGGCGGCCACTGAGAGGACGAGACTGAACTTCCAGAGCGTGTGTATGCGTGCTGCTGTAGAAGGAAGGATGTACGGCGGTGATGAATGATGCACGGTGCGTAATTCGAGATGCAGGAGGGTCCGTGATATGAGGGCGGTTGGTGATCCTTCGTGTGTAGCGGCAAGGTGATTGTATGACTCGGCGAAGAACAATGCGACGACGAAGGAAAAGAGACAAGCCTGGATTTGCAAGTACGAGGTTTGCGGTCAATTATGAAGAATTAAGGCATGGAAGCTCGAGGACATACGAAGATCAGATGGGCCCGTATCATACCCTCGTCATCGGGATAATTCCCGCATCTATAGTCCTTGACTTCCACAGATCCATTTCCTTCCCGAGTTTCCATCTTCGCTACCCGTTGACGCGACTTTTGGATCTTGGGAGTCAGGGGTAAGTCCCATGAGAATATTGGTATCAGCGACAGCAAGCTGTAGTCACCTCTGAGCGGCTTGCTTCAAATGCAGAGAAGTCGCGCTCTCTGGACATGACAGACCATGTGTCGACGTAGCTGCCCAGCCAGAAAACAACCGTTCGTTAACACCAATAGTCCAGTATACACCGCGTGCTGGGTCTCACCGTCTTGCCGATTTGCGTTTCCGCGTTTGTCTTCCTCCTGGGCGGAAATACTATTTGAAAAGATACGATATTGGACGCCAGTTCTGCCGCTTGCCGTCGAATTAGTGAGAAGAGGGAATGAGACTGCGGGAGTGCGGGTGCGGGGAGAAAGAACTCGGAGATGCAGTCACGTCATTGCACTCTGAGGTGACTGTGACATGGAGATAAGATAAGATAAGTCTTTCATCGCGCATTGACGAAAGACCTTTTTGTGGGGTATCAGAACGCCAATCTGCATAATCATACACACCCAAGCGGGTACCCAACTATTACAAATACAGCGTTATTATACCTTTTCACCGACAGGAGGCTTCATGCCCCTCAACGCCTTTCGATGTGTAACATCGCCGATACTGATTTGTTCAAATTCTTCCGACTGGCCCTCGTTGATCCCGGCGCGAATGTGCAGGAGCACGCGGCTGGTAAGGATTGAGTGGAGACAGCGCGAGAGTCTAGCCAAGGGGAGGGTTGAATCTTAAACGATACTCTATAGCAGAGTGAAGGAATGAACGTACGTTGTTGCGAGGAATTGGTAGGACCCGTCGACCTAGAAGGGTTTGAGCATTCTGAGGCCAAGGGGCTAATAAAATGGCGACGTACGGAGGGTAGACCAAAGAGAAGGATGTTGACGATTGAAATAACTAGGCAATCATCAGCTCCTTTGACAAGCCATGAATAATGAAGACACTTACTGAAGAGATAAAAATAATATATAACGCCTCTAGCTGCGTTAGTAAAGCTTCAAAAAAGCACGAGCTCGCTTACCCTCAGCATACACTGCGTGGTAGAGAGCGGAATTCGACCTGAATCGGACTACGGCCACCGTGAATAGGAGTTACTGTAGAAAACTTTACGACGTACAGGATCGGAAGGCGGGAATTGCCATAAGAGCAAGGACAACTAAACGGATCGGGTCGTCAGAGAACTCCGGCGAAGAAAAACAAGAAAAGACGTACATGAGTCCCATAAGAGCAACAGTGCCCAATCAACAATGATGAGCGAAGATCCAGCAATCGGTACGCAGCCCACTGAAGGATGTGGCAAGGTGATGACTAGCCGCGATGTTAGGACTCCTATCTTCCTTTTTTGTTGCGAAGAGACCACTTACACTTCACAGAACTGAGGAATACGAATAGAATCGGCACTGGAGGGAGGAAGCACCCGACGAAGAGGATAGGAAGCCCAATTGTAAGGACTTTCGGACGGTTCCACACCGCCCACACGCGGAACGTTAGGATGACTACATCCTGCCTGAGTCCAATACCTCGACACTTGAGAAAGAAGAGACGTACTCTCCGATGTGGTCAACCCAACACACATCAACGCCCTGCCCGCCGTATTAAGTCGTTGACACAGCCCGGGGCTGAGGTTCTCTCCAAAGTTTACTACGAGGACGTCAGAGACTGAAACGTGGATTCGAAGAAAGGATGGCGTACTGTACAGGGCTATCCACATCGTATCGATGAACGGTATGTACCGTTGGATGAAGTAGACGACCTTGATCGTCGTCCATGGCCCGGGCCAGACATATTCGACCTCCATCCCGAGCGTGAGCAGGTAGTCGTATATGAAGATTACTGCGCCAGCGACTGTCGACAGACTTGACGTCAAGCTTAGGGAGGACACTTTGAGACGAGAACTCACGGTCGAACATCTGGAGCAACGAGAGACATTCAGGTTCAGCTCCTCGAAAGACATGAGACGAAGGCATACGTACTTTTGTCATCACCCCAGCCTGTAGCCTGCTCGTCATGAACTCAGTGAGCTCCGTGCCATTCATCTTCGCGGGGACGTGTAGAGGGACGAAGAGGAGAAATCCCATCTACCCTGTCGTGCCGAGTTATATATCTTCGTGTGCCTTGCGGCGTTCAGGGTGGTTGAGGTTGTGGGTCAGGGGCTGCCTCGAGTGATAAATGAAACTGAAGAGATTGTTGTCGGCGTGTTCGCCAGCCTTCACGGACTTCATGGAGGCATGAGTAGAGGAAGGCGAGAGACATAATTGACGCACGAAATTTGACAGGAAAAAGGCCTCATTCGCCTCAGAGTGCCTGATTGCGAAGCTTGGGAGAGGTGAACACGAGCATGGAGGGGTCCTGCGCCCGCGGGCTGGGCGTGATCAGCTCGGAGATCTAAGACATGTCAGTGGTCTAGACAAGTTGTTCGAGCTGGACCGTGGCGCGTTTGCTTGCACTGGCTCTTCTCGTCGTTGTCGTCGTCGCATGTATGGGGCAGAAGGTATTCTCTGGGTGTAAGCAGAGCTGTTGTTCGGTCAGTGGCTTACTGCAAGTGACTCGTGACCGTAGTGATGGTTGGCGGCGAGATAAAATTCAACCTTTTACATATGTAAACATTACATACCTCTTCAGAGTATGCGATTGCGACTTTCGTGCATTTCTTTCTGGTCTTCAGTTTAACCAGCTGGTTTTGCTTGCCCAATATCCTGTAAAGTAGTATATTGCTCCCTTTATAGTTCCAAGTTCGAGGTTTTCTTTTCGTCGCTGTCTCTGTGTCTCGAGTTGCATTATCTATTTTCCCGCCGCAGAGCGTCATTCACGAGTCCGACACGTCTTCTTCTCGGGTCCGACGTCAGAGCCTTCTCCCATCGAAGTTTTTATCTTTGGTGCTTCAAACGATATTGTCATTATCCAAACGCGATTTCTCGTGCTCCTTATTCTCCCCTTTCTTCCGATCTACTAGCCCGACATCACTCATCCAGATCCCTCCTTGCGATTCATTGTCCATCGCCTCTGCAGCGTGCCCGAACGCAATTGGGCGAGTTACGTTTGTGAGCGTAGATTGGCTGAGCCTGGTCGATGACGATGGGTTCAACGGGCGCATGAGGCCGAGTTTCGTGTCCCTATATATGCGGCAGGCCATCACGTTCATGATCATGACGTTCGGCATCCCGAAGATGGACCTGTAGACGGCTGGGATGGAATAATTGTAGAAGCAGATGCCAGTAAGTAGGTTGACGCCGACGGTGCTACTATATTCTGTGTTAGTATTACGAATCCCGCCGTTAGCCAAGGAGGCGACTCACAGGATGTATACCTGCCCATCCTGCAATAGCGCCCTCGACAGAGATGGGAGGTAGTGGCCGAGAAGCATCGCCTTCAAATTATTCTTAATCGTCGCCTCAGCCGTATGGTTATGCATCAACCGCCAGGTGATAGCAGCGAAGACGATGAAGTCATTCGCAAAGCATGTCCAGAGCGCAATTGAAATGTAGGCCTTCGGCTCCGGGCTAATGCAGTATTTTGTGGGCCCTAGCGTTGTGTGCGCTATCTCCCTCATGGGCGTGATGGTCCCTCCAGCAGCCATCAACCACGTCAAAAAGAGGAAAGCGACGACCCATTTCTTGTCGATATACAAGGCGCGGGCACGGAACCAGAACAGCAAGGCCGTGGTTCCCATCGCGATTGGATAGAAGGCGGCGATGACTCTCTGTGTTGCACGACAAGCCCCGATCGGAGCCGCTGGAGAAGACGTGAGATGGAAATCTAACATTATTGACCCCTTTCCACTCACTCATGACGACCGTGGTCCCAACGAGAAAAACCATGGTGGCGATTCTTCGAAGTGACAGTTTGGAAATTATTCAAATTCATATTGTACATTCGCCGTACCTCGAAATGACATAGACGAACGTCGCGAGCGTAAGTCTATATCTCGTGAGGAGATGATAGTCGAGGCGCATGTTGTTGAGAGTTTCCCATACTAGGGCCTGAGTTTGAACAGAGTAGCGTTCAGACGCCAGTATTTGTCAAGCTCAGAGCAGGGATACTTACCCCCACCGTCCCAACCATTATATAAATCCCAATAGTCATGTCGAAAGCGATGTCGGGCGGCAAGAATGCCATGGGCGTGAAGGGATTGGGTAGCGCAGCTGTATCGGTTGAGTTGTCCGCCATCTCTTCCTCGGAACCTCAGCGGACGATAAAGGGAGAGGGTGGATCCCAATGATCCTGCCTGCAGTGTTGAAATAGATTGTCGCAAGAGCCAAGAGCCATGTTTAGCCGCATCGTCACCGTCCTCTCGGACGCATGATCATGATGAACTTCTGAAGAGAGCAATATTAGGGAACGCTTCTATCACCGCCAAGTGGGTTTGTGGGTTGAAAGTGGAGAGGAGGAGACACGGTTTTGGAGAGTAGCCTTGATGGCGAAACTTAGCCAGTCCCCGTTTTACCCGTACCATCTTCCCAGTCGGGAGTGAATAGGTCTGGGCCCTACTCAAAATTTCGAAAATAGAACACACTCCCCTCGAAATATGAAGAGAAAGTAACCACCCGGCATGGATGATGCTTTTTGGCTTTTGAAGCCCACATCTGTGCCTTCGCACCCCAAATTCCCGAAGATTGGCGAGGAGAGACAAGAGATCGACCGCCGGATACATCAATCAACGCCGTCTGCGGGCTTCTGTAGCGCCTTTTGGACGAACTTTCCCATGTGAAAATAAATTTTCATGAAGCCCTCGCCCGCGAGTTCGCTCACCTGCAAATATCAACATTTACGAGCCCTACGTATTCCAAAGCAACTGATCATATAAACATGGCTTCAAAGGGCACCCGCGTAAGTCGAGCGTTCAGTCGAGTTAACTTTCCGTGATCGGGCCGGGCCGGTGACCAGGTGGCGCACGGTCGTGACACCATCAGTATCAAAACACCACCAGCATTTGAATGTTGAAAAAAGAGTGAAGCTTGATTGGATATATGACTTTTGATGCCCTTCTGCTCGACTCTTTGCGCCAGATTGTCAGAGCGGTCAAAACCCCTCAGAAGGCAAGTCGAGCTTTGTGAGAATCGTCTGATGAAAAATACTCTCGAGCCTGGATTGAAGTAATCTCGCTGAGGAAGGCATACTCTTGTATCTCAGAAATGAGATAGAACTAAATTCGACGTAATATTTTCTTCCCTAAGTTGTGTAGTGTCTAGCTGATTCTGCGCCTCTTGTTGCCTAGACAACCGCAAAGAAGGTGCGAAGGTGCAGAAAGTAGATAACCGGGCACTCCTAGAGTAGTTGTAGCTTCAAGTTAGTCTAAGCTTGTATCTCTAGGTACATCACGGGTCGGTCGTTCCTCATTGGGGCCTCGCCGGTAATCCAACCTTCCTTACTTCCTTCCACGGTGAATTTCGAAAATTTCGACCGGCATTACCCCCAAAAGACCGACTTGCAAGACGAGACAGATAAATACTCGGAGGTGAACGCCGCTAGAGAGCTGAAACAGGAAAAATTCTCCGCCTTCCGGTGCAGTCCCACAGACGAGTCACATGAAAGGCATTCTCAAGACAATTTATCGCTAACTCCCTTAAGAAGATGACAATCGGTTGACTAGTTGTTGACTAGGTCCATTTCCGTTAATTTTTGTGACTTCGCCCCCCTGCGCCACAGTCCTGGCGCTAAATTTTCATAATTGCGAACCTTTTGCAACCTTAATTAAAGTATCACTTCGAACATAGGCCATGTATGATGGCTCCGCGTCCGCAGTCGCAATTGGCTAGAATTCGGGCAGCGTTCAAGTATTGCAATGGAGCCGTTTCACGCTACTTATTTTTGAGATTCATCTGTCACTCGTTGTGGGAAATGCTACCGTTAAAGAGCCTTGTTCTAGGCGAAGGTGTCCTCTATACTTCAGCTTCAACAATGGACTCGTGAGCACTTTACGTACGTCTTGACAGCTTAGCGGCCGATTGCGAAAACCAGGCGATGCTGGATTCCGTTATGGCACCCAAAACGATGACATTCACCCATGGCGGTGGCGAAGAGAACAAGGAGAGACAAGCCTCGAGACATCAAGTCAACACCCATAACGTCGCCTCTCCATAGAACCCTTGTATTGGACAAGACTTTGACGGCTGTGATGTTGTTATTGTACGTGTGTGAATGCGAGAAATCGAAATAGGCGCTAATTGATTTCATTGATAAGGGAGACGCTTCCACGAATTCCCCCTCTTTCAGCCCACCATGTCGAGCACACGCAGCACTCGACCAAATATCGACCATTTCTATAAATCAGAACGCATCGAGCTCGAGGAATCTACCGTCGAGGCTCATGATCAGGGTACGCTTCTCTTTCCGCCTGTGTGCGATCATCTGCGCTTCATCGCAGTCACCCCATGGCCATCTATTGCAGGCAACGGTTCCATCAGTTTTGGAGAAGAAGCGAAGGGTATGAAGATAAAAGGTTGCATGATTAATTTGACCACAGGGTCATCTGCATTTGGAAGTGGCTTCGGCAGTGAGTCATCGTCGAGTTGGCGGGCGCTTGATGCTATTGAGAGAGGCGCTGATGAGCCGCATCTCGCAGATCCTGTCCACCATGGTCCAAATTATTATACACCGGGCCCACAATATCGTACGAATCTGATGAAAGCGCGGTTGCTGTCACTGTTCTTATCCTTTCTTCAGCGAGTCCTTCTGGCGCTCCGTATATGAGCGGCCCCACTTCGCCCTTCCCACAATTCGGGCATATGCCTCACCCGGGTCATAATCCTTATGGCAAGATCTCTTGTTGTTGTATAACATGCAACGAGTGCTTATGTTTGGTGAAATCTAGGAAGCCCTAACGGATATATGAACGGCGGATGGCCAGGTACGAAAGTATCTAGCCAATTTGAACCCAGACATACTCATGGCACATTGCTCATTCCATAGGTCAAAGCCCGTACCCTCCTCCTCCAACCTGGGGAGGGCCTCATCCAAGTCAATATCATCCAGATAGGCTGATTGATCTCTCCCAAAGAATGAAACTCTTACTCTTTGCAGGTCGCGCTCCTGCCCAAATGCCAAGAGGGAACAACCAAACCTCGCCAACCCCGAGTCGCAGAGGCCCGAGCGCTTCTAACCAGACACTAGGCGTTCCGAGGCGCGACTGGGACAACGATTCTATCCAAGAGACAGCGAGCAACGCTTCGAGTGATGATGAGCGTGAGGAAAATACGGGGATGGAAAACAGACCAGACCAGCCGCTGACCAATGCGTCGTCGACAACGAGCACAACTGCCACTCTGGATATTCGAGGACAATCGTCCTCCACAGGGACCTCGTCATTTTCTATGTCCGTTGGAAGGACGACAAAGCGCAGGTAACCTTCTAAATGTGCGTGTCGTTTCATCATGAAATCCCTCCCTCTAATTTCTTCAGTAGAGGAGGAGTATACGATCGGGAAAATTCTGTACCGTCGAATCTAGGAAGCTACTGCACCAGTTGGGCAAAATTGCTTGTAATCTGAGTATTGCAATTAGGAATTCAATTTTTTTTTCTCTCTTGACATATTGTCATATTCATTGAGCTGATCTTGCGGGAAGAGTCTATGCGGTGCGCATGAGCTCGATGCCGATGATGATTCGCATAAGTACTCGATCAACGTACGAGCAATGATCATTAATCCCGACGACGTCGGTGTCGAGAGCATAAGACGTCCTCTGGTACCTGCAAACCTGGAGTTACGCCAACATGCTCGCGACACCGTAAAGCCAAGGTGCACACCTTGGGTTATTCTCGTGAAGTGTTGAGACCCCGGTACAAGGACCCCACAAGCAGTCAAAGCAAGATGGTTAGACACAAAATTATATTAGGCACTGACTTTACGGACGATATGGCACAACGTGATAGCAGCGAGGAGCAATATATGATACAATGGGCTAGAGGCAAGTCCGAAGTGTTGATAACGAAGCGTTCAAGTCCAGTATGAGGGAATGATTAAATGTTTCTGTGGAGACGAGCGACCCATTCGGCCGTGTAGGAGGTTGATTTATCAGAGCGATTCTGGGAGAGGAACGTCTGAAGGCGCGAGAGCGTCGATTTCTGGGAGGAGCCGTTGTTGGAAGTGCCTGACGTCGATGATGGGGCTAGGCCGGTCGATGGGAGTTCGTTACGTGAAGACGTAGGAGGTAAAGGAGCCTCACGCGAGGGAAGAAGAGACGGAACAGAAACACGTCTCCTACATTTTGCTCGGATGGTGGATTGCGAAAGATCGTTCGAAGGCGTGATAAACGGGTTCAACGAGGCCATAGAAGATGAATGATCCGCGGTAAGGAGAGCCACATCTGGCAGCGAAGGGGCCTTCTTCGACGATCTCGCTTCATGTGTTTGGCCACCGGCCGAGGGAGAAGTGCTGAGGGCAGACACGGAGTTGACGTCTTCTGTGTTCCTTCCACGCTCGCCATCATCTGACCCTTGGATCACCCCGACGCCTCTCCCTGCTTCCTCCTCCAAACCACTCAGATAATTCGCGTTGAGCGACGGAGACGAGCGAGCATGGGTCCCGTCCCGATGCCGACATACGGGATTGTCGAAGATGGGCAGGGATTTCACGGTATCAACGTTCATATCTGAAGCGCGAGTGACAGTCGGGATTTGGGCTAGCGAGCGGCGGGATTTGGGCTTGGTGGCTGAGACCCGGATGGTATCCTCAGGGTTGAAAGAGTTTGTAAGGACAGTGAACGTGCCACGTTTCATGGGATTGACGCTGGATGAAGATTTGGGCACTATTCCATGAGAGGCCTACAAAAAGAGATTAATACTGCGGGTGAAGAATGGGTAGATTGCTGCCACCTGTGGATGTCGTAATAGTCCCTGCGGCCATCGCTGGCCATCGAGGTCATCGAACTCGACTTTGACCGCCTTGAAAGACTGAAGGAGTGTCCTTCGTTGCTCCTGGATATGATCGATGAATACTTTCAGATTCCGTGAGCTGCATCGGAAAATGTCTCGCTCACCTCGGTCATTTTCAACGCCTCTGCCTCCTCCCTCTCCTGTTCTGCTTCAATCTCTAGCAGACGCCGCTTCCGCTTCTCGGCTCGTTCCACACTGCCGGGGTCTATTTCCATTTCTTTAGGGGTCATGATAGAGGTCATTAGAGATTCAATCGTCGTCTGGAGTCATGGTCGTTGTGGTAGGAAACGAAACTGATTTGTCACAACCGACGAAAACCGCAAGTCACTCGTGGAATTTTCTCGGATAAGCAGGCCGGGCCGGATCGCCGTGCCAAGAAGCAGCACTTCGCGTAGTACGAGCTCGTCTTACGATCCTCCTCGCCAGCGGCCAACGGGCCAAGGCCCATGATCTTCAACTTCAAGCCTGACAAGGACCGCTCATCCGTGAAACGCCATAGATTCATCCTCGGCGCTCAATGTTGCTTACTTAGGGAGTCAAATGAATCCAACCTTCATTTCTACTCACTCTCCCTGCATCGACACACGCTTACGATTTTCTCACTCATATACGTTTTCTTCACATCCTCCCTTGCACTCCATTCTGGTGAGCAGCGTCATCCTCTTGTCCTCCCAGACCTTCTGCACGAAACTAATTCAGAAAATTTCCACCCGCCTGGCAGGCTGGCCAAATTGTGACAATCTCTCTCCTCGCTGACGCCTCCGTCGAGCGTGCAGGAGCCACCCGAGATTCCGCTATCGGCACTGGTGAGAATGACATGACGCGCTTCGCCAGGGAACAAGACCCCAGTCGGGTCGTGTACCACAGAGCATCGAGCACGTATACCGCGCTGGACTCGCCGATAACCTTCAACTGTACGTTGCGTGTCCTCAGTCTCACTGCCTTCTCCTGTCCGATTCTGATGTCATAAATTCGGCATGCACTTACATAAATACTATCAAATAAGGCGCTAGCGAAGCGAAAGGCTACAACGCCTTCAGCGCCACCTCAGGAACCTCTGGCACGTCCATGGGCACAACAGGAACTGCTCGACATTCGTGCAAAACACCTGGGGTTCGTGTGTGGACGTTGTCGAGAAAGGCACCGTGGTTCTGCTCCCCAGTGTGACCGCAACAGCCGCGGTCCTCTCGACGACGATGCACCACGTACACGACGACGTACACTGGGAGGCTCGTTCCGATAGCCACCATCGAGGCGTTGCTGGTTCAGACGAGTGTGAGTCGGGAAGGTGGGGTTGGCGTTGGAGGGGTTGCTTGGTGCTTCGGTTGCGGCTGGAGTTGCGTGTTTCTTTCTTCAAAAGACATTTTCTTCTGAAATTTCTGTGCTTAGATGGGCGAACGCAAGGTTGGAAGACGCGAAGGTTCAACGATTCTGCGGGCTGTCATTAATTTCTCCGCGGACCGCTATAGATAAGCACATATATTTTCATAGTCGACGTCAGATCCTTACTGGTTAGGTAGAACTGTATCATACATGCCCATAAAGTAGCCTTCCACCCGCGTACGCCGTGCGCAGCAATTCGAGAATTTAGGATGGGCCCACGCGTTGTTGCTGTGGCTTCCTTTTTCGATCCTTTCGCTGCGCCACAACCTTGTCCATATCCAGCAAGTAATAGTACTACGTACTAATCTACCGTGTGCACGTAACTTTCCTTAGCATTCGATGGTGCGTGAGATAGGGAAGCTATCGCAATAATAGACTTCAATCCTTCTGCTAACAGATCTCAAGTTCAACGATAACCCAGCACCCTTCCGTTCCTCGTGTATTTAAGCGAGCAGCAACCTCGTCTCCACCCCAGGATCCACCCCTTCACCTCCTCCTCCCGCACTGACGTCTCATTGAGACTTGCACGTCTCGCCCTCGAACACCAGGACCAAGTTCTTCCCCGCTCTCTTTCTACTCGCACTCGGCGGCGGCTCCGCCCTCGCCACTCCCTCCACCCCGTCTGCGTCCATGAGCAGCCGCGACGCCGATGCAGCGTCCCCCGCTAGGTGTTACACCTGCACGGACGCACCGTTTGTGAGGCGTACCATCTATTACGTCTTCACGCGCGAGGTGCGCAGAGAGGGAAGCGACGCCCTGCTTACCTGCACGTGAGTGTTGCTTAAATAAATCCTCGTCGATGCGATATTCGCTTGACGCCGTATGGGCGCTGCTGACTGCGAACGTGCTTGTGTGCTTTACAGCTACATGGGGCGCGATACGACCCGTCCATCTCGCACTTACGTCAACTGCGAGTACGGCTATTCCCTTGAGGTGAGTGGCGCGCAGGGATAAGTATGTCTGTGATACGTCTACTCACGAGGTTGCGTTTTGGGGTAGACGGGTTACGCCCTCTTGCCGGATCACGAGGAGATTTGCCCCAAGTCTGTGAAAGATAACTGTTGATCGCTGAGGACGGGCTGGGCTTTGAATGTCCTGCCGCACTTTTTTCCTTTGAAGACTATACTCGGTGTATTACATTCAGTACGTCGAGGTTACGAGCTACTAGATTTACTCGTACTGTGTTTCCCTTTGACTATGGTACACGTACTTCCACTTCCTGCCAACGAAAATTTGCTGCCTATCAACCCTCGTGAGCAAGCATAAATACCCATGGCTTACCCGGACAAGGGCTCGTTTGTGAGATACCCCCGTACGCGTGTTTTTGGTACAAAGATGCAAGTCCACCAATACTCAAATTGTTCGGAAGCCCGAAAGAACGCGACGGCGAAGACGAGATCCGTCGTAAGGTATAGCATTGAAGCGCAGCTGGCTAGTTCTAGACGAAGAACGAGCAGTGTCGCCCAAAATTGCATACCACCTGGACGTGAGCGAGACGAGGGACTGGCGATCGCGAACGAGGAAGGGGATGGAGGATGGATAGATTGTAAGAGCTATAACGCGGCCAACAGACAGATTTGTCATCTTTCGTCAAAGCCGTCATCCAATATCCGGAGAGGCATCGGTTCGGGAGGAAATGGATGTGCAGTAGTCTGAGTAGGGGATGAAGCTTGAAGGACAGTTCGGAGCTTGCCGAAGAAGGGAATACACAAGAGATCCAAACACAGCACAAGACACCCTTTCACTTAAACCACGATAAGTCGCCCATCCTTCTCCCTCGACTCCCCTTCCTGATTTCATATCTTCTAGCTAATTCATACCGTTGACAGAGCCATGCGCATCCCACATTCTCTTAGCGACTAGCCCACCCTCCGTCTTCAGAGCCCCTATTTCAGTTCTCCACTGGACCACAGCACAACGCCCATGTCCGCTGCTGGTGCAAAATGCTTCACCCCCACGCTAGGGCCTTGTCGTATCATCTATCCGGCCATTCCTGAGTTGGTGTTAATGTCGTTTGTTGGCGCAGTGGTGGTGGTTAGTGGTTAAGACACGATTGGCATTTAGCGCCCGTCGAGAGGACTTATATACCTACGTACAAAGTAACTAGAATATTCTCATAAATACTATTCTAAGTAATTGTCAATTAAGGGAAATAAACGAGAATGTACTCGAGGAGTCGGGAGACGACTCTTCGAGGGCGGAATGTGCGAGTACCAACTACTCGGTTCTATTCCGACACTCCCCCTTACTCGGACAGAACGCCGATCTCCGTAGTTAGATCTTGATGTACAGATCTAGGTAGTCCTTTCGTGAATAGATCAGCTAAGTTGTCGTTTGTGTTGATATACACAAGATTGAGGGTGCCGTTCTGCACGAGATCACGGAGGAAATGAAGCGCGATGTTGATGTGCTTCGTGCGTGCATGAAATTCCGGGTGGTGTGTGACAGAAACGGTGGCCTGGTTGTCCGAGAAGATTGTCGAGGTCGTTGGTAAGTCAATTCCAAGTTCTGTGAACAGAGAACGGTGCCACAGGACTTGTTTTGCGGCATGAGTAGCAGCTACATACTCCGCTTCCGCGGTTGAGAGCGCTACTGTGGTTTGTTTCTTGGAACTCCAAGAAACTGCGCCTCCAGCGAGTGACAGCGTAACCACTCACTGATTTACGGTTCGCGTTGCTTCCCCAGTCGGCGTCGCAATAAATATTGAGTTCTGGGGTAGTAAAGTTGTCGGACCCGCTGTAAGTAAGTGCATGGGTACAAGTTCCTTTGAGGTAGCGAAATATTCGCTTCACAGCGGTCCAGTGCTTTGGTTTGGGGTTCTGAGTGAGCTGGGCGAGCTTCTGGACGGCGTATGCGATATCTAGATGCGTTCCAATGGCCAGATACATCAGAGAACCTATAAGCGTCGCGTATCCGACAGATAAGCGCTTGTCTTGGTCCTGGTTCACTCCTGGCTTTGTTTCTTCATCTGAGTCGTCGTCGAGACGAACATTGGGGTCTAGAGGCGTCGTAACAGAGTTGCAGTCGTCTAGACCATATTTCTTGAGCAAGGAGTCGATGTAGGCAGTCTGGAAGAGGGATATGGTATGCTCTTCATCATTTTGAGCCATTGTCACAACCCGTCCCCGGCTCCTGGCACAATTATCCAGCTCCCGAGGCTTGTGGTAATGAGCCGTGCTCTTCCGGGATGCTTCCGAGACATCTGGGAATGAGCCGTGCGCTTCTGAGGCACTTCCGAGGTGAGCCATGTTTCTGGCTCACTCCATTGTGTCTCCCAGCCATCGTCCCATTGTCCTTCATTGTTCTCCTTGTCCCGGCTAAGTTATCTATTACATAATCATGGTCCATTATCCTACATAGCATAAATACCCATGTACAGTAGTAGATTCCTCAGTCGGAATATCGAACTCGACATACCCCCTTTGCTCTAGTTCACTGCCGGAATCTGGCTCCTCCCTGTTCATCCAAAATTGGGGACACCCAGACGTTGCGTGGTGGCGCAGCTGCCCTTTCCGTCAAGCTGAAGCCAAGTCCCCACCCCATCCGGCACAGTCGTTACAGTAATAGATAACTTAGCCGGGACAAGGAGAACAATGAAGGACAATGGGACGATGGCTGGGAGACACAATGGAGTGAGCCGGAAACATGGCTCACCTCAGAAGTGCCTCGGAAGTGCACGGCTCGTTCCCAGATGTCTCAGAAGCATCCTGGAAGAGCATGGCTCATTACCACAAGCCTCGGAAGCTGGATACAGCCTCGGGAGCCAGATAATTGTGCCAGGAGCCGGGGATGGGTTGTGACAACCTGAGTTCTTGCCCTTGCAATCTTGCTGCAGGCTTCTTTGAGTCCAGATTTGCCAGCTTCTTGTAATCAATTGGTGTCTTCCTCTCTTGGAGTTGACGAGAGTCTGGCTCTTGAGGTGTTTCTGGAGGAGTGGCTCGGCTTCTTCGATGGGCGCTTGTTGTGCGGTTTCCTTTTGGGGAACAGTTTGCAAGGATGTCGAGATCTTCCCTTGCTCCCCCTCAGACTGCAAACCAGGCAATTCTGTAATAGTTAGCTCATGTGGCTCTTCATTCTCATTGAATGAAACATTTCTTGATGACTTGATATTTTGTTTTGAGGGATCATAATAGTGGATGGACTTAGAACCATCATTGAAACCCACAAAGATCATTTTCCGTGATCTTGGTTTCAATTTTGAAAGATTCTTGGTTTTGTCAAGTACCCAGACATCACATCTGAATTCCCTCAAGTGAGACACATCAGGCTTCTTCCCGAACCATGCCTGATATGGTGTTTTGCCATCAAGAGCCCATGTTGGGGCACGATTGTGAAGATAGTTCGCATGGGAAACTGCCTCGTCCCACAAGAACAATGGTAAATTCTTTGCGATAAGCATTGCCTGAGCTAAATTTAATAGAGTGCAATTGAACCTTTCAGCCACCCCATTCTGTGATGATGAGTAGGGTGCTGTAAGCTCTAACTCTATTCCGTGAGAGGCTGCCCATTCCTTTACCCGTGTATTGACAAATTCACAGCCGTTATTGAAGTACATCCACCTGGGATATTTCCCAAACTGGCACTCTATCTTGGTGACCTGCTGAATGATGCAATTGTAGGCTTCCGACTTCTCCTTTAAAAATAGAACATGGCCATATTGTGTGCAGTCATCTGTGAAGGAAATATAATATTTAAATCCTCCAATAGACTTCACACCAGCTGGTCCCCACAAATCACTCATTATCCTCTCCCCCGGAGTCTCCGAACAATTCTCCGCTTCCTTCAGAAAGGGTTTATGAGTTTGCTTGGCTTGAATACAAGCTTCGCAAGTCTTTAATGGGATAGAAGCTTGATCGATGGTCATGCCATTGACCAAATTCTCGCGATCAAGCTTCTGTAGGGACGAAATTGATAGATGGCCATACTGTCGGTGCCATTGGTCCCAAGAGAGCTTTGCCAAGGTAGCGAGATTTGCTTGCTCTTGCTTGTGTAATACTGCTCGTGCCTTGAGCAAGTATAAATCATGGGTTAAATGTCCTATCCCAATGAGATTATCCTTTTTATCTCTTAGGAAACATTTCCCATTCTTGAATTCTGCATGTCCACCACTCCGATTGAGTGTGCTCATGGACAATAAACAATTTGGGGAATCCGGCACATGGAGAACATCACGTAAATGATGCTTCAGGTTTTTCCCATTTATGGCAAATTTGACTAATACAGTCCTGTGGCCCTATGCCACTGTTGGGGAACCCACACCATGAACAGACGAGTTCTTGAGCAGGTGATAGTCAATGAATGCTTCGTGCATCGTGCAGATGTGAGATGTTGTGCCCGAATCAAATAGCCAATCATATTTTGAGATTTCTTTTGTACTGGCATTGGAGATAGCCATGTACGAAACCTCATTAAGGTCATCATTGACCTTTTCTTTGGCTTGATTTGTCCGGCCAGCCCGGTTTGGACCCTTTCGAGTCTTCGGACCTTTTCCTTCGTGTCCTCCCCCTTTTGCCCAACAGTCCTTTGCATAATGCCCCATCTTGTGGCAATTATGGCATTCAATGTTGGGTCTGGCCTTTCCTTTGGCCTGGAGTGACATTCCTCCAACTTCTCGCTCCTTCTGTCATCGGGATTCTTCCAATAAAATTGCTACGAGCTCTTGAGATTTGAGCTCTGGCTTACTGCCACTAGATCCGAGATAAGGTGAAGTGTAATTATCCCATGACTTGGGAAGGGATGTGATAAGGATCATGACAAAATCCTCATCCGAGATCTTGCTACCCATTGTGTGCAGTTCCTCCTGCAACTGGCATAGCTTTGCGATATGCTCTGCCATATCAAATCCTTCCTCCACTGTTGCCCAATATAGTGTTCGGCGGGTGGCCAACACTCCGAGTCGGCTCTTGGATTCCTTGACCATGGTAAGTTGTTCCCACATTTGGCATGCCGTTTCAGCTCCCATAACGTGAACCATTTCGGAATCGCTGATCGCAAGTTTGATTCAGCATCTCGCCTTTGCATCACCGGCATTCCACTTCTTCAATGCTGCGACTTCAGCATTGGTGGGAGTTTTGGGGTCTGCTGATCCTGGAGGTGCTGCACCTTCTGCGATGTAACCGTCCAGTCCGAGGTCAACCAATACTGCAAGCATATGGTGCTTCCACGGCATCCAATTGGTTGCCTTCAGTAACTCCATTCGATACGATCTGCTAGTGTAATCATCCGACATTTTGGCAGTGATGTACATAAACTACGTAGATAAGATAAATGTGTGGGACTAGAGGGTGAATAAGATGGTAAGTGTGTCGTTTAGGCTTTGGGGCCCATAACCTGTTGGTGCAGTGGTGGTGGTTAGTGGTTAAGACATGATTGGCATTTAGCGCCCATCGAGAGGGCTTATATACCTACGTACAAAGTAACTAGAATATTCTAATAAATACTATTCTAAGTAATTGTCCATTAAGGGAAATAAACGAGAATGTACTCGAGGAGTCGGGAGACAACTCTTTGAGGGCGGAATGTGCGAGTACCAACTACTTGGTTCTATTCCAACATCGTTAACTTGCTGATTGTAACCTGCAGTGGACATTTCGGTGTGTCCTTCATGGGCTGCTCTTCCTGATCTCCTCTCACACCGAAATTCATACAAGTGGCTGTCTCACACCTGTCAGCGCAATGAACTGCCCTACGCATGTGACTCGGCCCTTCTTCTGCTGTACCTTTCACCTCGAGCCCTGCTAGGGTGGGATGTAGCTTGACCCATATCGCGTTTGAGATTCTGCGCTCCTGGACCCCACCTATCTCGAGAAACGCTGGCCATCATCCATGCTCAGATCTGTCTCTATTTCCTTGAGATTGCCCACATAAACACCAGGCCCTCCCACGGTGCAGGGTAGGATAGGATATGTGCTGAGGGTGGTGATGCTGCTCGAGCTTGAGCGATCTCAGTGTCATTCTCCGCTATCTCTTCATTCTTCTGATAGAACAACCCTTTTGGCCTTGGACCATGACGACCTCTTCACCAATCCTTCTCTTGAATCAACTCTGTCTCCTTTTTCCTCCCCAGACTCGATCTAGTCACGTATATTCTGCTTATCCTTTGACTGGGATACATGCATCATGGGTGCCTACCTCAGTTTTCCACAGCGCGCCTCCACTGCTGGTGTACAATGCCTCACTCCAACGTCAGGACCTTCCTGTCTAATATAGACTGTCATTCCCAAGTTGGTGTTAATGCAACATTGCTTGCAACCTGTGGTGGAACAATCCGACATGTCATGAGCCGTGTAGCCCTTGCGGGCACGAAAGCAGCTTCCGCAGTGCCCATTGATTGATAGTGATCCAGCATCTGCTCTGCTTGTTCTACCAGCCATGTCAGCTAGAATTCTAAGCAGTGTGACGGGATCAGTCCTGACTGCCATAATGCAGTCCCCCCTAGCCCAAGACAATGTGGAAGGGTTTCCATGGCTCCCGGGGCTGCTCCATGTGTGCGGGACATGTCAACATAGCCAAACAATGCAGGAAACAGTGCCTGGACACTGTTTGCCCTCGTTCTCGGGGCATTTGGCACCACTTTGGATGGGGGAAAAGCGGATATGGGGTCTCCTCATTATTCTGCACATTCCCTGACCATTTCCCCCACCGATGGGGGGCGGGAATAGGCTGGATTGGGAGGGGGACACATGGATGACACGGCACAGGCGCATGTGATGGAAATTCCCCATTTGGAAGGTGGTTCATTTCCAGGTGCTGCTGGCAGTAATCCTGGCATATTTTGCTCATTTCTGGGCCGATTCTCTTGAAAAAAAAAATACCATAAATCGTAAGATAATCGTAGATTTCCGTAGACCCCTTAAACGTGAGATTCTGACCATATCTGGTGGCTGCACAGCCCAATTAATGCCCTGCACCTCAAAAATGCGAAAATGCGGCCTCACTGGGCCCCCTCCCATGCATCCCCTGTCTGGGACAGGTGTTCGTTCATGAACAAGCATGTTATCGAGTCCTATTGGCTGAAGAACATCAGCATTACCTGCAAAACTGCATGCATAATTGCCTAAACAGTGAAATTTGCTAAAAATAGCCCAAAAGCGCACTGGATTATCTACCCCTTGCAGGGAGCAGACCCTCGGGACACCTTAGCAGTTTGGTAGGGAACATATAGTGCTTTCAGAAGACATATTTTACATAGCCTCACATGCAGTATTCATGGCTGTACACTGAAATCACTGATTTCGCACAAAAACACCAAAATGCGCACCATTACCCCTCCCTGGGTGATTCACTTTGGGCTTCTTGCCCTTCGGGATCATATCCTACTAGCTCACAGTAGTTTATTCTCCTAATATGCAGTATAATCCACTCATTTGGTACATGGGAGACAAAATCAATCACTCCTCTCCCCCTCACATCTGTTAGTACATTAATCTGGCCAGTATCCCCCTGCTTTGGACAAATAATTATATATGTGACTACTGTAGTTGTCCAGACAACCTCCCATGATACTCCCTACTCCTTTATTTCCAGCAAGGAGGTCCCCAATGCCTCTGCAACAGGTGCGCTTTCCTTATTCCGGAAATTTCCAGATTTATTGATGGGGACAATGGCATCGCTCTGGCACACTCTGTACCTCATCCATCCTTTTGTTGGAGCTCGGAATATGTTACCATAATGTTCCAGAGTATCCTGAAAAAGTCTGAACAAATTATATGCAGAATTGAATATTCTATGAACAATGTTGTCCTTCTGCCAGCCAATTTGGCAAACACAGACACTCCCCCTTGAATTCAGGTCTGTCTACTCCCTCTAAAATCATGGAAAAATGCGTTTTGAATAGGGAACATATGATAGTCTTGAAATACTATGGTCCCCCAAAGGTATGGAAGATCTATGAGAGAGGGTAACCAAAGACATGATTAGGAAACATAATTAGCTATAGCAAACCTGGTGATCACCACTCATCAATGGTCTTTTCCTGGCACATTTTTGAGCCTCCTGCTTTCCACATTGACTCTATCATCCTGAAAATTTTTGGGGAATGATATGGCATATCTGTATGAGCTTTCTGTAGTGTCTGATTAAATAATTATGTCTCTGATCCTTCTGAAATGGCCAATTAGTGTGAGTTTGCTGTTATCTCAGTGGTCTGAAATGTGTTCTTGGGGGTATCTATATTTGAAAGGCCATTCTTCCTGAGTATGGGGAACACATTTTCTTCAGGATCAGCCAGGAATTGAGCCCAGGAGAGGTGAAACACTATGAGGGAACCAAGAAAAACAGGAATATGTGTCCTGCAATTGTGGATTTGTATATTTTGAGACATGGGCCCGCAGGTGAGTACTCAACGATATACTAAAGAGTGTCAAATATGTATCAGAGTTCCAGGAAGTGCAGGGAAGGAGAATTTTCAGTGCGCATTTTCGATTTTGGAGGGGGAGGAGGAGAAGGGTGGAATAGAAAAGGCTGTAAGGGAGATATAACCAAAGAAAAGTGACAATTCAATAGGGCTAATGCAGGGGAGCATATATGACCAGTTATCTGGGTGCGAAAGGGGGATTTTGAGGAGGGTAATGGTGCGCATTTTGGTGTTTTTGTGCGAAATCAGTGATTTCAGTGTACAGCCATGAATACTGCATGTGAGGCTATGTAAAATATGTCTTCTGAAAGCACTATATGTTCCCTACCAAACTGCTAAGGTGTCCCGAGGGTCTGCTCCCTGCAAGGGGTAGATAATCCAGTGCGCTTTTGGGCTATTTTTAGCAAATTTCACTGTTTAGGCAATTATGCATGCAGTTTTGCAGGTAATGCTGATGTTCTTCAGCCAATAGGACTCGATAACATGCTTGTTCATGAACGAACACCTGTCCCAGACAGGGGATGCATGGGAGGGGGCCCAGTGAGGCCGCATTTTCGCATTTTTGAGGTGCAGGGCATTAATTGGGCTGTGCAGCCACCAGATATGGTCAGAATCTCACGTTTAAGGGGTCTACGGAAATCTACGATTATCTTACGATTTATGGTATTTTTTTGTTCAAGAGAATCGGCCCAGAAATGAGCAAAATATGCCAGGATTACTGCCAGCAGCACCTGGAAATGAACCACCTTCCAAATGGGGAATTTCCATCACATGCGCCTGTGCCGTGTCATCCATGTGTCCCCCTCCCAATCCAGCCTATTCCCGCCCCCCATCGGTGGGGGAAATGGTCAGGGAATGTGCAGAATAATGAGGAGACCCCATATCCGCTTTTCCCCCATCCAAAGTGGTGCCAAATGCCCCGAGAACGAGGGCAAACAGTGTCCAGGCACTGTTTCCTGCATTGTTTGGCTATGTTGACATGTCCCGCACACATGGAGCAGCCCCGGGAGCCATGGAAACCCTTCCACATTGTCTTGGGCTAGGGGGGACTGCATTATGGCAGTCAGGACTGATCCCGTCACACTGCTTAGACACAGTATTTGATATAGAATTCTAGCTTATAGAAGTGGTTCTACATCTCCTTCACTGGGGCTCGTAGACACTTGTCCGTTACAAATGAATACTCTCACACTTTTTTTGGTATCGGAGAGACGGTCCAGTGGATGATGAAGCCGGTGATATTTCTGTGTATATGTGCATCAGGACCTCTTTTGCACAGAAGTTCAAACTTCACTCTTGTCTACTACCTTGGCCATTGTAGTTAAACACATCTAGGGCTTCCCTGAGTCTCCGGTCTGGGGATTGCCAGACAAGTTGCTTTCTTTACTCCTGTTGTTTCGACAATCTCTCTACCGTATGTGCTGGCCGACGTCACTCAATGACAGATCACGGGCCCCAGGAGCACAGAGTCTTGATCAGGGTATATGGTTTTGAATGCTACCTGAACAGGAACCTCCAGATGACAATGAATCGTAATAATGTGATACACGCTCGATCGTCTACTTCGAGAACGGATGATCGTTGTCTATCTTTTTCCCTTTCAGTAAAGTCCAGGAAGCGCTACGACTTAGTAAATATGTAACACAAAAGTACTAGCTTCTCCATAACAAAAAGCGAGAGCCTGAACCCAGGGTGCATCCCCAAAAATTAAGAGGCGCAGGGGGCACACTTCACAAGGAGCACAGGCGCAGGACAAATTTGCGGATTCATGGGACTCGAAGTGTAACCGGTCTATACAACAGTCAGCTGAGAAATTTGGAGGCTATGCATTTATGATACTGACTTTTTCAGTGTAGAAAAAGTCACAATGGATTACTGGCTCAAGATCTATACCCTCCCCTCTGTAACTACAAGTCCTTGTTACTAGGAATTCTCCATACTATGAATCAACACTCACAGGCACTCCCTACGAGAAAGCAGCGCATAGCCTGACAAGAACACATAGTCAATGCCGCTGTATTCAAATTTATTCTTGTTGCAATCATAGCATTCTGGAGGGGGGTAATCCTGGGCATCACAGCTGTTGAATTTCACTGTGGTCACGAGGGCTGATATTGAGCTAGCGGTAAATGAGAGAGCGAGGGTGACCATGGAGAAGAATTTCATTGTGTAATGACCTGAACAGAGGGGGGGACTTGGCCTCAGCATGCTCTTGTGCTGTGCCCCTACACATCATCTGGTTGTCCCCAATTTACAGGAACTGCCTTGGTCTTGACAGAGGAGAGACAAGAAGAAGTCATCCTGGCCAAGGCACAGGAGACAGAGGATGAACAACAGAGCAGAGGGGTTGTCAAGGTTGAGATTCAAGCTGGGGAATCCAGTACACTACCTAGCTATTTATACTATTGAGAACAATGGAGAAGATCTAGGTTATGTAATGAATGCCAGCAGAACAATGACAGAGAACAATGAAGACAATAATGAATAGAACAATGAAGGAAAAGCCCATTGATGAACCAGAACAATGAACAATGGGACAATGGAACAATGGGTGCAGAAATGGGATGTGACACATTGCAATGTTTGAGATTTACAATAGACAGGAGACGCAGGGCTGAAATGTGTGTGCTGGGGGAGGGAGATGAGTGGCTAGCTTAAATACGGCTCAGCGGTGTCATGAATGTCTGGCTTATCTTCGAGAAGCAGATGACAAAGAACTCAGATCTCGACCTCCCCCTCTTTCCTGCTGTCGAACCAGTGGTGCATGCACGAAGAAGCTCTTTTGGAGAAGAGAGTGGCGTGTTGATCGGCCTCAAAGTGGAAATTGGCATCATAGCTCCTGTGTCCCGCTGTGTGAATTCTCTGGAACTTGGGAAGCCCTCTGATAGAAAAATAGGATGCAGATTCATGTGTTCTCTCTACCAGTGAAGCAATGCTGAATCAGTGTGGAAAACACTTGAGATAAACCCTCCACGACACCAGCATGGGGAATCCAGTATTAGACGAGCATTTGCATGGACTTTCATTGTGCTTAATCATGAGTTGGGGCTACGAGCACATTAAGTTTGTTAGGGAGAATGAGGACAGGTGGGGATGACAGTGAATGGGATAGTGCTGTCAGCAGGATTCGAGAATGTGCAACTGGATATCAGAATGTAGGGGATTGATAGACTGTAGGTGCATCCACAATGGATGAGATGTTGGATATCGTGACTTCTGCACACAAGATGGAGAGGAAAGCCTGATGGACGAGTTATCGGTGTCGGTAACAATTGCGCAGATAGGTTCTGAAGCTGTTGATGGACATCCAACCATTGTCTAGTCTGGAGAGGCATCAGGTTGGGAGGATATCATTTGGGCAGTTCAGAGCTCGTCACCAAGGAACGAAGGGAAGATGTAAGATAAGATAAGATAATTGGGACTCAGCCAAATGCAAACACTGCACAACACTTCCTTTGACCTTTGACCACGACGACCTCACCATCCCTCTCTCGAATACAGTATCTCCTTCACCCCTCTCCCCTGCTTTAATCACAGCTAACTAATGGAATTGACTGAGACATGGGCACCCCACCTTCTCCCATTGGTTCACCCTCTGTCTTTCAAGCCCCTATTTCAGTTCTCTGCAGGACCACAATGCAACACCTGTGTCCACTGCTGGTCCAGAATGTCTAACCCCAACGCTAGAATCTTCCCATCTCATCTTGACAGTCATTTATCAGTTAGAGTTCTCAGGAAAATTCTTTCAGCCTGCAGTGGACATGTCGTTGTGGACCCCGCAGGCTAATATTCCTGATCTATTCTTCCCCAAAAATTTGGACTTTTTCTCATACATCCTTCATGGGTCTCAGCTTTCAATCCAATCCATGTGGGACCAACACTCTCCCTCGCTGTCCTACTACCCACTGTCGTTCCAAGCTCCATACCCTCTGAGAGGGTCTCAATCCTCGCACACTTGCTTGCTGGCTATGCTCTTCAAGGAGGGTGAGTGTATCAGACAGGATCGTTCATGGCTAATAGCATCGAGGCCATGTCCCTAGGCTTCAGAAAAGCAACGCCTCGTTCTTTCTTATGCATCAAATACTTCAGTTCCTGTAACAATCCCTCACTATGCTGGAAAAAGCGACGGATGTCCATTGTCGAGGATCGGGAATATCACCCAGAACCTCAGAGAAACTCTCATTGCAAATATTTGCACCTTGGGTGTCATATAATTTGTATGCACCAGCAATTCAATACTGTTCGCTCCTCTTTCCACTGAACTGTTTAGACGGTGCATTTTCCTCCACAAGTCCACTACTCCCATATTGGCTTGACCAGCTCTCCTGAGCCACATACCGCCTCTCTTCTCCTTCCGAGAGAATCCTTCCAGACCACCTTCATTCCTTCCATCGTTTCCAAAAAGTTCAAGTCACGAAGCGTACAGCACTCTGTGATATCGAGCACCTGGACAGGACATCCGTCCGCCTCCCTCTGCCTAAGGAATGGCTTGAGAATTTCAGGTGCTCGACTGCTTGGTTGGTATTGGATGTTACAATTTGTTGCCACACCCTCCCAGAGGGCCAATTTTGGGAAGAACGACGTCGCTACGCCTGCGCCTGCATGTTCTGGAAGCGGCAGGAATGGACATGTCAGGAGTGCCTCGATGACTGACGTGACTTTCAGGAACTGGAGATTGGACATGGACCGCAAGAAATCTTGAAGGAGAAAGCGTAGGTCGGGTCTGATCTGCTTCAAGGAGTCGATCTGGACTGCAACAGTGGTTATATAGCTGAAATCACATTTCAAGAACACGCTCAGGTGAGCAGGGCTCTGGGCATCCCAAGTGTACATGTTCCATTCGAATGCTGTGGGCCCAATTCCGATGCTCGAAAGGTCTGTCACATCCCGTTTGAGTTGCGCAAGGTGAAAAAGATTGTCATTAACAAAATTGAAGATCAAGTTCTTGCGGCTGGTGGAGCAGACAAAACATTGGGTGTATTTGGCTATAACTTGGTTGATAAAGGAGATTTGAGATGGGGAAAGCATAAGCACATCGTGTTCTTGAGGGATGCACAGCCTGAATTCTGGATGGGGTTCGATGTGATTCAGGAGCAGGGCCGTGGGATACATGTCATCTCTCATGTGAAAGTTGATGAGATTTGGGAGCTGGACGACTGGGAGGCTGGGGGGGAGGATTCCTCTGGAGCCACGAACACTGAGTCTAAGGCAAGAGACTCGAGAAGCGGCATATGATGGAGCTGCTCCAACCACCTCAAAAACAGCGGCAGCACCTCCTTTTCTGGTGAGCCCCCAGAAATGTCCAAGTGGTGGAGCTGGTTCAGCCATGGAGTGGAGATATATGCTTCAGTTGCTAAATAATCCATCAATCGAAAGTTGATTAAGCTTGGGGCATGACCGCCAAAGAGCAGTTGGGGCCCTGGAAGTAAATGTTTGTTGTATGTGCAGCCAAACTGAAATATCTTCAATGAATCTGACGGACATGATAGTAGAGGCCAAAAATCTTCCATTGGATACCACCGTTCCATTTCTGGGGGTTCTTCTGGTGCGTAAAGCGAGACTATAAGACTTTCGATCCTGGGCCAATGGACATCCAGGATATGGATGAGGAACTTGATGAAGACATCCCTGTGTTCTTCCAATTGAGAGCCTGAAATGTGCAGCTTGGCTTTGCCAGTTCAGTGCAGAATTTCTTCTCTCCACTCTTCTTTCAGGAGGATGAGATAATTGAGATTGATAAGTCTACCCCATAGCGATGTGGACAAAAGTATCACTTGCCGCCAAAAGTGACAAACATGAGATGTGTCATGGATGTTTGTCAGTGCTCTATTTTCTGGATAGCACAATCTGACACCTTCATCTATAGGGACATCGTCTTCCATGTTTGCATTGAATGTGAGGATGTGCAGAAGGAGATCCTTGCCGATCTTGGCCACAGCCGATGATTTTGAGACGTCCAGCATTGTATGCTGTCACGTGGTCACAAGCAAGTTCATGGTGATTGCTATATATGAATAAGTCACCATTCTCTGACACATCTGGAGGATTCTTCAACAACGCACCTTAAGCTTCCATATTTGTGGCAATTTGCAAAAAACGAAATCAAAACAATCAGCTGCTTTATGGGTGTTGTCTCGTGTAGGGAAGGACTGAAGAAGAAGGAAGAGGTAAGCTAGGGAAGAGCCATCAGTGCACTGGTTAGGGTGAGTCAAGAGAAAGAGAGAATCATTGTGAAGTTGTTTGTGCCAAGTTTGGATTTGGTTGGCCATCTTATCTTATCTAGCTTATCTAGCACTGCAGACAACAGCACATCTTTTGACCTTGCACAACTTTCCTCTGCATCCTGTCGGAAAAATCAAATTTCCCATATATGATCATATATGGAAACATAAGGACCTGTTAGGACGTCAGATAATCGGGAATCATATCGACGGTGAAAAGTCACCCTTCCATGTGTGCAAGCATTATTGAACTTATAGTTCTGACACCCTACTTAGGCCTGATCTTGTCTGCATGGCTGTTCAGGCCTTCTCTGGTATTATAATGGCAAATAGGTGTCTTCAGAAAAATCTACAAATACTGGCCACAAAAATCATATTTGGGGACCCTGAAGCTTGTCCTATCCATAATAAGGGAATTAAAAATGATTTTCATTTTCTACTCTAGGAGAATTACATGCCCCACCTTCAGACTTTACATTTCCGTTGTACAAACAAAAGAAGCCGACATTTTGAGCTCGAGGGAACAGCCGATTGCAGTACAGCAGTCTTGAATGAAGTTAGCTCAAATTCATTGCGCTAACAGAACCTTACCAGTTACCATTCATGTAGAGAGGTGAGCCAGCCACCCTTTCTGTCAAAGTCAGCTGCAGCTTTCTAGCGCATGTAAAGACGGACGCATGATGTTCACAGAGTCAGTGCCCCTGGCCCCGCATGTTACCTGTTTCTCACAGTTGATGCCTTAGAGAAGAGAAGAGTTCCTAGTTGTGCTAGTCAGTGTTGAGATACAGAGACATACAAGGTGCGCACCGAGTATAAGACACCCTGCTGAGTGAAGTCCAGCTAGGTCAGCAGGGGATACATGAATGGGGTAGGACGCACCATCAGACAGAAGGCAGGTAGCGCCGACATTCATCCAATCTCGAACTTGGTCAGCCAGAAGGAACTGCACTGGAATGAGATGACGAAAGCCCGTTTTTATATCCTTTTCACACCTGGACCTCGGCGCCTAGATATCGCCCCGAGACTAATCTCTGACTCGGAATTCACAAGCTTAACCGACTGCTGGAGGGATGTGGGCGCTTCGAGGCACTAATTCTGGATCCTAATTCGACTCCGAGATGTGTAAGTATGCTGATGAGACTTTCCCCTTCGTCCAGGTCTATGGTCCACAGCCACGGAGGTTCAGACTTTTGGGAAGCTCTCATGCCCTAGGATATGCTCAGAACTTCAAGTCCGCTCACAAGCTGAATAAATGGACACTTGCCTTAGTCGAAATGAAAACACTTTGAAGATGATTCAGTGTTTTGAGAGGGTGAGAGGTATCTTCTTTTGAATGCCTTCTTCAAAAACTAGGGCCTTTTGAGGTGAAATGATCAGATGTGATAAGGACTTACCAGAGGTTACGGATTTCTGACGCTCCACTTACAGGTGTCTATCATAGATTATCAGCATCCCCACGCCAGCGTATCAGTGGGGCCAGGGGTGCCAGGAGCCACAAGGCCTTATAGTGGAAATTGTGTTTTTCCAACACCAGCCCCGCTGATTGCTTCCATTTTAGTAGACTGGATTTTACTAGGATTCTTCTTGATTTTCACTCCATTGCACCAGAAGACGCATGTCCGCTGCTGGGACAGAATGCTTGACTCCAATGTTCAGACATTACTGTCTCACTGTTTGGACAATGTTTCTCAGCTGGCGCTGACATGATGCCGTTTTCTGTGGTGGACGACCTGTGTGGTAGGGTGTACGGCTTTTGGGAACTGGAAAGTAGTTCTCGTTGATCTCACATCTGTATCAGGTCTCAAACATTTAAACACTGAAGTTGGAGTCTGCTCATCCAGCATTTCTGGTGTTAGACCACTTGACTGAATCATTTACCGTCACTGTCTCATGTTTTTTGGCCGTGTGACTGCAAAATCGGATAGAGACAGTGTTCTCTGCGCAGAATCACACTCGCAATAGATGCCAGATCTTCCCACTTCTCACTACAAAACGAAGGTGTAATAAAGACACAAAGGTGATCTGTACCCCAGTGGCTCGATCCTGAATAACAGCCGATCATAGCTGACACACCTTCCCTGATCAGGTTCTCATGGGAGAAATGAGCAGCATCGGTCCTACAGGAATCTTATATGAAAATTCTGAAACACAGAAGTGCCTCATCTCATATCCTAGAACTACATGCCATGTCTTCAGCTCAGTATACTTTCGGCGTCATTGACAGGGGGTGGGCTGGGCAATTCCAGTCATTTCGTGAGGATTACACGTCTTTCTTTAGTTCACTGACTCTCCAGTGGCATATTTATGAGCTCTCCATGAGCTAAACACTCCAAGACTGAACACAAGCTGTCTGGGGCATGATGGAGAATAGAAGCTGGAAGTGTGAACAACATCGGTCCACCTGGAATACCCTGTTTTAGCTCTCATCTGAAGAGAAGCACAACCTCCCATGAAGACATAATAGATGACTCACTAAATGCAAGTATTTCTATCCATATCTAGAAGGCACTTCATCTAATCAATGACCCACATGAGTCATATTAGGCCTGAATAGCTTTCTATTGATGAATGTTCAATATTCAATATTCAATATTCACCAGTCACCTCACGCCATGTGTGGTCAATCCTTGTCAAGCCTCAATGAACCTCATGAAGACAAGCATCGACACTTCACAACTGCTCTACCTCCACTAGAAGAAAGGCGAACACATGGGGAGACCAGACACCAGGACAGGGGATTACATTGGATCTAGGGTGACCCCAGATGAGCAGCCTGAGTGTGTGGCGTCCCATCATCTTGTCAAAATGATTTTCAAAATCGAAGCATGTAAGAGCTGCCAACTGGTTTGCGAGAAAGAGTATATAAGATGGCTTCTGCTCAATATCCCTCACGTCCATTTCCCCAGCCTTCTTTTGATTTTCACTAACCAACAATGACATTCAGCACCCTTTTTGCTCTCCTCTCTTTGCACACCCACTGTGAAGGTGGCTTAGGTTGGCTTTTAACCTAAGCTCTGCTGAATTTCGGCTTTCGACCTACCATAGGTCGAGTGATAGGTTGATCGTGTTTGACCTAATATCTAGGCTGAACCGTCAACCTATGCCTTCTTGCTTTATTTGGTTGACATTCAGCCAATGTTCAGTGCCCTGAGAGTCAGGTGCAGCTGACCTTGTATCACTCAAATTTCGGCCTGTTTTGCTTTTGAGAACTATCAAGTACATTATATTTCTTATAAATATGGTATATACTACTCATTGTCACCATCATCTAATGCGATTGCACAAGCCAGAGACCCACTCTGGTCAATTATTGCCCAACTGCGGTCACCATCCTGCACCCGTCCCACGAGACACTGTACACCTGTAATATCAATGAAATGTGTTGGTCCAAGGGTGTCACTTGAGAAGAAATGGACATCGAGACCATCCAAATTGGGGTCGTCAGTGTCGAGGACATGGCTCTTGATTGCCACCAGGATGATAATATCTTCTCTGTGGCGCAGCCCAAGAAGGTGACAGGCTGCAGCCTCAGTGAATTTGACCAGAAATATGTGCTGCAGTTCACCATAAAAGGTTCAGAGCTCATACTCGGGCTTGTGTCTTCGGTGCCGTTTATGAATGTCTTCGTACATTTCATACTAGAAATTATTAGCTTAGTACATAATTCTGTCATGGGCTAGAGGAATACCAACATGCACTCGGACAAATGATGCATTGCGAGAGTCATCATGAACAGTTGTTCGTGCCGCAGCTCGGAACGTATCACCTTCTTCTGAATCAATGCGCCGCACCTTGCCCCATTCTTCAATACTGGCGCACTGCACAAACGGCTGCATGTGTCCGATCTTCACATCTGCACATGTTGTGAGGGTGGCACAAATGTTGTTCATAACATTGTCAGGTGGCCATGTTGGCAAGTGGGGGGGAAGGAGAATACACGTCGGGTCTGGCCCCAGCTAAAATTAGAACTCAATTTCACCACAATATGGATTATTAAACTCACAAGATGGATGGGAAAACATCCCGGGAACCACCTTCCATGGGAGACACAAAGACAGGTCATCTGTTAGATTTGACGTCAGCTTGATCTAAGTGAGCTGTGCATCCTCAACAACATATCGATCGAGTGAGGCATAAGGAAATCACCGACTTCTCAAAGCTGGCTGGAGCTTGCCACAGTAGCGTTCCATCAGGAAAGCCCAGTAACACCAAACGGGTCCAAATGCCTCAATGCTATCTGCAATATGTAGTAGCATGTGAATAGTGACTGGGCAGATGGAGACATGTTCCGGCTTGAATTGGTAATAAATACTACAAAAAGGACATTGTGCAAATTAGCATTGGCTGGCAGCTCATTGATAGTGATGGTGGCTTACCTCTCATAGTCTTTAACCCATTGTACAAACCCCTGATGAACTTCTGCTATCTCATCCTTGGTTATCTCGAACTGGAGACAGATATTTAGCAAGTGGACAAGTTGAACAAAGTGCTGGAAGTATTTGGGGCGCTGGAAACATCGATGGAGAAGAACAGGACTGAGATAAAGAGTCCAGAAGGACCACATCTCTGCAGAGCATGTGGTTGAGTCAGCAGCAATGTTCGGAACGCGAGCGCCGTATGCTGACGGAATTGTATCCCCAGAGGAAGCAGTTGCAAGCCTGATTGCCTCCCACACCCCCTTTGGTAAGGTATAGGACTCAGATCCTTTGTCAAGACCCTTGAATTCCCCTGTCCAGTGAAGAAGAAGGTTCTTGATCAAGTTTTCCCAGATGAGATGCATGAAATCGTAGGGAAACAATGTTGAAAAGGTGAGAGAGGGGAGATAAGACAAGATGGGAACACTCTTGATGCCATACTGCCTTGAGAGCCTGTCTGCCTCTGCGTTTGTGGGAGCTTGCTGGACCTCATTAGCTTGTGCTAGTAATTCATTATGTGAACACATCGGGAGGTTCTCCATTTCATAAATCTTGATCGCTGTTCGATCTGCCTTCACATCTGGGTGTCGAGAGCGGTCATGAGGCACATAGTGGGTTGTCGCACACGATTGGAGAATTTGTACACCCAAAATCTTGCACATCCAACAAGGTGAAAAGCCATTATGGCCCTTCATGTGCATGAGGAGTGAGACGGCCGGGATGTCGCCAAATACGAGGATGAGAAAGGCTCAAAGGGCGAACATTGCTGAGTTGAGGATGTCGAAGGCCGCAACTCCCCAAGCTAGCTGTATAAACTCAAGAATCACGGGCCATAAAAACAAGTCAATGTCGACAGGCTTCTTTGGACCAGGGATTACCCCAAGAGCCAGGATTTCATTCATGTGGAAGCAGATTTCGGGGGGTAGATTGAAATTAAATAGAATGAGAGGCCATGCAGTGTCTTTACGGCGTTTTAATGGTGCAAAACCATCTGTTGAGAGCCCGAAGGCAATGTCGCGATCATCCGAAAAATATGTGCAACCGAGGTCTTTGCCGTCAATCTTGACCGTCTGGGTGAGCAGATCTCGATAAGCACTGCCGTCAAAAACATCTGTCATCTTCCCTGGTTCATGGACATGGTTTGCATGATATTGCATCTCTTCTGCACATTTCTTGTTGCTAAATGAGGTGATGAGGTGAGGTATGATAGGGACATATGTGAAATAACATTGAGGAGTACCATTGGCCTGAAAACGCAGCTCCTTGCAGTGAGGACAAAATTTAAGGGATGCTCAGGGCCCAGTGTAGCAGCAGCATGAGTTTGGGCAACAGTTGTAACATTCAGGCTTGAAGCCGGCAAGGAACGCGACATGGGCATGCAAAGAATCAATCTTGGGCAGCAGCGGGTTGCACAGGAAAGCCAGTGGTGCTTTTGCGTAGCCTTTATCTGTAAGATGAGTTTGTAACTTGAAGGAAAACGCCCAGCATATTGCTCAGTCGTAGGCACTCAGTTTCTCAGCTGTACAACACATCAGTTGTTTGGTGAATAATTGAATAAATGACAGAGTCATACCTATGGATGCTGCCTCCCTCTCGTAGCCTTCACTAAGGACATCCCATGCCGATAACCCATTCTTTCCATACTCAAATGTATCCCAGTCCAGGTAGCAGTCTTCATCGTCATCATCAATTAAATCCTCCTCGGACACAGGATGTGTGGCTCCTGAACTGTCCTCCTGCTCGGAATCTGAATTGTGGTCAAGAACCATGTTGTCTGCTGAAAATGCTTGTTGCTCTTGCCAGGAAAACAGGGCAGCCCTATGGGTGTTTTCTTCAGAGCTGTCATGTAGTGTCGCAGGTGCAACAGTGAGGTTGATTGTGTCAGTATCAGGGGGATCCATATCAACATCCAGAACTGCTTGCTCATGTTGGATGGAGGGCAAAATGGGTTCAACTACCTCTGAGTCGGAGCTGTCATCATCACCTTCAGAGGAATCATCGTCTGAGATTGCGACGATAGCTGCCACACACCTGGATTTTGTGGCTAAGGTTTGAGATGGGGCCGAATATGGGGTTTCGAGCAGTACACGACGAGCATGCTCTCGGGCACACATCATCCATGTATCACAGAAAGCACAGAGGACATCGCTGTCACGAGGCATAGTCGAGGAGGTTGAATAAACTGGTCCAAAAGCTACCGAAGTAAGATGGTCCAAGCACACAAGATTCAGTTGCAAATAAAAGGCGTGATATTTCCCAAAGTTGCTTTACTATGTATCAACCCCCCCACCTCCAACCTACAACACACTTGTCAGCTCAGACCATCACCCAAGGTAAAATGGCAGCATGTACCTCCACCCCAGCTTCGAAGACCGCTGGCAGACATAAGGCGAGCAGAACTACAGCCAGAACTCGAACCCAGACTGGTGCTTCGCTGGCAGAAAAAGAGAACAGTCAGGTTGTTACCCCTCATGCCAGGCAGGCCCCTGGTAGTCCCTTAGGGGAACGTCAGCTCAATGGGCACTCGGGCGCATCAGCGGCCGTCACTAGTGCAGACCCTTTGTTGGTAATGGGTGCCATTATGCAGCGTATCAAGGAAATGGAGGGTAAGTGCATCTCAAACTCCAAAGACCAGTGCTCACCCTTCTTCAGATGAGCTCGCACATGAGCGCGAGGCCAAGAAGCACCTTGAGGAGCAGGTGCAGGACTTTTTGCGCAAGGAGAACGAGGTTGACGTTGCCGAGGAGGCTGCTGAGCAAGCTAGATGGGAGAAAAAGTATGAGGAGTTGCAAAGTAAGCCACATAGCTGCAATACCAGGAAGCACTTACAAAATATGTGGCAGAAACGATGGAGAAAGACCGCCAGCTCATCGCGGACCTTCGAAAGCAGTTCCCAAATGTTGATATCTCCGACTTTGGGCCCAACACCAACAACATCCTCAAAACTATGGTGGCTCATCCCAAAGGCACCGCCGGTAAAGACTTCAGCATCCAGGTCTCCATGGGCCTTGCAGGTTCAACAAAGAAGCACGCGAAATACACTGCAATCCTGGTAAGTGAGGATACATGTCTTAAGTGAAGGTGTTGCTCACATGAAGTGCTAGCGCTCACTCCGTGACCTTGTCCTCCAGTCACGCATCAACTGGGAGCTTCCCTGGGCTCAGATCCCTGCCAGCAAGAAGGCTAAACTCTTCCAAGTCGTGAGTTTCCTTGCCATGTCACCATTGATTCTCGCTCACTCACAATAAACATTTCTTGCCAGGCTCGAGAGCATCATCCTGTTCTCAAGAGGTACATGAATGACTGGGCTACTGAAGAGATCATCAAACACTACATGAAAAATAAACGGGCCCACCATTATGCCAGCGGCTGGCTCGAGGTACCAGCCAAATATGACTATCTCAAGGAGAATGCTAGCAAGCGTGACCCCAACAGGTCTCGAGTCTCCCGTGCAAAGGCTGAGCTAGCTGTGAAGAAGAGCTGCAAGAGGGTTCGTGTGGCCAAAAAGAGGGGTCGCAGGATGACGAGGGAGGAGGACATGGATGAGGGTGACGTGGTTCAAGAGGAAGAGGTGGGGCACAATGAGGCAGATGTTGACATGAACTGAGCCTTCTCTGACGTCATGTGAAGCCTTCGTGAGGTTCTTTCGCTGCGTTGCCTGCCCATCTTCCCATGCTGTCAAATGTACGTACATGATGCTGCGCTTCTATACCCTGTAATGTCATTATTTGTGGTTTATTTTCATTGTGCCATTGGGTGAATTTCATAGTAAGAATGTCTGAAAATCAACTACCTATGAGCCAAGCTATCACTCTCCCATTGGTTGATCAAACAACCAACAGACACAGGATTGTCGGCGGTGTTGGCCTGACGAACTGTAGATGGAAAGTGAAGGTTTTTGGTTGGAAATCAACCAAATTCGGGTGACCAAACACAGGCTAATCGTCAACCAACCGCTGCCAAAAATCTACCTACTGACTACTGATATACAACCTAGTGTACGTTGTTTCGCTAGGTTGAATGTCAACCTAGGCGACCCTCACAGAGACCATTACGCTCCTTGTCCACAGCGCCATAAACGGCCCATGCACAAACTGTGCAGGTGTCTGCATTACCACCTCTTTGTGCACCTCCGCGGGCGGCGCATACATCTCAGGCTACTGCCCAAACAACCCTGACAATGTCAGGTGCCGCACCAAGGCACCATGCTACCAGGGCAAAGGGAGTTGCAAATTCACATCAGAGTGTCTTTCACCAGCGTATTACACTATTGCTGGTATGTTTTGAGTAGTTCTACTTGTTTCTCAGAGAAGAATGCTGATTTGGACGAGATATATAGGATATTGTCTGGGAGGCTCAAACTTTATGTGCTGTGTCCCGAGCAGATGTGTTGTATGTAGGACTGCAGAAGAGAAGCGTGATTCACTTGTTCCTTGATGCTGAGGTACGTGCTGTCTTCTACCAATGTTCAGGCACTGATTTCCTCCCCAGATCATAGCTACAGCTCGAGACAAAAGACAAGCAACTGCATGAGTGCTTTTTGTATGCTTCTTGCATCCGTGTCGAGATGCTCTCTGCTAAATTGCCGAGTGAATACACAAGAAATGAGGATTTTTTAATAATTTAAAGTAGATCAAAACCCTCTGAATTGTGATTCAGATCACCTCGAGGTGACTTGATTGGATACCATACCGCGAAAATGCATGTTGATATTCTCTCCTATGTCCTGACATGTTGTGACAACGCCTTTGCTCTGCCAGTCGTCCCACCACATTAGGTGGCTCAGCGCATGATTTGCAACTACTTGCCAGGTGGGAGTGAACTAGGTTCATGTGAATTCCTACTGCACTGGTATGCGTCTAGGATGGATATCCCGTGAGCATAGATAGCTCCAATTCAACCGTGGAAGAGAATATGGGGTATTAGGAAATGTACGCAAAGATTGAGGTAAGATAGGTGTTTGGTTGACTGGACATAATGAACATCAGAACGTAGCCAAATAAATCCTGGACCTCAAGAAATGGGGAGCTCACAGAAAGCATTCAAGTCAAATCCTTCCCCTGAGCTGGTGTACGTCTGAACAATACTGTTCTCCATCCTGAAGTGGATTGAACCACTACTGAAGTTAATTCGGCCTCCCTCTACTCACTTTGGATGAGCAAGTCATAGGTCAAAAACGAACGTTCTGCCTGAAGTCGAAGACTCACGCAGTTCTTTGGGAGGAGGCGCCTCGTCGTGTAGATCAAAAACTGTATCGATGAGCTGAACTTTCATAGCGTCGGTGAAGAATTGCTGATTCGGCTGAAGAGGAGTGCGACTCCCCAAGGCGTCTTTACTCTTCTGCATGGTGGGCTGAAATGAAAGGGTGAAAGAGAGGGAGGATTTCGCTTTTATCCTTTTCTTTTATATGAATTGATTACATCAGAGAAAAGGCTCAAGACAGAAAGAAGGTGTTGCTTTAGTCTACGATCGACCACGCACAAACACTGAGTGGGAAATAAGCGATCAAACAGTCCTGCATAAGGGCAAAACTCAGGTGAATTTAGCAAGGTCCAAAGGAAGGGGAGAGACCATCTTTACATCACATAGGGAGCTACAATTTTCTCGAATCTGTCGTTCATCAATGGGGGTCCATTTCGCTTCACGTCTATTGATAGCTTCCGCTGCAGCGAATATATTTTGTGCAAACTGGGAGGCAGAGCATCTTCTGAAGCTGCAAGATCATGAGGTGAGGCTTCTTTAAATTTTAAATAGGGTAAGTTCCACTTCATGTATGTACTCTATGAGAGATGGGTACAATACTCAAAAAGAACGAGACCCTGAAATGTGTGCCGTCCCTCGAGGTAGGGTCACAGAAGTGAGCTATTAATGTTCAATGTCAATGTGTAAGCGGCCGGGGTGAGAACACAGTCGAGAGCTTAAAGCAGGAGATCGAGTGCATCTTCACGTTGTATGAAGAGGCTAGCTCGAGGCTGGAGGCAATCGAGAGTAACATGCGAGATCGAAGGCCGACTTGCTGATTGCCATAGGGTGATTACGATCGTACGAATAACATACCTAAAGGCCTCCATAAGAGAATGCAAGGAGGTTAAGAGGGAAAATGGTCAAAGATTGGGCGTCTTATCAAAGCTTCAAGATAAAAAAAGGTGGGACATAAGAGAGACTCAAGTGACACCCGGGGTATGTAGTCGCCTACTGCGGAGCTCGGAGGATGGGAACAGCACGAGGAGGTGAGTCCTGGTACCTACGTCTTTAAGCCGCATGTCTCGCCTATGTCCTAGAATAACAGCCGCTAGACGAGGGACATATGTCAGAAACGTCGGCGCTCTGGTGCTGATATTCTTATCAGTCTCCTGTGCGCCTCGTCAGAACCGTTAGGCATCTGGGCATGTTCTCCATCGCTAAATTTACTGAACCCTGCTGAAGTTGATACGGTCTCGCTCTACACGTACAGTATATCAGTAAGTTCAAGGTTAGGAAAAGCCGCTTCTTGTAGACAAGATTTCACGCGGTCCTGTCTCAGCGGCTCGGAGTACATGTTAATAACTGTAGTATCGAGTAGGTAAACCCACTTCACATTGAAATAACTGCTGATTCAGTAAAGAGATTGGTTCACGTCTTTGGAGTTCTTCATGGTCTGTAGACAACTACATACCAGCGAAGACTGAGAAATCTAATAGGCATTTCTTCGTTAGATAATAGCCTCCGTATGTGTGAGGGTTGATTCTGTCAGATTTTTGGAAGCAGGAGAAATTTCGTAAAGAATCTTTTATCGCCATCATTTCTGAAGCTAAATTACGCCCAAGCGACCTGTCGATAATTAGCGCTCGGATAGGCGCCCAACGAGTCGGCGGTTTTCGGTTCAAGTTCAATCTTCTTCAGCAAGAGAACGCTCGGACATCCACGTCTGTGCCCGTTCTATCCTTTTTTCTCATCAATTCTGCTATTCCACCAATGCCACGGGAGGCTCGGCTGATGCGCCGGAGGGCGATCGCGCCGGGTCTTCTGGAAGTTAACCCTCCCCTTCCCTTGGCCCTAGACTAGCTGCGAGCCAAAGGAGAACTTGCAGTGATCGAAGCCCTGTCAACCGTGGGCCTTCCCGGAGGGTAATTTCTATGCACAAACGCGATCCTTGGGTTATTTATTCACATGTAATACATCCATTCTTGCTGTATCCTCACTTCATATCGGCTCCTTCACCATGCGCTTCACCTCTCTCCTCGATTGCTCCTCAGTTAACAGCGCGGGCAGGAAGCCGGTGTCGAGCGCTCGACTTGCGGGTACGGATCATAAATCGTACTGCGAAGGCGGCAGCAGGGAAAAGTTTAAGTACGCCTACGAGGGGAGCCAAGCAGTTAGAGAGAGGTACTGGAGAATGAAAACGTGACTGGACACGTACGAGCCTCCCGAGACAGGGTAGACACTTTGTTGCCTAGCGAACGCGACAGGGGCGAAGCTGCCTGGCGGGTTCGGATCATGAATCGCACTGCGAATGCAGCGGCAGGGAAAAGTTTGTGTAGGCCTAAGACAGAAAAGGCGTAGTTAGAGATAGGTATCGAAACATTACGAAGCGCATCAGGAAACGTACGAGCCTCCCGAGTTAAAGCAGGCACTTGGTAGCCTAAGGTCCACCGAAGGGCTCAGGGTGAGTGTGACGGTCAGAGACATAATACGGCCTTCTTGGGACTCACGCGGTCCTGTACCAGGGGCGACGTCAAGAACAATATTGCCGAGCTTGGTTCCTAGCGCGTCGACCAAAACCTGAGGATTAGAGGCGGGGAGGTAGGTAGTCATCCTGGGCGAAGATATGAGTGCGAGACGGAGGGGCGATTTCTTCGTTTATAAATGTCCTCTGCGATCGTCGACGAAGTTTAAAATCTGAGAACATAGGAAACTTGACGCAATGGACAAAAGTAGTGATCCCATTGAGGCCGCAGGATCCGCTGCCTCTTGTCGCTTTTGGCCCATCCTTCTTCTGGAGGGTAGTGCAGATAAACTCTATCCGAGGTAAATAAGCTTCAAAGCAAAGCAAGATAACAACGGAGGCACGCACGACAACCCCCCCAGCTTTCTTTAGCTGGTTGAGCTTAGATTATCGACAATCTATCTTTTCGGTGAGTTTCTTCTATCAATGTTTCCGACTGCAGAAAGAACCTCTTGGGCCTTAGGGCCAGCGGTTACAAGCGAAAAATAGGCTAAAGCCCCTCCAACACGGTACAGAGCGTCACACCTGGACCAAACCACCCATTTTCGACAACCGACGACGGTCCGTCGGAGCCTGTTTCATGGAGACACAGAAGGTACTAGTGGAACAGCCGGACCGTGAGCCGAGGAGCGTATGTCATGGTAAAGAGGTGAAGCCGCTCAATCGCGGCAGGTGCATGCCTCAGCTCCATGAATATGGACGAGGTCGCCTCGAGGCAAGGTCTGTTCGGACCTGTTCGAACTGAGAAGCTTAAATTGACTTCATTTCGCGTGTGAAAGAGGTAGTCCTCTCCAGCCGGGCGTAAGACAGACAAGATAACGTCTATCTGTCGTTCACCTCCCGGAAACGGCGAGGAACGCAGCAGGTAACATTACGGTTTCACGATGCAGCCGCAGATTCGAGGAGCTCCCTTCCTCATGTTTCATAGTCCAGATATATCGAGTGGCTGGCTCGAAGCAGCAGAAGAAACGACACGCGGTACGCTTCTTTGTGCTCGCCCCCAGGGCTGGCGTCGGATGAGATGAAGAACGAACGCAATGGACACGCGTAAACAGCAGGAAGTGTATCGTGCATCAGATAACATCAGGATTCGGGAGGCGAGCACTTTCCCTGGGCCCTGTGTCTCACACAGTCCACTGCCTTCGAATCATTACGGCTGGAGTCGAGGGAAAGAAGTCATTTAACGTTTGACTGTCAGCCGCGATGCGAGAAGAGAGACCAGAAATCCTAAGTGATTCCTCGTTTCTGAGAGAATTGAGTAAGACCATATGCACGTTAGTATAGTCCGACGTTATATCATCGAACAGCACGAGGATTGCGCGAGGCTGGAGGCTATGATAGAATTAAAGTCGCACGAGGGGTAGAGCGAGGATGGCTACGGTCATCCAACCAACGCTTAGAATAGACATTACTGGGCGGATGGAGGAGAGTCTGAAGACGCATCAGAAGCTTCTGGATGCAGGTTAAGGAACCCCGCGAGGACGATTCCGATTGAAAGGCGGAGTGTAGCTTCGGTATTCAGAGCCATGGAACGCACGTGCGGGGGAGGACGCAGGCAGAAGGAAAGGAGGACAGGTGGCTTCCGAGGGAGAAACAGAGCGAGTTGGAGGAGCGTAAGGTGCAAGCACTGAGTCTATCCGACGATAGAATCTTTCGAAGAGAACGTCAGAGATGCCTGCGATAAGAGCGATGCAAGCTTGGAGGTGAGCACATGCACCCATATCGTTTATCGTCCACTGCCTCCGAAGCGAGCCTGCTAGTGAATAACACCGGTTGGAGGGCTACGTCTGGAAAGGTGAACGTCCTACTGAAAGTGTTAGTGTGATAACCTGACTCCTCGAAGATGGGTGGAGAGCGTACCAAGAGGATCTGATCGACTCCGTCAGCGGCGCGGGGTTGAGGGAGGCGGAGTCACCAATCTTCCACTGCTCGAAGTACCGTCCACGTAGCCGATACAGCAGAATAACTGCGCGAACGAGTTTGCCTCCAGCGCTTGAGAAGACGCAGGGTAGGGGTGAGGGCGCTACGTTCGTCAACCGGCGCTGGTAGTAGTCCAAGAGCCACAAATGAGGGAGCGATGGATGCCAATGGGCGAACAAATCCTCGTGTTACAGACCATCGAAGAAACGCGGACGTAGGATAGCGGGCGTCACTCCTTGGGGTCCCACAGAAAGCCCCACTGTCGGGCGAGGGGCGGAGTAGTGATGCAGAGCAGTGGCTCTACCAGCCCGGTGTCATCCATCGTCTTTTGAGACTGCGTGACTGAACACCGGCTCAAGGTACCCACGTTGAGAAACTGGGATGTTCTTGAGCTGGTGATGCGACTGTCTCGCAAGAAAAGTGGATATACGTAGGGTAGGGCGTGCGTCGAGGTTCAACTGGGGTGAAGGGGATAAGAGGCATATCCCTGGATGGTATTTCGGATACGTATAGGGTGCGAAAGACCTAGAAAATTTAATCTGAACTCCTGAGGTATCAAAAGACGGGATATGCACCAAAAGGGGAGAGGAGCGGCGCTGCCGTACGCAGACACATGCCGCCATGTTACGCTTGAACTACGGCCGTTGATCCTACGCCCTCCGCTACTACGCATCACAGCTGCATGGAGTACGTGTACCAGTAATAAACGGGCGATGGTAGCAGTGCTCGGGAGAATCGCACCATGATGCGTCCACTGTGAGGATGAATTTAAAATTAACACCAATTGAGGGCCAATCGTCGATATTAGACGGGCAGATCAAAGCGTTGGCGTTATCCGTTCAAGACTCCCATCAGTGGACGCGGGTTGCGCTGACATAAACGAGGTCAAACGAGGACTGGATGACGAGCCCAATTCCACCGAGCAGAGTCGCAGGTGTTTGTCCAGGTAGAAATACTAGGGCAGGGAAGGACACAACCGTACGCTGAGTGGGGGGATTGTCGTGGTACGAGTTGAGAAAGCTGTTGTGCCGAGTTTGGATAAAGTGGCGGCCATCAGCCGTCTTATCTTATCTCGGCATTTACCCTTCGGATCTCTTCGGCATCACCTCAGCTACAGTCGCCTTTTCTTTGTTCTCCTCTTCTTTGTTCTCGACATTCACCATCGAATCCCCCCAGCGAGCAAACCTCCAGCGATATGGCCACGGCGCCTGACTCGTACACCTCCCCACCTCTCAGTTCTCATTTTCCACATTCGTCTTCAGTTTCACAACCCATGCACGATGCTGTGAAGTAAGTACGATCGATTAGCCGGAAGTTGCTCTCGTTGTCGCGGAAGAGGCATGTACTGACGACGGTTCAGACGAGAGAATCCAGGTACGTTGTCCATCTCTCAGCTCTTACGTGCCCACAAATACGTTCACCATACCCTGGTCAAATCCACCGTATCATCAAGCATCACAGGCACTGACCGATCGGGGCTTCGTTCCTCCAACGCCGTCGACATTCTACCGCCTCCCATCCCGCCAATACCGGTTCCTCCCGCTCGCTCAGCCATCTCATTCCTCTCCAGTTCTGCCTCTATCTGTTCGAACTCGTATGACGGACCGAGGAGCGCTCCAGACGTGGTGCATACTTACCCTCGCCTGTGAGCCCCGCTGCTCCTGACTTCTAAGAAGTCGCCAGCCGCTTGCATGCTGGCAGAACACCGTGAAGTCTGGTGCGCTCCTCGTCCTGCCTCGCCTTGTCTTGATGTTGCCAGCATCATTTTCGACTTTCAAGCCTTCTGACACTCTCTGCTGCGTTCAGTGGCTATGCAGCGAGTTCATCATCAAGCCCCTCTCACCTTCTCGAATCCTCGAATACCGATGCCCAACCTCCCTGCCGATACGACTTCCCTTGTTCCTCATTTTCCTTCTACCCAATACCACCGTCTTCCCCAATTCTGCGAGAGAAAGAAGAGGGCACTGCAGGCAAAATCATCATCTGGCTCTAGCGGCTCATGTGCGGTTTGCGCACATAGGTTGGAACAGCTAGATCCGGTGTTTGATATGTCGTGAGGTGCTTTCCTCTTTCTTCACGCGTATGATATCCGAGGGGTGATAGACAAATGTGTTGGACCTTCCTCCCTCTCACGACTCACGGGTCCGCACGTCACCCGAAAGAGGAGCAATGTAGGATCTCAACCCAACCATGCCCACCCCCGTGCGCCTCGCAAATGCATGTGGTAAGTCGTAGCTGGACGCCAGCGTCTGCAACTCTTCTACTTTCGGTGTCGCATCCCGTGAGTACTTGCTACTCTTGTGCCAAGCACCGAGCACCTTTCTCATACGGCATTCTTTGAGACCCGAGGTCTCTCGTATTAGCTGAACGTATCGGCCTCCCTGCCGTCTTAGGCCTCTCACGCCTCTGATGCTGAATTTTTCTTTCTTCTTTCCTTTTTTCCCGAGCTATAGCAGAACCACAGCGTGTTTCGTTCAGCAAATAGTATTCATTTATCTAGAGTGCTTTATTCGAATTGCCTCGCCTCGACTCCCTGGACCGCATTCCGCCTTCGGTGGCTCGAACCTTCAGCTTTCTAGCTAGCGGAAATGATGACGTTCAATTCTATTTGTGTGCAATCTGCCTCTGGGAGGCACAGAGGATGCTCCACCATCCACCCCTCGTCGACTTTCTATATTTGCCTGCGGTGCAGTTTTTCAATAGGTCAGAGCATGAGAGAGGCTGGACCCTCGCTCGCGATCGGATCGTGGACGGCCCAGTCGTGAGGGATCTGTGGTCAAGCTTATGGTAGTTGGGTAAGGAGTGGGGACTACAGCGCGCGGTGTGTAAATGTCTTGCATCGGGGTGCAAAGGAGGTCCTCCGTCCTTCTCGCCGTGTCGTGCTCAACTTCGTGTCGTCACCGACCCGCTCGTGATCGCCCCGCCGCTGTCGATGTGCTCTCCCTCGCCCCGTGTCCAGAACGTAGACCGGCGCAGGCAGGCGGTTCCGTGCTCCGGCTTGCCGTGTCACGACCCGCGCGTCTGTCGTTCGTGCCCGCCCTTGCCCTGCGCAACGTTGGGTGGGTGTCGGGGCTTCTACGAATGCAGTGCTAGGCTTTCCAGGGCATCTTAGAGAGAAATTTCCTCCGATTTGCTTCAGCGGGTAGAGAACACTGACGGTGAGGCCAAGGTGGGGGAGATAGTGTCGAGCCCTTGCTGGTTGCCAGGATGGAGTAGCTGACAAGTTGCGTTAGCTAAGCAGGCGTGCTCGAACGGCTCGAACTTTCGAATTCCGGAACTTTCTGGTAGCGTCTGCCGTTCTCCTAGGCGATCCTCACGCCCACAAATTCAAGCGTTGAGTAGAAGAATTATTCTGCAGTTGAGGGACGATTGAAGGGGTACTATTAGTGCTCGATCGATGCTCAGATGCGAGAGGAGACCGCGCCACGTAAATAATGAAGTTTGTAGGATAAGAGGATGTGAAGCCGGGTGACCCAATTCAAAGAGCCAGGAGTGGGCAGAAGAAGCGTTAAGCAAGGAGATCAGGGCAGGAGAAACGAGGCTGAGAAGGACAGGGTATCGTGCTGAGTTTGGACTGTGTCAGGTCTAGATTATCTTATCTCATCTCGCCTCTTGGCTCCTGCCCTCATCCGGTCGTCTCTCCTTCGTGCTCTACGTCACTCATCGACATTTCCCATCTCCTTAATTCCTTTTCACTACATATCCTGGTACTTATGAAACAATATCACTGCTTTACAAACGCATCGGCGGGTGCCGGGATGGACAACGTTAGTCACGGAAGGTGCGCTCGGTATGTCTCTCCTCCTTCTCATCGATCTACTACTTCGCGTACCGTTTACTCCCTCTCTTCCAGCGTCTCTCGGCACTGGATGTACCTCCCTACCTTCTCTTCTCGATCAGTATCCTTCCCGTCTGCAACGTATCACGATTCATGGCGCAAACACGAACTTCCATAACGTGGCGAGCAGCCCTCTATGTGTACATCCACGTTTGCGTCTCCCTCTCCTCGTTATAGGAGCTGGGGGCCACTTGCGTGGTTATCCCGGTCCACTGCACTGCGGCTGCTCATCTCGTCTCGACGTTCGCAATGTTATTCTAACGCCGTCTCCTTTTCTGTATAGCAAATCTCCGCGTCCTTGGGCTGGTGGCTTCGTCGCGCAGCTGTGGTTATATCCTCGGTGCTCATCCGATCCACCCAGGAACCCTGTCATCAAGGCGATGCTTTACCTACATTGTTCGATGTGCGCAGTACATTTTTTCTCTCGTATTACCTGGCGGTTCTTTCGCCAAGTTCACTTTATTAGTCCATATTCGGATTCCGCATTCGCGATATTCCGCCTTACTCCCCACCCCTCGAAGCCCGATTTCTCCTTCCCCTCCGGTCACTGTCTCGTTCGTCGCTTATTCTTCTCCCGTGCACCCTTTTTACACCACTATCCACCAGCCATCGAGTAAACGAAAGGGGACGCCGGGGACATGAATCCTGCTCTTTGCACCCACGTTTGGTTTGCAAGCGTAGGTGGTAATAGCGGGATAAAGGCGTATTTTCATAGTACTCCTCTTTCGCTCTCGTTTCAGTGTGGTGTCCTTCTTTCCTTTCCTTTCCGCGGTGCACGCGGCGGACCTGGGACTGAAAGAGTCGGACAGAAAGAGGATAACGTTCCAGCCCACCAGCACTCGCGTTGTACACGTGTGTCCGTGCTGATGACTGGATCGTGAGGATCCATTGCATCTGTCCGACTCTTCCCTGCTCCTTTAGCTGCCCGACGGGTGAGGTCATGCCTCGTATGCACTTTCAACTTTCGTCCCATTTCGCCAGATAGGCACGACTCTGGGCTCTGAAGATTTACCCAATCTAGTTCTTATGTAAAAAAATGTTTTGAATGTTCATTGAATATGGGTGGAGCTTGCAGTTGCAGCATGTTATGTTATGTAGAAGTTGTGAAAACAGAAAAAAGGGCAAGAAAATCCTAAAACGAGGAAGGAAGCTCCCATCGTGAGGATGGCTGCGGTCGTATGACGAACGGGCGCTTAGATATATGTCAACCTTCTCCCCCGCGCGTTCAGATAAGGGACCCTACGAGAATGATTTTTGACCTAGAGGCACGGTCATCTTCGGCGTCCGAAACCATCAAAGAAACAAACGGTGAAAGACATAGGTGACGGATAGGTTGACGTCAAAAGGAGAGGGCGAGAGTTCAGAGGTCGGATGGCTTCCGAGGGAGAAATATCCTGAATCAAAGAGAGGTGAGATGAGATGAAGAAGGCATTCGGACAACACCAATATACAAGCCGCAAGCGCAGAGTATATCCGACAAAGAAGAAAAAGCCGAGCTGGGTCAAAACGTGCACGTCCAAATGGCAGTGTCAGGAGTGGTGTCTCGGAAGAGCAGTGGGTGCAGATAGGGGAGAACGGGTCCAATGTCTCGAAATGGCACGTCATGCACGGGTGTTGTCCCCGGATAATGGAAGGATTATGTGGACTAGAAGGTTTAATGAGGCGTGAACAGACGGGAATTCGAGTTTGGGGGCAAAGGGGGCGCATATAGCCAGCAAATCATTGATCTCCTTTCTTCTGGCCCACGTATCTGATCCTTCAGGAACCCGAGGCGAGGAACTCTTGACTCCTGTGTGCGATATAAGCGACAGCGGAAGGAGGATTGCCGGCAACGCGTTCGTGCGTCGACGCTGGCTTTGGCCTAGCAAGGGTTACGTGGCGCGATCATTAGTCGCGAGAGACGCACAGCCAACACTACGCAGCGTCCACTGCAGTGCTTTTCTAGAACCCAGCACGCCATCGGAGGCGGACTGACCGCCGGTTACCAGACGGTCAGACCCGGATGTTGGCGTGAAGTAGGAAGGCACAGCAGTGGACGCTGGTTGCGCTGGCGCAAGTCGCAAGTCTAGACAGGGGTAGGACGAAAAGATGCGCAGTACAAGTCGAGTGAACGAGGCCGGGACAAGAGGGCGTTGAGAGACAGTGAAACGATTCGGATATGGCGGGGGAAGGATCAGAACATTAGCAGGGTTGAGTCGTTGAGAGAGAGATGAAGGGCGAAATTTCGAAATAGTATCATGCCGGGTGGCCGAGTCGGAGTTTGGATTTGACGATCTTATCTTATCTCACCTCGTCCTACTGAGGGAAGGTGGCTGCGCGGCTCGTCTCGATGTTCGCAGTCTCATTTTCTACATTCCACCCCTCTGCACTGCACTCTGCATGCCCCTCTGGGCCCTGATACATTCACTCATTCCTCTACCTCAAATGGTACTATCTCTCGTTCCGCATGCATACCAGTAAAGTGTTTATTTCCTTTCCAGGGCCCACTGCGACGGTAGGCCCGGGACTGAAAGAGTCGAACAGTAAAGGGGGTATAACGTTCCATTTTTGTAACCCACCAGCGCTCGCGTTCAAACATACGTGCATCCGTGCTGGTAACTGGTTCGTCCATATTTTCCTTCCTTGATGTCTTTCCGACTTTTTCTTGTTCTTTTGAACGCCCAACGGTGATAATGCATCTCGTATGTACTTTCAGTTTGCAAATTTTTTCCCATTTCGCTGAATAATAAGTAATACGCTCTTCTGGGGCTCATGTGGCTCGAGACAAATTCTCTGCGGTCCGACTCTGAGCTCCGCCTGTGTCCCTGTATTTAGACGGTCGTAGAGCAGGCCTATTAGGGTTTCAAGTATTGTGTGAACCTTCCTCAAGTTTCTCAAAGGACGAGAAGGGGTACTTAAATATTTCCTTTTAATGTTTAATGCAAATGAGCGCAGATTGAATAATCATATTATATAGATCTCGACTATGCGTCACGCTCATTGAGAGCGTATTCAATGTGCGGTGGAGAACTCAGTCATCGGAAGTGGTAGAAACGAGTTTATAGTTTAGTCACTATTACCTGTATGACAGAAGTTACACTAAGTGATAAAGTTCACTACTAGTTTATTACTGCCACTGTTCCTCGGCCAGCACCCCCAACCCGCATATCGCCTCTTTCCTATTCCCCCAAGAATCTATCCATATAACTGACATACCCTTCATTGCCTCTAGGTAGCTCATGTCAGGGAGCGAATCGCACGCCGTGAGATCAAGCACCTGCACAGGGCACCCATCCGCCTCTCGTTGCCTCAAACATACCTCCAGATATCCAGGACCGTGATCGGGTGCTACAGAACTTCCGGTGAGGTACACGACGTCGAGGATGAACAATTTCTGCAGTTTTGGGAAGACAGGTGGCACTCCGGCCTCCGGAGGTAGGATCATGAATTGCTCGATTACGGACATCTTGGCTCCGAGAAACTGGACGTTGGGCATGGAATGCAGGAAACTTTGGATTTGATGGTGCAGCTCCTGGTGAGTCTTGTCAAGAAAGCCGATTTCAACTGAGAGGACCATGATGTGGCTATAATCACACTGCGAGAACGCGGCGATGTAGGCATTGGGACCTGGGACTCCGGGTGACATCATATGGGCGCGCCATTCGAATACGAATACTTCTGGAACATCGCCCGGGGTAGAAAGTTCGATTATGTCCCTTTCGAGTTGCGCAAGGCGGAAATATTCGTCGGGATAGAAATGTAAGATCATGTTGGTGCGGTTGGCACCACAGAGCAAACGTTCGGCATACTTGGCGAGTATGTGGTTGATTAGCGATCGTTGAGAGGTGGAAGGAGTCGGTGCGTTGAGTTCTGGAGTGTACATTATCAATCTGCATTCTGGGTGGGGTTCGATGTGATTTAGGAGCAACGTCGCGGGATAGAGGCCGTGAGTGACTCGAAGATCGATGAGATTTGGGAGTTGAATGACTGGGAGACGTGGAGGGATAGATTCTTCGGGGGTGGCGAAAATTGAGTTCTCAGTAAGGGATTGAAGGTGTGGCATATCACGGAGCTTTTCCAACCACATCGACAGCGTCAGGGGTGGGTCCGCCCTATAGCCTGCAGATATGTCTAGATGGCGAAGCTGGCTTAGCCACGGTGCTGATATGTAGCCCCCAGCTCGAAAATATTCTGTCAACCGGAAATCCATCAGTTGTGGGATGTGGGCGCTGAAGAGCGCTAGTGGCCCTGGAGGTGAATGTTCGTCGTATGCGCAACCGAAGCGAAAGGTCTTCAATGTGTCCGATGGCCGTGATAAGAGACTCCAAAAATCCTTCATCGGGTACCAGACTTCTGCATCTGGCAGATACGTGCTTAGTGGATAGATGGAGACTATGAGGGTTTCGATTCTTGACCAGTGGACCTCGAGGATGTAGACGAGGAAGTGTACGAAGGCGGCGAAGGCGGTATCACCCTCGCTTGATTGATAGCCCCTAACGTGCAACGGAGCTTCTCCAGTCCGGCGTATTACTTCCTGCCTCCACTCCTCTTTCAACAGAATAAGAAGATCAAGATCCATGAGCCTACCCCATAATACAGTGGACGAAAGTATCGTTTGGCGCCAGAGGTGACAAACATGAGATGCGTCGCGGATGTTCGTCAGGGCTCGAATTTCTGGATAATAGATAATGTCGGTGTCCTTCTTGGGCGGATCGTCTTCCATGTTCGCATTGAATGTGAGGATGTGAAGCAGGAGATGGTCATCGACCTTTCGAATTGGCGATGCTCCCGAGTTAATAACTGTACCCTGCTCTGTGGGGGCAAGGTTCATTGCGGATGCTATACGGCAATCGTTTAGTCGTGTCAAACTCGAATACGCAGATACGTGCCTTCAACGCCACGTTTGGCCCTTCTGCGATGAACTAACTTAGTCTGAGGGCAAGGCTTCTGCCTTCTCCGGTAGGGCTGGACACCGTGCCGTACTGGTACGGTGGTACGGCACCGTAATGCAATTACGGTCCCGTACCGTCTAAGCTGCGTGACACCTTCAAGACGGCCGTATATAGACGGCGTAACGGCCGTAAATACGGCGACGGTGTTGTACTACCTGAAAGAGCCCAGATCTCTGTCGGAAATCTCCAGAATGCATGATTAGCCGGCCCGGTGATTAGGCCGGATTTTGGCATGATTAGGCGGCGCCGAGCATCCTAATTAGGTCAGGATCAGCCTGGCCGGCTCGGCCCCATGTTCAGGCATTAATCACGAACATATCCTACGACAAATTTCACGATGACGGCCATGCAAGCTCATGTATCTGTGCAGTCAGGTAGTAACAGTAATAAAGGTTCAGGACATCCTCTTTTATCGCCTCGCTGACCACGGCTTTCGTCATTAGGAAGTGCATGATTAGTGTTAACGAGCATGATCCACCTAACTAAAATCATGATTATGCATGATTATGTCATGACCGCATTTGTGACATGATCGGCCTAATCAGGTATTTGGCGACTTTCCGACAATTCGAGAATCCGATGCTCGAAGCGGCCTAAATCTGAAATAAGCAGCGAGATTGTTGGAATCCGGCGAGCCGGGAACACCGCTGCTCTCGCCGAGATGACCGAGGTTGAACCTTCGACACTCGTCTCTGACATTCTCTCATCAGGAAAGTATAGGAATTATGTAGAATTATGTCGAAATGGTCTAGGTACAGGATATATATAAGGAGCCCTCGAGAGCAAGCCTCCTTAACCCTTTTCAGTCTCTTTCCCAAAAATTCCTGTGTGAACTCAAGTTCTCAGTAGAGTCGCGGCCTGACCGCGACAACAAATAGTTGTGAAATTAGTACTTGACTCGTCGCCTATCTACACTATCGAGGATTCCATAATCTACAAATAAGTAAAATTGCCATGGATCTCTTAGAACAAGAGGCTTAGCATGAAGTAGTGGCCCGAGTGGCTGCCCGTCCGGACCCCACATACTGAGTCCGAGATGGATTATGGCATTTGGGACGTGAAATACACATGGATATGCTAGGGGAAACAAACCAATTGCTATACTATACAAAGCTCCTGAAGTTATTCAAAATGCTTATTTAATTAGGTCCCATTGACAGAGAGATATACTGTGAGAGCGGGGGGACTTAGCGCAGTATTGCAAACCCCAGACCCAGTGCTGATTCTCTACTACCAACGAGCCCACCTTAGTTCATCCCCTAGGATTTGATGTGCCTGTTTCCACCGTCCGTGAACCGTAACGGACGGGTACGGACGGTCACCGTACCGTACCTAGATTTTGTCACGCTGAGTACGGACGTATTTTTACGGCCGTAGCCGTATACGGTACGGTGACCAGCCCTATTCTCCGGCGTTCATGTTGGCTACTATTTTGGACCTGATGTTCGTCAGGACCCAGTGTTCGTCAGGTCACATCAGTGTCACTCTTCGCTAATCACCGCTTCAAGGTCCGAAGACTGACGAACCTCAGCGTGAGGGAGCGAAGACATGTTCGTCGCTTATGTACTCATGATCCCATCTTGCCGAGAAGTCGGCAGCAGCCTCACGCGTGACAGAGAGCTTAAAGTTCGTCCTTCTTCATAGCACCTTTTTCCGCCCAGAAATGTGTCTGTGACACGTGTCTTGGTGTGTTGTTGCATGCTGCAAGAGTTGGTGAAGATCGGAGGTTTCGGTGGCGAGATTCTAGGGGGGTGACGAACATCGGGTCCTGACGAACATCAGGTCCAAAATAGTATGCGTCTGCTGACTCACAGTCGGAGTTTGTTCGGACTCGGCGGTGGCCGATCGGCATTCCATTGCCTTCTCTACAATTTCCTGGTCGTTAATATTAATCATCGAGGACAAGCAATGCCCGAACCCAGGAGGAGGCCGCTGGTGTTCAGCTGTGCTCAGTTGCCCCTTCCACGGAATGTCGGCGGCATTGGTACCAACTCTTGTGGGCACAAATTCAATCCTGTTGGCACTTCAACGCTACCCACCCTTCAGCGCAAACGACGTTGATTCTCATGCAAGTGCTCTCATCCCAAACAGCCGAGATGACGTACACTAGAGTACACTCCTGTACATTCCCTCAGGTATATGTCGAGCGATAACAAGTGCAACGTCTCCTCCGCCAGCTACTCGCGCTCGCCCTGGGGTCTTCGAACCGAGTACGACACAAAAACGCGAGTTTTCCTGACTCCATGTCAGGGGCGGCAGAGGGTGGAGAGGAAGAGGACCGCCAGAGGGTGCATATCATACCGATGCACTTTTCTTTCTCGCTGATATCGTTGACCCTCTGGCCCTAATTTTGGGTGCTTTGGCTACAACCAGCCCTCTTGCGGTCATGGAAGCTCAGCTCAGATGACCTTATCCTCACAGCAAACATTTGCGAGCGTGTAGAAGGAGTTACTATACACCAACTCTTCGAACACTCTCTGGCGTTGATACTGTGGAAGGGCTTCTTCCCATCTCTTGTATAGCTTTGTCAGTGCATGAAATTGAAGCCCCTCAAAGAGCGTTTACTGAAACTTCATTCACGCCTCCTCGAAGAATGCTTCACCTTACTGGCATCCAGACCTCTGCAGCGTGCTTCATCAGTCCAGTCTTTCCGCAACGGTAAGCCCTGCTAATTGCCACGACGAAAGCTTATTATCTTCCATCACTGAGGAAGGCTGTACTTGACGGTAGAATCGTCGAGAAACAGCTTTATGGACACACCGATTCATCACTGAGAAGTAGCATCTGCCCTCGACGCTGCACCTTCCGAGGAGTATCCGGAGGAAGTGCAACCTTCATCAAGCTAATTGGTTTACTCACCATCCCTCGCGGTTTTCGTCAACTAGAAGCTCGCGATGTAGAGTCAAAGCTGTACTAACGGCCTCCTTTTTCGATCCAAAGAATGGGTTGCTGCGCTATCCAACAGCATCGGCTTCGCTTATACGTCAAAGCCTCGAATGCGTGTGAGATAGGGGGAGCGAAAGCTTTCGTTCCTCCATTGCTTCCTGGAGGTGAGAATCGTTCCTCAGATGCCACTCCGTTCGTATTTAAGCCAACAGCCTCCTCGTATCAACCCCAAGACGCGTCTTTCCAGCCCGCATCGATATCTTCCACAGTTCAAAAGCTATGACCAAATTCTTGTCCTCTCTCGCCCTCTTCCTGATGTTCGCCGCTGGCTCAGCTTCAGTCCTTGTGACTCCGCCGTCCGTTAGCACCGAGGCACCCGCCCCCAACTGCTACAGCTGCAACACTGAACAATTCAACATTGGCAATATCCAATACGTCTCCAGGTCGGAATTCCGCCGGGGGACCTCGTTAGATTGTCTGTGAGTCCCCTAACACCCATTTCAAACTCACAATGTAATCAGCGACTGAACGGGGATTGATAACAGCTATACGGGCCATTATTCAGGGTTCGGCCGTCCGGGCTTGCTCTTTTGCGCTTTCGTGTATTCCCAAGTGGTGAGTAACATGAAACTCCTTTTTCCTTTTCTCTTTCTGTAACGCGCACATTTAGACTGGGTACTCCCTCTCCCACGTTAGCGATGAGAACTGCCCTGCGCCGGTCAAAGTAGCCTGTTGAGCGCCCTGTGAGTGATTTTCCTTTTAACAAGTTGCCTTCACCATATTCATTACACCAGTACTTGGTGCTATTCGGAACACGTATCGAATATTCTCTCGGTCGTGCTTAGTTCTCTAGGTTTCACGGGAACTAGTAATGAGATGGCTCCGTTATCTACGTTCTTGAAATTCCTTGGCCCAGTTAACTTGAATCTAAGCCTGTCATGAACACTGTGAATCCCTCAGTGATGTTCCGAGAAACTAGACATTGAGCTTCCCATGGGGCACTGGCACAAAATACTTGCCTTTTGTGCCCGTTTGCATATCACGATCAAGCCGGGAGGAGTCTGTAATTTACTCTGGTCCGACGCGCCGTTCGTTTAGCTATGAAGTTCACGATGTATTTTTACCATCTTCTCGTCTTGGCCTGTTTATAACCCTTCATTGACAGCTTGCAATCTATGTATTACATGTTAACGACAACCCACCTCCAGATCCTTCGCCGTTTATTTGTAGGAATACTATACGTACGCTATCCTCCTCGAGCGCAATATCTCGAGTTGTAAAATCTTATCTTATCATTGACGGCGGGACCACTTCTCACGCCTCTGATAAATGGAAAATACTCTGCAAGGTTCGTACCTCGATCATCTCGCAAGGTCCTAATCGCTGGGTTCTCATAAAATGGGCACCCGGGGCGCGATGGGCCTCCTTTGCCCCACCACCCGACAATTTCACAATGGCCTGGTTTTCTGCCAACATCAACGACACCCTCTCTGCAGCCAGGTCCAACACTTGGACTACCATCATCACCGTCTTCTCTCTCGCCTTCGTCTATGTTCAATATCGCCGCAGTCCGTGGAGGAAGCTGCCACCCGGGCCTAAAGGCGTTCCTGTCCTTGGCAACATCTTCCAGCTTGGCAAAACGCAGTGGTACACGTTCACGGAGTGGAGGAAACAGTATGGTGCGTGATTGTCAATCGTATCTCTACGAACTCCCTCGACTGACCAACTTTGCAGGCGACGTGGTGTATCTAAACCTCGCTGGCCAACCTGCCGTTGTCCTGAACTCGCTCAAGGCAGCTGCCGACATCCTGGACAGGAGAGCAGGTCTCAATTCGGATCGTCCGAGCTATATTGTAGCTTCCGAGATGATGAGCAGGAATATGTTCATGGGATTCACACCGTACAACGACCTGTACGTCCAGTTTACCCGTCTTTCATTACAACTCACGCATGCGTTATCTCCAGCTGGCGAACGATGCGCCGTGCCTCTCACGAAGGCCTCCACAAAGCCATCACACCCAACTTCCACCCGACCCAAATGAAGGAAGCAGCGATTCTAGCGAGCGAGATCATCTCGACGCCGAAGAACTGGGACAACCACCTCCGGCGGGCTGCAACCTCCGTCATCGCTTCGATCGTCTACGACACGCCAACTCTCAAGTCCGAGGAGGACCCGTTGGTGATGGAGGTCAACCAATTCACGGCAAGGCTGACGAAGGCGGCGTTGCCTGGTGCGCACTTCGTGGAGAGTTTCCCGTGGATGAAGCACATCCCTGCTTCGTACGTCTGATTTTTCTTCGTTCGATTAGTTCATTCAATTGACTTCGACTTTAGGTTGGCCAAGTGGAAGCAAATCGCCCTAGAATCGTACAAGAAAGATACATCAATGCTTACTGGCCTTATGCGACCCGTCAGGAACCAGATCGCTGCTGGCGAGGACAGGCCGAGCTTCTCCGCCACGGTCATCAACGACAAGTCACATAACATGACGGAGGCGGAGAGTGCATGGCTGGCGGGGAGTGTCTAGTACGTCGTGTCGTCCCTTTTCATTACCAGACTCTGATCTTTTCATAGCGCCGCCGGAGCAGAGACGACTTCGGCTGTCATGGCGTGGTGGGTTCTGGGCGTCATTGCATACCCCGATACTCTGAAGAAAGCGAGAGAAGAGATAGATTCGGTCGTTGGAAGGGACAGGATGCCGACGTTTGACGACTTTGATCATTTGCCGTACATAAGGGCGATGGCGAAGGAGGTGCTGAGGTGGCGCCCTGTGGTGTGTCTTGTCTTCCTTTCTCTTCTTCCACGATGCTGATATCAATTCTTGGCCCCCATAGGCACCGCTCGGCTCTCCACACCGCTCGACCGAAGACGACACCTACGAAGGCCACTTTATCCCCGCCAACACCATCCTCATCTCCAACATCTGGTCCATCAACCGCGACCCACTCGTCTTCGGACCAGACGCACACGAGTTCAACCCTTCGCGGTTCATCACCAAGGATCCGAAGACCGGCGAGACGATGCTCGTGCCAGCCCCATACGACACGAAAGACGAACACCACGTTGCTTTTGGGTTTGGACGGAGGATCTGTGTGGGCCGATATGTCGGGAATGATAGTCTGTTCATCGATATCGCGACGTTGGTGTGGGCGATGAATATTGAGTATGTCGGGAAGAGGCCGATTGATCTGGATGGCTACGTCGATGAGGGTATCGTCATGTAAGTCCTCCATTTTGCTGCTTCTTTTTTTACGACGGCCTGTCTACTTTTCCCTTGCCTCTTCGCTTCAAGTTCACCTCCTCCCTTTTTTCTTCTTGATACTTTTCTTTATGAATACTGTATTTCACTTTTGGTTGAGCCAAATAGCTGACAACTATTTCACTAGTCGTCCGCCAACTCTCCAGGTTAAATTCAGCCCTCGCTCGCCTGACGTTCGCGAGATCATCGAGAGGACGCTCGAAGAATTTGGGTATCAAAAGTGAACTCGGGCTTGCGAACCTCGCATTTCTAATTTCACTTCCTCCACTTTCGACCGTAGACCATAGAATATTCGATGGCCTTTCTAATGTATATGCCTAATTTAACTTTGTAAAATCGAAATAAGCTCGAATCGCCTCTATCTCGCGCGATATCAGCTTGCGGAAGCCAAGTTTGTGACTTCTTCGCAGCGCGCCTGTTCGAGCTCCTCAGGAGCGTCAAAAAAAAACTCTGAGCTGTAGAGTTGATTTTCTGTGGAGGTGGGCAAGAGGAGAGATTTAGAAGTATTGGCATCCGAGAGGAATCCTCGTCGTGGCTGTGCAGAAATAAGAGGTTAATAAAAAAAATTGTCGGAAATCTCCAGAATGCATGATTAGCCGGCCCGGTGATTAGGCCGGATTTTGGCATGATTAGGCGGCGCCGAGCATCCTAATTAGGTCAGGATCAGCCTGGCCGGCTCGGCCCCATGTTCAGGCATTAATCACGAACATATCCTACGACAAATTTCACGATGACGGCCATGCAAGCTCATGTATTTGTGCAGTCAGGTAGTAACAGTAATAAAGGTTCAGGACATCCTCTTTTATCGCCTCGCTGACCACGGCTTTCGTCATTAGGAAGTGCATGATTAGTGTTAACGAGCATGATCCACCTAACTAAAATCATGATTATGCATGATTATGTCATGACCGCATTTGTGACATGATCGGCCTAATCAGGTATTTGGCGACTTTCCGACATTATTTTTTGGCACCGGCGCTTTCTCTCTTCGTCATCTACCACTATGATCATAGATACCGGTAAGTCTCTTCGTCGAAATTTCGTTCAGGGCTCTGATTTTGCATGCTGTAGACATAGATAAATGATTATCCCCGCCTTAGATCCCCACTTCATCCTCATAGACTTTGCGGTTCAACTTTCGGTGTCAGCTGTCCGAGGTTTCAGCCTTGCGGTCGAGAGGGGACCACCTCTCTAGGATGAAGATCCCGTATCTTGGGTACAAGGAACATCAGCAACGAAGAGGCCGTTCCGCCGGCTCCTTGCCTAGGTATATTTTCTTTTACTCTATCATCTCGACATTCTTTTCTGGCGAACGTTTTCAAGCATGATTTCGATATCGATAACGTCAACCCTAACATCATGAGCTCACAAAAGAGGTGCCACCTCAGGGCCTGGTAGACATCCTTCTGGATGTGCTAGGGACGACGCGGAGTCGGGGAAATACAGCACGCTCTGTTCTGTTCCGTCTTGTCTGGCTTCATAACATGCCGATCTAGACCTGCCTTCCCTGTACCGCATATCATCATCCATCATTCAAGACCTCCAACTCGCTGCTCAAATGTCTAGGAAATGCCTTTGCAATGCACTGTCGCTTCAGCCTCGAACCTCACTCCCTGAATATTCAAGCTCGCCCAGAGGAAGATCTCGCATTCTTTGACCAGAATTTTGGGTGGCGTACGAAGGAGATTAGCTTCGGGATGGTTTTAGTGTCACGTAGACAGGATATTAAAGAGAGCCGCATTATTGTGCTCTGTGACCCTGGTGCATTCTATAATCCACAGCTTCTTGATTGGGCAGGATGAGCGGACGATGAATGGCGTTAAAGGATTCATTGCCTGACCCAACGAGTGGTATTCAAGTGTTTCAAGGGATGGGAAGGAAAAGGCGTCAAAGAAGGGCGATATTGGATCGGCATCGACTCGAATAACTAGTTTGAGAAGGTGTCGGTGGACGATGGGCCTGTGTGGAAGCGGGGTGCCATTGGGCAAGTCATCTCCCACATGATGCACTTGACACTCCCGGATTCGAGGGGGTGTTGCGAAGAGCGTGTAACACTCGTGAAAACGTGGGTGCCACATATAGACTTTCGTGACGTTCTTCCAATCTATCTTGACCCTGTGGAGACAACATGACAAAATGGTAATGGTGTCAGGAGCTGGAAGAGGTGTACCGAGGTCGAATTTGGCAGTATGGCCTTCGGTGTCTCGGGAAGATATGCTGGAAGATGTGCGGACAGAGAACTGGCGCAACGCAGGTGTGCCACGAAAGTAGCCGTGAAGGAGGTCAAGTAAACGGAGAGGAATCGAAATAGAGAGTGTACCCCAACGGTAGCAATGCTCATTGAGGATCTCGATGATGGCGCGATAAGGCTCGATGTTGGGAATGTCATCACTCCCGGGATGATGGATGTGGAGGTAAAATGAAAGTGGCAACTGGGCAGAGGGTGGAAGCCAATGACGGAGCATTTCTTCGGATGGATGCTGTCTACCAGACAAGTCGAGTCGAAGCCGAAATGATGTCCACAAGGAAGGGGTTTGACCGCGCGATGGCTTGCCACCTTTTGGAAACAGACGAAAGGGCCAGCGGAACTTGCAGTTCGATTTCTTGTTCGTCGTCCACGCAGAAGGAAAGAATTCTTGAAGCGATTTCGGTTGGAAGCACAGAGCTGAAGGGGTCATGGTGTGCGTTGTTCCTGGCACTCCTCTGGGCTGGGCTTCTGAAAGAATCAAAGCATCGGAGGAGAAGATCGCGGACAAACAAACATATCTGGAGCATCTCAAGGCTCACTACGTCACTTTGAACGGATTTTTTCTAGGGCGTGCAGGCCATAGGACAATATAAGTAGTAGATGGGCTAAGTGAAAGATACAGGCAACCCTTAGCGTTCACGGTAGAAATGAGCTCAGGAAAAATCGCACCTTGCCGCGGTCGACGTTCGTGTTGAAGTTGTGAAGCAACGGGTTTGAATCAAGATGGGAACTTCGACTCGGAATTAGAGCGTCTTGTCCCCAAACCTGGAGAAATTGACTCTAAGTATTTGGGGAATTGCTTTCGCAAGAACAAAGAGTGTTGAATTTGCAAGCCAGTCATGGGTCGAATGAGTAGTCTTTGTAAATTATTAGAATAAGTATCCAAAGGTAAGCCACCGTGCATCGGGCTCTACTTGACCGATACTCTACAAGTTACCAGCGGTGGCGTCAACAGAAACATGCACAAATAATTGAGATTAGTCGAGATCTGAAAGTGATCACGCGCGACAAATAAGTGGAAGGTAGAAAACAAGGAAGAATAAGCCTGAGGTACCTGGGGCACCGAGGACGTAAGCCTCTTCACGATTCTGTCCTGAGACGAGAGAAAGGACGATAGGGTCTATTCTTTAAGTGCTACCGTTGACTTCCGCCTGCATATTCTCCTTGACACCGCGGGCGGGATCCCTGAGGGCAAACAATATGGACATCAGCAACGCAAAGATTCAGGATCATACCACGAACCTCGCAGACCCCGTTATCTCATAAACATCAACTATGCGCCACCTGAATGATCTCTCAAGGAAACGGACGATAGCCTTTAACTGAGGACGTCATAAGGTAAAGGCGGTCGGTCAAGGGCGACTTTAAACTAACCTTCGACTTCAAGTCGGAAGACCGACGATCCAACTTTTGACTATAGTTTCGAAGTCTTGGGACGTTATTAATATGCATGTCTACGAAGCTCGGACATAATCGAGCAGTAAACGTCCAGCAAAGGACGAGGCACTCGCCGATTTTGATCGGCAGCCTTGGATAGAATCCCGAGCAACCCGTTTTCCTCGCGAATTGTCTTCCTGATGCCTTCAACATTCAAGCGATCGACAATGACTGAAATGAAAGGGTTGGCTTCTAAGTCAAGGCGGAGAATGAGGAGAACAGCATACCACGTTGAGCAAACGACGTACTGCGGAAACAACACCGATGTCAGATAGAAATCCATGACTCCTGGTCGTGTATGAGCATTCTTTGTACCGTGCTTGATCACAATTTTGATGTCGCAAATCTGGGGTCATGATGGTCGATAAGTCACTAATGGGTAATATGAAGGCAATGACGTACTCAGAAGAGTTACGGAGTAACATGAATCGACGATCGCCTGGATGATTATGAGCATGAGGTTATCAAGCGTTCGAAGAAAGGCACATACCGGAAGCCGACAGTCCTTCCTCAGACGCCTCGCCATCATCATATTCAAGGCCTAGAGAAATAATGAGGCCATGAACAACGTTATAGAGAACGTACCTTACCGGTAACGGTCTTGCGCTTGATAGCACAGCTCTTGGGTAGATAGCGCCGCAAGGAAGAATGTTGACGAAGAACTGTTGATGTGCCTACGGTGGGGTGATCGTGCGAATAATGAATGAATATCACACACCCAAAACACCGCAATGAGTGGCTCTGAGGTGCGAGGACAGGTTCCCAGTTGTGCGGCTCTAACCAGTGGGCACGCGCGACCAGCAAACGGGGGACGACGGTGGGCGCTAAGCGTGGGATCAGAATGGCGATGGCGGCGAGATCGAAAGACGGGGCAACGGTGGGTCGAAATGGCGAGTCGAAACGAGGCTGAGAGCGACGAGAGAAGGCGTACGAGAGACGAGGGCGAGGTATGAGTGCCCCGAGTGGGCAAATGAGACGAGGAACTGTATGTTATTGGGGGAAAAGAGTAAGTACAGACATTTTGTATCTACAAAAAACAGGAGCACCGGTGGGGTATTTCTCCGAACCGGGCTGCAGGAATAAAGAATAAGAGAAAATCTTCCACAGAAATAAATAAGAATGATAAAAAAATAATCAAATGACGAGGGGACGCAACGGACGACTGCGCTGATGGTCTTGATATGGCAAGGGTGGCGCGTCGAGGCTTCGCTTCGACTGGAACCATGTGGGCCGATCACGGGGCTTGCTGATGTTCTGGCTGAGGGTCTCCGGGTGCGTCGAGGAATCATATGGCTCAATGGGAAAGGTGTCGGGGATCGAGGGGACGACGAGAATGCGATGACGAAAGTCGAAAAAAGGGATTTTCCGAGGCTAGGCAGCGGGCTGGCTCATCACTGTTCAGATCGATTGAAAGGGACTGATTTTTGAAGACATGCACTCCTCCTGCCCATCTTCTTCGATGCCCAACGCGTCTTCATGTTGGAACGCCGAATGCCCTCAATCTAGGACGATGTCAGACGAGAATTGCACATGGTCGGAGCGATACACACAGAGAAAAAGTAGTCGACACAATGAGGTCTTCCTCTGTGAAGCCGAATCAAAACAAGGGTGGCTACTCGAATGAGCATCGAATATTGGCAAGGAAGTAATGAAACACGTACAAAGGACTTTCACGCGAGCAACGTCTTTTTGCCATCCCCCCAGGTCATCTCTTCCTACGTCCATTGGAGCTTCGCTTGGGTTTCCGAATAGGTGGTGCCAACCAAGAACACAGCGTTCCGACGTTGAGGACTGGGCTGAGAGAATGGACGCCCGTCAAAAGGACGAACTGAGCAGAGGCAACATGGGTATTGAATACACTGGAAGGGGGACGAAAGACGATGCTTACCGATGCGCGGTCCAAGATTCCAAGACCTTGAAGGGGCCAGGCTTGCCGTGAAACAATCTAATGTTCAATTACGTCTCCCAATGCAGAAGAATAGGTTGTAGAAGTCCGACATCACTCGTGTCAGCTCATCAAAGGGATGAACTCGAATCCCTAACATACCTCTGAAATCCGCGCGGAAAGAGAATGGAGGGCATTCACCATCGGCGAGGTGGAGAGCGCTACGCCGGGCTGTAGGCATTAGGACTTGGATGAGATCGAGGGTTCGGAGGAAGAACAGGACTTGCGTCGTATGAGGTCATAGTGAATCAAGAATGCTCCATCACAAAAAATGTCCGCGGCTTACGGTGCGTGTAGGGTGTGACACGCCTTGTGACATGTTACACGGCCTGGACCACACTTATAGGAGCTTATACGACGACGAGCAGACTTCCGTGGACATGGGGCGAATTATAAGCCCCTTATACGAGGGCATGAGAAATTCGTTCAACGTATACGATTATGAAAAGCATTATAGTAACCTGTACGCTTCAAAAGACCCTTTCGAGGAGCTACATACTAAGGACCTCGACGCCCCGTGGGCCGTCCTGCATGTCATCTCATACAACTTGTGGGATACAGTAAGGGCATCTGGATGGACATTTCAAGTATATTTCGCACTTCTACCAAAGCTATTATACATCAGCTCCCAATGAAAGGCGATACCATTCAACGTGATCAACGCCTTTTCGGACATCGTGCAAACGCGCAAATAGTTGCAGAATCCCTCCCTCCTTCGACTCGGACACATTGTCGCCCACCATCCACAACCCACAACACGCTGTCCGAAAGTCAGCGCCTCGCAGTCGCAGCAGATGCACAAACTCTCACACAGATAGTGGCTGCTCGACGCTCTTGATTCCTCGACCTTGCAAATTAGCATCGCATTGGTGTTATCCGCTTATTCTCCAAGGCCGCCTATGACTTGGACAGTAAGTCTTGATCTACCCATGGCCCGTTAGGATAAATAACGACGTACCTGTACCAGATTTCCCCCACCTCACCCATTCACAAGAGGCTAGCCGCTAGCATTTCGCGTGCATCCTCCCATGTCCCACACATTTGATACATCACCACACAGCCGTCCGACCTCGGCAACAACCTTGTCGTAGTATGTCACTAGCGCTAGTCATTTATTCAGCTAAGCAAGCCCTCACCAACTTTTTTAAGACGAAGAGCGACTTACATAGCTCTCTTTATTATCTGGCACAGCGAGGGTACCATCCTCTGGATGAGTGCCATACCCGTAGCCTCTTCGTCGACATGACTTACTCGATGCAAATGCCACAGGAATCTCAATTCAGGTGAGTCACAAACGAATACGATCTTCATTGAAGACAACAACTATGGCCTCTCCTGCTCAAAGAACACCACCCACGCCTGTCACAGGATATACAGGGGGCCGTAGGACTAGAAAATCGTTTCAGCCAGAAATCAAAATGGCCATCGGGAGGGCGTACAGTAAAGAACTAGGGAGAAATAACGCCCATGTGATCGTATGTGCGACTGTCCATCAAATTCTGGAGGTGGATGTCGTCTGAATCGAGCTTCGCGTTCTTTATTTGTGAATCTGACATCCTGGTACATGGCCCATGGTGAGTTTTTCTGTCTCTTCTATTTCTGACCTGTGAAATGTGTCGACAACCTTGGAGAGAGGGCAAGTCCAAGGTGCCAAGCACAAATGTGGAAGGAGAAGATGGCTTTGAAGGATGCAGTACGTGGCTGCTCGAGAAGGCAGATGCTATCAAAGTTTGTGAGATTGGTTGATAAGACGGATGATTTCCTGGTGGGGTAAAACGCCGAGGCACAGTAGGTCTAACGGACAACGAAGGGTTGGATAGAATACGCACTTGAAAGTAATCCTTGTACATGTGTACTCAGCCGTTTACGGGCATGAGGGCTTGACATCATGTCCATCCGGTCAACAGTAGTTCGCGAGAACGACAACATGTGTTGAATCTCCCTTGGAGTGGTGGGTAGCATGAGCCTATGGATGGCAGATTTCTAAGGATGAAGGACAATACAACTTGAACAACGCACTTTGCTGGCGCCCCCCCTTGTGTCCGGTCTACAGTTCTGAAGTTTACCCATCCAAGGGATGGGCCTGAGCCTTGGATGCGATGGCCGATGCATGGAAAGCAGCAACGTCAGGCTCTAAACGTTGGGCTTCGACACTCAGCAGGCTGCAATGCTTATCAGTGTTAGGGGATGCCGTGAGTGATAAAGAGACTACCTCGTAGGCAGAGTTGTGAGTATATAGGTAGTGGTTGAACGATTGGCAGCGGTTGAACGAGAGCGAGTGAGTCAAGAGGCAGGCCTCAGGCCTCAGGACTACAACAAAGTTCAAGACTTCAAGAATCAAGTTGGACTTGGAAGAATTTTGTTAGCCGACTTGCTATCATGTGACTCAATGGGATCTCGGCGAAAGCCAATATAAGAATTAGTGTCGCCTTTCGCCTTGCTTCCATTTGTCCTCTCTCTTCCTCCTACCACTGTGTTCCCCAACCCGTAATCAATAGGACCATGGTGTCTATAATTCTCTAGATGTGAATGGTTCTTTAAGATGCTGGGTATTACCGCTGACAGAGTCTATATGCCAGGTGCTCAGCCGGGCCCGCGGCCATCTCCGATGCAGGAGGAAGTGTGTGACGAGCCGACAGATGACGCCGCTTGGACGTCGCGACCCAGAAAGTGGTGAGAACTGCCTGTCTCACTGGGATAAGAGTTTTTCTTAACATTGGCTCCTGATAAATGCCCTGGATGGCCTTGCGCCTCGAGGGGATTCTTCACCCAGCTGGGAGAACAAGGTTCGTGTCGTGCGCCTGCTCATCCAGCTAACAGCAACCCCTGATAGTAGCCTCTCATATATGCGTGGTATTTAGTATAAAGGTGCACATATATCCATCCCTACTTGCCTTGCATGAATTGACCAATTGTCCCTTGGTTAGGAAACGGCGACGCTGCGACGGTATTGTCCCCATCTTCCGTCATCTCTCAAGAATTCGCAGCAGACGTTTAGTAGCATGCCACAACTTTCATACGTATCCCGCCTACGCATGTCTCTTTCATTTTGTTCTTGTCGTCCTCCCTTGTTTTCCGTGTACTCTACTGTCCAGTGGTGCAGTCAAATATATGGTCTTTTGAACTTTGAAATCTCTCTTCGGCGTGAACTGCAAGGCAAATGAACGGACAATCATGAATAACCACGAATAGGTACTTGGAAGCTTGTGCAACCCTTTCGAGGCTTATAAGGACCATAATCTATTATAATCGTTGGGAATTCCTATGAGCCGACCAGGCTTATAAGATCCTGGTTCCTACAAGCCCGAAAAGCCTTGCACGACCGATAAGACTTATAGCAACTTATAGGACACACCCAACGTGTATATGAAGGGTGCGAGGCTTCCGATGCTTATAATCGCTTATGATGGCCTATAATGACTTTTGACAGCTTATGATCGGTGCGCATTTTTTGTGATGTCGTGTGAGTTCCGTCTCGGATAGATCTGTGAAATCTTATCTTATCTCCCACATTTATGTTGGTCGAACTCGCCTCACAAAGGAAGACTGTGCGCTCTGCAAGTTTCGTACCTCGATCATCCTTGCAAGGCCGCCTCGCTCTCATGAAATAGACACCCTAGACAAGATGAGCCATCTCTTCCCCCCACCCGCCAAGTCCACGATGGACCACATGTTTGCCAGCCTCGACAGCGTCCTCATTGCGGCAAGATCCATAACTTGGACCACCATCATCACTGTCCTCTCCCTCACTTTTCTTCGATGTCCAGCACCACTGCAGTCCATTGAGGCGGCTTCCACCTGGCGCTACGGGCATTTCTGTCCTAGGCAACATCTTCCTGTTGGGCGAGACGTAGTGGTTTATGTTCACGGAGTGGAGGAAACATTATGGTGCGTGATTCTGATCATACCTCTACGAACGTACTCGACTGACAATCTTTGAACTTTGTAGGCGACGTGGTGTATCTAAACCTCGCCGGTTAACCCGCTGTTGTCCTCAATTCGCTCAAAGCGGCTGCCGACATCCTCGACAGGAGAGCGGGACTGAACTCGGATCGTCCGAGCTATATATATCGTAGCTTCTGAGATGACAGGTAGGAACATGTTCATGGGGTTCATACCGTACAACGACCTGTACGTCCAGTTTACCCGTCTCTAAGTACAACTCACGCATGCTGTCTCCAGCTGGCGAACGATGCGCCGTGCATCTCACGAAGGTCTTCACAAGAACGTCACACCGAATTTCCGGGGCTAGTTTGGCAAAATGGAAGAAATGTGCCCTCCAGTCGTACAAGAAATACACATCGATGTTGACAGGCCTTATGCAACCCGTCAAGAACCAGGTCGCTGCGTGCATGGACTGGCAAGCTTCTCTTCTACGGTCATCAATGACAAGTCGTACAATATGTCGGAGGCGGAGAGTGCATGGCTGGCTGGAAGTGTCTAGAGTGCGTCCTTTCGTCTGTTTTTCCTGGTTTCATTCTGAACTTTTAGCAGTGCTGCCGGTGCAGAAACGACTTCGGCCATTATGACGTCGCAGGTTCTCGGCGTCGTGGCATATCCGAAAACCTTGAAGAAAGCAAGAGAAGAGATTGATTCGGTGGTTGGAAGGGACAGGATGCCGGCCTTTGACGACTTCGATCATCTGCCGTACGTAAGGGCGATGGCGAAGGAGGTGTTGAGGTGGCGGCCTGTCGTGCGTCTTCCCTTCCTCTTTCCGTTTCTACGATGTTCATCTCGACTCTTTGCCCACTCACAGGCTCCTCTTGGTTCTCCACACCGCTTGACCAAAGACGACACCTACGAAGGCCACTTCATCCCTGCCAATACCATCCTCATCTCGAATATCTGGTCGATCAACCGCAACCCGCTCGTCTTCGGCCCCGACGCACATGAGTTCAACCCCTCACGTTTCATCACCAAAGACCCGAGGACCGGCGAGACGATGCTCGTTCCAGCTCCATACGACACGAAAGACGAGCACCACGTCGCGTTTGGGTTCAGGCGGAGGATCTGCGTGGGACCATGTCGGGAATGATAGTCGATGTGGGCGATGAATATTTTCAGAAACGACTGATTGATCCGGATGGGTATGTCGATGAGGGTATCGTCATGTAAGTCCTCCTTTTTCCATTATTTTTATTGCTCCCTGCCGTTGCCTTATCGCTTCAAGCTCGCCTCTTAGCCCTTTTCTTTTTCTTTTTCGTTATGGATACCGGGCTTTACCTCTTGGTCGGGCCTTATATCTCGACGATTAGCTGACAACTATTTCACTAGTCGTCCGCCAACTCTCGAGTCTCCGGGTTAAATTCTGCCCCCGCTTGCCCGATGTTCCTGAGGTCATCGACAGGACGCTCGAAGAATTCGAGTACCAAAAGTGAACCTCATCTTCGTCTCGGGCCTCGTTGCGCAATGGAGATAGAAAATTATATATCCATTCAAATGGATATGCCATATATAATAACTTGTGAAAATTGATGTAAGTTCGACTCCCTCTTGCGTGATATCGCCCTACAGAAGCCGAAATTGTAAATATTGAGATTTCTTCGCCGTGGCATTCAGGTATGTCAGGAGCATCATGAAGTGGTTCATTTGGGCCATTCGAGATGTCTCCGACCCCTCGTCAACTACATCCAGTCATGAGTTGGCAAGAAAGTCGCGAACCGCCAGTGGCACCAACTCACTGTAGTCTTTGAATTTTGACTGCTACCAGTCAGAATCTGGAATATTCATCCTTGCTTGCGGTGGTGTGAGTGACGCCAATTGCACGAAGTTCGGTGAACTGCCAGGCGCGCTCTTCCAATACTGTCAAGTGCAATCATCAGGTTCGACAACTGTTCATGTGGAGATACCGACGACCGACATTGTTTAGCCTCTTCAGCTATCGCGTTGTCCTAAATAAGCAGCTGCAGGAAATGAAGTGCCTGTTAACACGGATGGGGCTGAGAAGCTTAGAAAAGGACATACACAATGAAAGAGAATAAGGGGAGCAGAAGATCAGCATATCTGTTCTCCTCCTGGACTGGATTTCCTACCCACTGCGGTGGGAAAGGTTACGAGGCTATCAGAAAGAGGGTCAAAGCCTGATTCACAAATTCACATACTTCCTGGAGACAAATGAGGAGGATCCCGTGGCCAGATGAAATGTCTGCTAGCAATCTGCAGGTTCACGTACTCTCTGGAGACCGACAAAGAGGGTAGGATGGTATGATCAGTCGAGAGGTCTACCAGTGCTCGACAAATTCACATACGAGCTAGAGACCGACAAAGAGGGTGGGAGGGGATGATCAGTCGCGAGGTCTATGTCCTGTCCACAAGTCCACGCATGAGCTGCCATTTAAAGAGGATATCTGGTGTTGTCAGATGGGATCTCTGCAAGCAAAACTGACCACATACAATCTGTAGACACAGGAAATGGATGGAGTGGCATAATCAGAAAAGATGTCTTCAGTCAATCATTCAAGTAGTGCAGACATACACTCTCTACAAGCACGAGACGGATGTTTCTGAACTCCGTCACACTGGTATCTTGCACAGGCGGGGACCGAAGCTGGATTGTCCTAGCGTCGGAACTAAAGTGTCTCTCACATCGCCGGCTGTGATCCCCCACGCTTATAAGTAGAAAAAGGAGTAACCAATTAATCTCACCACTGCAGCCACCCGTCGTCTGGCATCACACCAAGGTCTGTTTTGTAACAGCGTGGACACATATTCCTCTGGCACCGAGCACCCTCTTGGTCGAGCACCGTCTTCTTCACAATCATGCTCATAACAATCACCGTGCCCTTCTTTACGACTGAATGCCAGTTACCAGACTGAACTAACGACCTGCCATCCGTGGTTGAAATGCTGTAGTCGCGAAACAAGACATGGCGTTCACCGTATTTCCCCTTGAAGTATGTTGTTAGCGTCTCGTGTAGTCTCTATCTTTATCTGTTAGTACACGTACGGAAAATGACAAGATACGCCCCTCCTTCGAGAAGCAGCACCCCCATAAAAGCGGAAGGCACTCCCCAAATGGATTGACCAGTGTCACCAAGTTTGCATCACCGTACCCAACAGATTGAGGCAGCCGCTTCTCTAGGGCCAAGAACCTTTCAGTGATTGATGCAAAGTTCTGCCTTGTTTTGTCCGCATAGAAAACACCAACGCCGCTGAGATCGCAAGAGCGGTATCAGCATGGCAAACATGGAGGTGGAGGAGACCTACATCATTAGCCCGCTCAATAACAGCGCAATGTTCTGACGATGTTGGGAAAGTTTCTGTCTGAAAGTCGCAACTTTGTCAGCCTTCAAGAGGCCCCAACCGATTTGGCGCCAAGAATTAGCGCCCTTGCTACCTCCGCCGAGAGCCTTCTGGTACGACTTGATGCTGTGCAGAAATTTCTTCAACAGTTCAAGACACCGTGTTGTTTCTGCTTCGATATACTGGGCGAGACGTCCACTAGGGGGAGTGACAGTAATGGCGAAGTCGACGGCTCTCAGGGCGTCTTCGAATGAATGGACCTCCCCGATCAAACACTGGTACTCGTATGATGACCCTGTGCTGTCTTTGAGGGCCTGGTAGATCAAGTGAGCAATGTTGGCGGCAGCAACGATGTCGCCGAACGAGGCTGGGACAAAAGGAAGCATCGCAAAAAGATGGGGGAAATACACACGCCGAAGGCTTAAATACGATAGGACGTATGTAAAGCACGAGGCATAGGGTACACTGCCGACTGTCAAATTTCGAACTCCACACATTCCCATGCACTGCAGTTGGACTGATTGGGCAAAGCTGTACTTACTGGTGTGCTTGCTCTAAAAGCGAATAGTCGTCGTAAAATGCCCCACGCCCTCCAAGATAGTAGGTGACGTCGTTATCTGCTCCCTTGGAGGCTCGCAATCGAAATATACTTTGTTGGACCCTGCAAGAGTCCACTCCGGGATCTCGGCAATGTCGGACATGAAGGGGAATTTCACTGAAGCGTCGGAGGAGGGCTGAAGCGGCTGGCAATCAACCGCCTCGATATTAGGCCCTTGAAAGCCTTTGAAGCAAAAAGAAAACGGGAAGAGGAGGAGGTAGGGAGATGGGGACAAACAGAAATGAAGGAGATATGTGATACTCACATCATTACATCCCCATTTAAAATCAATGGCCTGCTTCCCAGCATCCTTGAGTATTCATATCCGTCGTCCACACCAGCATCGCGATATCGATGAGCGAGCCCACAGCCCGGCCCGCGCGGACTCTTCGCCCGAAGAACGCATTGTCCTTGGCTTCGGACGGAGCTGCTGGCACGGGCAATGTCTCTCCCGTCTTCCGGTCCTCGATGATGAAGCGCGAAACATTGAATTTGGGTGCGTCGGGCCGAAGACTTTTATCCACGGAAAAAGTCCCAACAGGCAACGCGGCCTTCCGTCAGTCTTGCCAAGAACTGATTGATCTCCATAATTAATGAATTAATGGATGGAAGCGATGACAGAGGTCGCGACGCATTGGATGTGGTTATTCCAATTCTTCGGAGTAGAGGGGGGGTCTCATTTCGGCTGGGCGTAAGTAAGGGAGCGATGGCTTTTGGAAGGCTCGTAAGATACACGGGGCATATGTCGCCGGCTGGAAACAATGAATAAGTTATGTTGATCGCAAAGACACGGAAATGGGGCACACAGACCGTTTTCCACAGTGAAACCCATGAAAACATTCCTATTCGTTCTCTCCAAAGCCACGAATATAGCTAGTGTGGTCCGAATTTCTTGTTGAGGATTCTTGCAGCTTCCCTGAGTGAATCGACGGCAATGATGGGCTAGCTAGCAAATTCGAGGTCCACGAGGTCACCTGCACCGGTTGAAGATGGGAATTTGAGCGAGATTGGAGATAATCATACCGAAGGAGGAGAGAATAGCACAGATCTTCGAGACGTGAACGACGGCTATCCAGTTGTTAACACCGCTGTACGCCTGTAACGTCAACGCCAATGGGTTCTGGAACCGGATTAAGCCACCTTTCCACCCCATATCTATCGTCGGCGACACGGAAAGAAGGGAGAAAACCATCCCTAGCAGGCGTGTAGAATGAGAAACAGCACCCATTGAGGTTTAAGTTAACAAAGAGCGAATGGATGTGCATACACCCCTGACATGATCGTGTTTAGGACATCCCTTCTCATAATGCGCGACTGGATTCCAACAGGCCCATGCGACATCACCTATAAACAAGAACAAAGAAGAGGAGAATCAGAGACCGACAAGACCCAGGTGCTACCGCCGACGTGCGCAATGCAGATGTACAAAAGTGGAGAGGGCACGATTGATGTACTGGCTTTCCTCCTCCTCTTGTGTTCGACTGGGAAGGGTTTTAGAAGAGCGTTCTGGGTCGAATGGTGACATGGAGAGGACTCGGAGTTATGGTCACTAGGGTATATCGGACATAGCCAGACGGAAGTTGGCGAGAGAATCGCCAATTTGTACGAGGGTGAAGTGTCGGCAACCTGAGGATCCGAGTGCCTTGTAGAAAAGGAAACCGAGATTGAGAACGCGGAGAGGAGACAAGCTTCCCACTTTGTCACAATGATGAATTGCACCACGCAAGTCGCCCATCGCCCTGGAAAGACGAGAGGAGGACAATTCAAACGAAGGCGTAGAGGGCTTCTCGGCATGTCATGGTAGTTCAAGTTCGTTCCATGGCGGAGAGATGGGAAAGGTGAAGATCGATAACCAGGAGGGCATATGATGGAGAGACCTAAAATTTGACGACAGAGAACCAGAGAAAGACCGCGAGGGTAGATGGAACAGAAGGGATGGAGACGATGCAGACAAGCACAGGGTGAGGTGGACGATCATTGGGAATGCAATATCAGGAGAGATCCAGGTGGTCGGACGGATGCTGAAAGAGAGATCCTGAAAGATATGCATAAGGTTATGAAGAAAACTAGACCTGCAAGCACCACTGTCTCTCGTCCAACGTCTAGCCACCACTGTTCTGCTGCCGGCGTTCCTGATTTGACGATACAGTATCACCAAAGTACGACTTATAAGCGTGAGGCAGAGGGCAAGGAGGATACAACGGGGCATTTAGAGTGTTGCTCGCTCAGTATCGTTGTCAGAGGATGAGTGGAAAGATACAGTGATGACCGGTGCCGGTGAAGCCCAATGAGACGACGAGAGTCCGAGATCCGAGATCACCTGATGTGAGATAAGATAAGACAAATCTCCATATCCAAACCTGGCAAAACAGTCTTTGTCCTTTGACCACCACGACCTTTCCCAACCCTCTCTTGACTCAGCCCCACACTGCAGAAAGTCGTTACATTTTATTGAGCCGCCCTAGTATACCCCAGAATATACCGTCTCAAGTTGGCCTACATGACCGCCCCCGAGTCGGTCAGATGAACCGCCTAATGTCGGCTCAATGAGCCGTAAATGGCACCCTTTTTACAGCTTCCTGAGCCACTTTTTGAGGCCTTTAGGACTGCTATGAAGGCGGTCTCATTGCCTGCCTTTAAAGTCTGGCAGGTGAGTGTTTTCTCAGAAGCTAGCCGATGTACTGATCTGAGTGGGCCACCAAACGCGCCGCTTTCGAACACAGCTTAAATGTGGGTGTTGAATGCCCTGCTATAGGGCTACAGTGACAGGGCGTGCAATTCCTGCGCTATTGTACATTGGTCCATTTAAATGCCTCACCCATGTAGCAAAATCCCCATCCTTCAAAGACAGCTATAAACGACGAATCCGAAGAAAGGAAATGTCTGTACACAGGAAATCAAGACCAGTACAGGTTCATGAAACCCAGTACGTACATCAATTGGCGTTGCAATCCATTTGAGTCTTGGTAGCTGGAAGTTGGCATCGTCATTTGAGGGTCAATGCCACTTGGAAGTAACACACCTTGAGTCTCTGGTACAAACTGGGACTATGTCAGCTACCTCCCAATCCCAAAAAAGTTGTGATGTACGTACCGTGTTTTTCCTGGCGAAAACTGGGTGATGCGACAATGTCTTCCCCTTTTTTTTCCCCTACAGTGGACGATTAATATGATATAACATCCATGAACACCACATACTCGAATCTTCTTCAGCACACAAATGTTGATATCCTCGAAAGCCTCTTCATTGTCATCGAGGTCGTTGAATTCTTCCCCATATCCTTGACTCGCCACACGGACAACATCCGCGTCGTGTTCGCTCTTGCTGGTATCCTCTGCGATGAGGGCATTCGCGACATACGGAACTACGAAATTCTGCAGGATGTGCATGAAATCCCACTTGATTTCGGGTAATTTCTGCCACTGCTCGCGCGCCGATGCCGTTAGATTCGTATTCTCGAGGTTTCGAGTGACCACAGATCTGACGCATTCCTCTATCGACCCCTTGAGACTTCTCTTGATAGGGAAAAAGCCAATGATGCAATTCCCAATAATGCTTGCACCCTTGGCCCCATAACTAAAGAGAATCAGAACATGATGACATTAATCATGATAGACGTACTAGCCGGTGTGGGCATATTGGCCGAGATCGCGGAATACGTCCATGACCAACATCTTGCCCCACTTCAACGCTGTCAAGTTAGTCTCGAAAGCGTACTCAACCCACCTCTTCCACTGGATGGACACTTCGAAAACGATATTGTTGCTGCAAAGACCCTCCACTTGCTTGTGTAGTTTGAAGATATGTCCTGGGAGCTTCTCAAAGTCAATTATTAGAGGCCAACTGTGATCGTGCGCATCCTGCAAAAGGCATGGGCGTTCAGTGTCCTTGACCAATTGGGTGTGAATCTCAAACACCGCCTTGAGTTTCAGTGTGGTGTGGCGCTCTGGGCCCAAGCTTTCGTAATAGTCGATCATGGCCTGCAGCGCTGAGCTTGGCTCCTCGGGGAACTCGAGCTCGCAGTCACTGTCGTGTGGGCACTGGGTCATCTTCTGTAATTTCGGTTAGAACGTAATAATGAGGAAAAAGGGGGACTTGACCGTTTTCTTTTTCAGGCATTCAGGCTCTTCATTTTCGCTGTTATTACACTTCCGCTGCCAGAGAAAAGGTGTTTCGTTAGCATTTGAACACTTGTTCAAAAACCTTTTACCTTTTCATGTCCTTGATCAGACTATTTTGCCAATGGTATCAGAAATGCGATAAGAAGAAACAATATGACATACCCCTATGTCTTTTGCGGCCTTGGCTGTAGCCCTTGTGGTCCTTGTCATAGTTTCGCTGATTTCCTTCTTCTTCTTGTTCTCCTTTCCCTTTGATTTGCATTTCCCACCTGCTGTGTCAGTAGTGGAGACCTCTGAAGAGATTGTCGGGCCTGCCTCCGCGATGTTCTCTGGCACCTCTGACAAAGCATGCGTTGACGTCGCAGTCGCCACAGTGCTCTTCTTCGCCTTTGTGGTCATCTTCTCGCCTTCACTCTCCTTGAGCAGGATGTCCTCTTTGGGTTTCTGCTTCGTCGTCTTCTGCTTCATCGTCTTCTGCTTCGTTTGCTTGCTGCCAGCTGCCTTCTCCTCCGCAGCTTGCTGCTTTGCCAACTTGTCTGCAGGTCTGTCGTCAGTCGGCTTGCCTTTCGTTCACTCTGCTGCAGCTGCGTTGCTCTTCTGGCTTTGTGTTGTTATCTCCTTGACAGAGTTCTTTGCCGGGATACTACTGGATGCAGGCTGAGTCGAAGCCTTTGCCATGGGCCAGGGCTCAGGTCGTGTCGCTGTCCTTGTTACCTCAGTCATTATCTTGGAAGTATTTGACACCGTCGCCGCTGTGGGCCAGAGCTCAGGTCGTGTCGCCATCTTTGTTGCCTCAGTAATCTTCTTGGAAGTATTTGACGCCATCGCCTGCTTGGATTGTTGCACTGGTTTTGTAACTGCTGATATTTTCTCTTTGGCGACTCCTTTCTGGGGGGGCGCAGTTTTTCCCTCTTGACAGCGAATCTGGGAAAAACACATTGTTAGGAGAGTGGCAGCAGATAGAAAGGAGGTTCCTTGACTGTATCTTCATCATCGGTTGATGAATCCTCCTCGCTGTTGCTGTCGCTGCTGTCACCGTTATCATTGCTGTTGTTGCTGTTGTCACTGCTGCTGCTGCTGCTGTCCTTGTCCTCATCACTCGTTTTCTTCTTTTGGCCATGCCGTTCATCTGAGGGTTTCTGACCTGACCCAGAGGAAGTCTAGAAAAGAGGAAATAGAGGACATTATACTTTGATTACCACATAAACATACCTTGTCCACTGCAACACCTTCTGACCTTTCAGTGCCTTCCTTTGAGGAACCCTTCAATACAGCCTTCTCCTGCCTCTGGCGCTTCGCAAGTGCACACTGCTCCATGACAAGCTTGTTTGATTGTTTTATGGCCTTGTGGGCCACCTCAAGATACTCATGGCCGCCATGGGTGATGTCGCTTATGTAATAGTTATGGTCACATTGCTTAGGTCACGTCTCTTTGTTTACCTTTTCTTGTCTTCTATGCGCCTTCTCCGTACATATGAATGGCTCCTCCAAAAACCTCATGCCATGAGGTCGACACACCCACACAAAACAGGATCATTGGATATGCCCAGGCCTCAGGAAACGTGGCGGCAGCGGGCCGGAATGAGAATGTCAATGAGCGCACAGCGCAACACATATACAAACATTATCTGGAGACCGGGGAAACATCCAACAAACCTCGGCCAGGTCCGTCTGAGAAGCTATCTGACTACGGCAAATGGCAGGTCATCCATGAAGTCATCAAGCATCAACAGATGCCATTGACGGAGATCGCAAACCAACTTGCCACCCGTGTGTCACCTTTGACTGTTTGACGTGTCATCGCTGCACAGGGATTTCACCGGAGGGTTGCGCGCAAGGTGCCATACCTCTCACCTCTTCATAAACGAAAATGACTCAATTGGGCATGCATCCATCAATCTTTCCGGCCCTCCAACTGGCGATGCACTATGTTTTCTGACGAGTGCTATGTTTACCTTGGGGATAATCGCGGCCGGATTTATGTTACATGGCACCCAGATGAAGAACTATTGGAGGAATGTTTAGTCCCAGCCTTCAAGCAGTCAACAGTACACGTCATGGTCTGGGGCTGCATTGTCAAGGATCAGAAAGGGCCTTTGGTGGTGTTGGAGTACCCAGGGGGAAAGGGAGGAGGTATGAATTCTAAACACTACCAAGAACAGGTCCTTGAGCCTGTTCTTCTTCCTCTTTATTATCTCTTGGATCAAGAGAGAGGGAATATGAGGTTTCAGCAGGATGGCACTCCTAGCCACAGCAGCAAGGTCACGAAGAGGTGGTTTGCCCAACATGGCATCCCACTCTTCCCACATCCTCCTTCTTCGCCCGACCTAAACCCCATTGAACCCTTATGGCACATTCTTAAATCAACACTCAGACATCTTCCACACCCGCCTACAACCGTCAATGGGCTGCGTGCTGCCGTTTTGCGTGCGTGGGAGGAGATTCCCGTGGAGGTCATCAATCATCAAATTGGAAACATGGATCATCGTGTTAAGGCTGTCCTAGCTGCAAGAGGTGGACATACGAGATTCTAATTTTATATTCATGGACTCCATATATCTAAGTAGCTACTGTTAAATTTTTGTGGCATAATCTGCAGAAGGAGGGGCAGTACTTGAGGTTTCAAAGTTGTCACTCAATCTGCCCGGTGTGACAAATTCATGTGACCGACATCACCCATGGCGGCCATGAGTAAATCACCTCTTTGGGCATTGCTTTGTTGTCTTTTCTCCACTTCTTCCTTGACGTTTGGAGATTTTGTTTTGTGATGGCCTTGATCGGCCACACGTTCTTGTAGTAGCTGAAGACAGGATAAGCGTCAATCAACTGTGAAATTGTTAGTATGCAACTCTGAAACGGAATAAAGCAATACATTTTGCTTCATCTCTGTATATGTATCCCACTTCTGTTCCTTCCAAGTCTTCATCGGATCCAGATACTTTCTGTTGAAGGCAGTGACAACCCCCTGAGGCCGTAAGACTGCATATATGTGTCAGATATTCACATATATACAAGCAGGAATACAATATACGCACCCTAATCGCCTTAAACTCTGGGTGTTCCTTGTCATCACATACGCCCATGCTGACCTCTAAGCAGAACCCTTTCCCTTTGCCACGCCCCACTTTGCCCATCAGTTCAGGAAGTGGTTTTCCCAACTCGTCCTTCTTCTGGATTTTATCTAGGGTTCAATTAAATGTGATATCGTCAGAATTGATCAAGGAAAAAGTACCTATTTGATGTCCTTGATTGGCAATGACACGGTTCTGATCAGCAATTCGAGCCAACAGTTGCTCATTTTGCTCTTGAAGTTCTTTCTTTGAAAGCTTATCACAGGGCTTTTCTGTAGCTCGAGCAGGCATTTGAGGCATCGATTGGAGTAGATAGGGTAATCAGGTGGGCGGTGCTAAACAAAGAAGGAAAAGTGGCGCAAGATCGAATGACGCGTCTCATCATATGACAAGAGATTTATTCCCATCCGATACAAGTTGTACAAATCCGCGCTAGCGACCGTATATGCAGGTTAAACGTCTAGTAGAAACAACAGGATCTTGTTCGCCTCTGGCAGGACGAGTGCCACACTTCTGGATCGTGCAAGTCTCCTGATCCACTGAGCGAACTTTGAATATATTCCCTGCCATAGGACCTGCGGTGACAGTAACAAAATCGCCCACCATATCAGGAACCACAGGTTGGAGGTTGGCGATGTCGATGGTGTGTTCCCCCCAGAGCTGCAGGTCCTTGACACGGACTTGATCACCAGACACAGAAACCAATTCAAGCACCTTCCAGTTCACTGTATTCTTCTCTAGGAGCTTCACACAAACACCTTCGAAACGAGAGTCCTTTAGCCACAACATGTCGCGGTCTTCCATAGGGATAGATGCTGCAGGTACCATGGAAGGTAGACCTAGAGATGAAAGGGCCAGAGTATGAGAGGACGGTTCCCAAGCAGGAGTCTTTGATGGCATGTATTGAGAAGTGGTGGGCATTGGCGTTTTCGAGGTGCTTGCTCCGCTTGGTGTACCTGGATTTTCAGACTCGAAAAAAGGCTCGGCAACAGATAGAGCAACAGCTGGCCCAGAGGAGTTTCAAGACCCGAGAATCTCATTAGTGACCTCATCATTTTCCCTAGAGTGAGACATTAGTAAATCTCATAAACCAATTTGAATGATCCTACAGAAAAGCCAAATTCCTGAACAGAATATGGAGGCGCTTGTGTGTAGTATCCATTTCTATGACAGCCACATCTTGTATCATTGTCTCCTTGATAAGTCCCTTGGTGCCTTTCAAAGGGTGCTTGCATACCACTATGACGCACTTTCCTTTGTGAACTTTGTTGAAATCTTTTTGGCCAGGAAAATTACGTGGTTGGCGTCTAGGAACACGTAGTACTGTTGAGTGAGGAGCACTGTAAAAAACCACTTCTTGTACTATGACATTGATCTAGAATTCGTTAGAAATAGAAATGGCAGACGAAGTGGAACTTGCCTCCTTTTCTGGGGCGATATGCACAACAAGTGTATCGGCATACACAAACATCACCCAACCTTTGAACCCCTTGTGTTCACCATGGGTGACAGCGACATGATCTCCAACCTTGAAATGAGGGCAGACCTCTAGGATACTGAAGGGCGCCACAATGTTCTGAGAAGGAAGGCGCAGCAAGACCTCTTCGTTGCCAACCTCCACTACCTCTCCCAACACACCCGCGAATTCACCTCTGATGACTTTGACTTGATCTTGGAGCTGGAGACGTTTCTGCAAAACCTGACTGAGGGTTTTTAAACGCGTCGCTTCTTCAAGCAACAAAGTATCACAAAATAACAGAAATTCATGGTAACAAGGGAGGATTTCAGAGGTGATTATGAGGTCAATTTCGTCGATTGGTACCAGTAAGATGCCCTCTTGCGTGTAGGTGCACTTTTTGAAAATATACCGCTTCTGCACCTCCAAAGCTTTGACTTTGCAAACACCAAAAGTTTTGACCATGTCGTCATGCGGTGCAAGTGCCTGTGGTGGGCAGGATTCTTTTCCAATCCGAGGAATCAATCCAACCAAAAATCCTTCCTTCCTCTTGACAAGCAGGCCTGTATCCCCCTTGTATTTCTTCCATTTAGCACGTTTATCATGGACCTGAACCCATTTCTGATCCTCAGGCCTGTAGGGGCTAGCCCAAGTCAGCATTTTGGTTTGTTCGTCCATTGAGACAGGGCGGATATTACTGGGGTCAAGTTCTGAAATTTGGAGGGCAAGCACATGGGCTTGATCCATGCTGTCGACCTCGGCGTAGATGCGGCCAGGAATAGTGCTTTGTGCAGTTATTGAACGAGCAAGAATCTGAGGGAGGGTAGGGTGCGTTGCTAGGGACAAAACCTTGAACACAGTGCTTTCTTCATGGCCGACCTAAGTAGTGTCAGTAGAGAGACAAAAATTAACAACGTAGGCAACACACTAGACAGCCAATCTCAAATATTCTGTCGTTCCCCTCAAGCCTGACCTCTTCGTTGCTTCGGAGTCTCTCTGTCACTGACGAACTTCGCCCGCGTTCCCTGGCTCTCCCTAGCAGTTCTTCCCAGGCGTCTTCTCCAGCATCGCCTATGGATTGCATGAGGCGCGAGTGTTGCGTAACTGCGATATAAGACTGCACGTTGTCATAGATATCTTCTACCAGGAAACCATGTATTAGTACATTGTTGTGCATGAAAATTAGAATCTTCATACCTTCTCGTTCATGTTCATCCTCATCTTCCGTCTCACCTCGTACGTATTCCTCCTTGTCATCGGTAATGCCTGCCTCGATGTCTATGAACATGGCCTGTATTCACCGATACTATCAACACTCCATACTATATTCAATAAAACACTCAGAGTACCGGATTCAGGTGTCTCCTTTTCTTCAGAGGAGCACCTCCTTCAGACGTATCTTGCCTTGGCGTTTTGAAGGTGATAATTCTTCAATTCTACAACTATCTCCTCCGTATGTACATGAACAATGGTGACGGTTGAGAAAAGAAGTTGAACTTCGCGAACGCCAGTTGTGCTTTGCGACTTTAGGGTAGGCTGCGCAGAGCACCGCCTTCCTAAACGAGAGTGTTTGGCTGGGGATTGTTTGTTCCTATAGGCAACCAAACAAATTCTGATTTTTCCCCAGAATTTGTTTGGTTGCCTATAGGAACAAACAATCCCCAGCCAAACATCCAAGTTGGGCTGCCTCACCCACATCACCTGATAGCACAAACGGCAAACGGCCTACCCTAAACTTGCCTACCACAACAGGGCCCAATTCATCGAAGCAACTTTTGCTTCCGCTCATTCACCATCCCTCCCCTGGGTATACACCTTTTCCCCATAGATTATGTAGATTCTTGTAGACAAGTAAATTAGATACCCAGTAATTACGTTCGACCTGCAAAATTTAGACATCACGAATGCATTCACAAACAAGACAAGGGCAAAAAAAAACAGTTGTCAGAAGTGAGTACGGTGTGCCAGAGGACATGGCAACTCTAAAGCTCACCGTCCGTGTTAGTGAGCAGCCCAAGGAGATCCTTGACACCGTCTGTTCGTGAAACGTCGCCTTTCTTGAAGGGTTTTCCATGGTATATGAAGATCGTGACACAGTCGGATGATTTGGGCATGGGATTGGTGAAGGGAGGGCATTTCAAGGTGCGTTTACTAGATGTTCAAGCGGGTTTACAGTGACACAGAACACTATTGTACAGAAACTATGGGAGCATGTCCGAAAGCTAGACAAGGAACTCTCAGAACATGCTGAACAAGATGTGATTTCCATTTGAGTCGCTCTCGATGAGCTTGATGTGCGCAATGCCCGAGCCACCAACAAGGCCACCCTGGCAAAAATCTTTTTGATGTTCAACGGTTATCGGCTTCTCGATGTGCACGCTCTTGTCAATGGAGCACTGCTCATACAAAGACCTTTGTCAGTATCTCTTATCCCAGAGGAAGGAAATACGCCCTTGAATAAGGTGGATACCAACCGTCTCCAAGCTTGCATTACACAAAATTCAAACATTTGCCTTAGCTTTGGGATAAGATAAGCGATTGGACGGCTGTGCTCTCTAATGCACATGAAAATATGAAGGTCTTCGCCTTGAGGAACCAAAGAATTACTTCCAACAAACCCAATATTCACCTTCGCCATCTCGAAGTCTTGTTTCGTATAGGACAAATTTCTCAAACGTCCAAGGTACTCACAAATGTTCAATTGGCTATCACCCACCTCTCCTACATCTGTGACACCAACTCAAATTTGGATGGCCCGCATACACGAATGAGCGACAGACTGCCCAATTTCCTGAACACTCTGGGTCAACTCAATCAACTCGCTCAAAATTTGCCCAATCAGGCGAAATCCCTGGAATATATTTGCGGTCTTATTGCCAAATACCGACTCCAGGGTCTCAAATTGCCACTAGAGATAGCACTGTCTATTTCTCCGTTGTTCTTGTTGTTGAGTCTCCTGCTCGCGGACAAACAAATCAATCCAGGGGACTTATTGATTGTATGTTCTACCATCACTACTATGTTCTCAATGACTAACTGGATAGCATAGGAGTCATTCGAGATCCTCATGAAACCAGAACTTCTTTTACGAGTTGAACTGAAGATATGGAAGTTCATTTTTTCTGTTCTTTGAGGCGAAACACAATTGCTTTCTGGTCTCCTTGATCTTTCAAGATGTTGCCTTGGACAGAGATCAAGGCTGCTGATGATAGCGTTAGATCCTGGTTCTCCATGCATCTGTCATCCTCTTCCTTTTCATTGTTTTCTTGGCTTACACTCGCGTCAACAGAGTCACAGACGACCCCCCAATCACAGCCGACTGCATCACTTCTGGACAAAGATCCTATGCAAGCCGAGGAAGATACACAGGCCGAAGAAGATACAGCTCATCAGGCTCATCAGGGCCTCCGCAATGCAGACCAGGAGCCTCCTAAAGGAAAAGATATGGAATCGAAGCACATCGGACAGCGACAAAATGACTGCACACCTGAATCTGAATCCGAGTCTGAGACTGAACTCGAGAGCGTGACAGCGAATTCCAGTCAAAAATGCAAGCGGTTACCAAAAGATGAAGGGGATGGAGAGGAGGACGAGGAGGAGAAAGAGCAGGATTCAGAGAAAGGCAATGAGAGCGATGGTGAGCGGTGATTGGATGAAGAAGACGCAGAATGGGAGATGGAGAAAGACGGAGACAGGAACAAGGAGCCATTTAGCCAGGGTGAAAGTAACGATGACGTGAAGGAGAAGGCAGCCATGTAAGTTAGAAAAATATAGAAATACAAGGCAGTTTCCTAACTATGAATTTAAGCCCTGGAGGGCAATATGCTACCTTCCACTTTGGGAAGGCTCTCCTAATAAGAGGGAGGGGTTGCCGGGTGCCTGGCATCTGCAAGGGTGATGAGGAGGGGGTAAATAAATTAGTAAGCATCCATTTCCGGGGTGGGCAGGTGGTGGGAGGTGCAGGAGGGGGTGGAATGGGGGCAGGATAGGCCAAGCAGGACCCCGGGGCACTGCAGAGAACTGGTCATGTGACCTGTTTGCTCTGCAGCCTCAACCAGGGCCGTTTTTTGTGAAAAAAGTGCCCAGGGCCAATGTGATAGTATGCTACTGTATGTCATAAAAAAATCAGGAGAATCTGGGATGTGGAATGTTGCGAAACGGCGCGTATGAGGTGTCACCTTAACTTGGCGCGCGTTTATTTTTAGCACAAGCTGCTAAATTGGGATCTGGCATCAAAATAGCCATTGCTGGCACATTTTGGACTCGTTTGGCTTCCCCCCGGGTGGAAATTGATGGGAGCGATGACGCGATAATTTTGAGGGAATTCATAGCTACCTGTAGACACCCAGAACATGTGAATACAGCCATTTTTGGCGATGTTATGGCCTAAACTGTGCTTCTATACACAAAAATGCGAAAATGCGCACCTAATGCTCTGCCTCTCATGTGTCCCTGCCTCATAAAAACTAGCCAATAATTTAGTATGCCACTAGAGCTTCAGAACGAGCCAATAATAATGGACTTGCATGCATTATTGGTTATGCAATGGGCCTTTCGATGTTTATGTGCTAAAAAACCGAAAAATCGCACTCAAATCTCTATGCCACACATGTATCTATCCTTCCAAAACATTATGCGTTCAGATAGAGGTTGATAAAGGCTACAAAACGCGCTATTCAGCGTCTCCACGTGTTCATTTGTTCCAAAGATATACCTACAACACTCCTCATCCCTCAATATCACAAAAAGCGAACTTCTGTATCTCCCCCAATTATTATCCAAGACCTGTAGAACTTTTCAGTCAGTCTCACCCAGTGCCCTACTCACTATTTACAATCACATAGCATGGTATAGACCCCCTTTTAATATAATATAAGCACCCCTTCCTCCTCCCCCTGAAAAGCCAGAAATGCGCCCTCCATTTCCCATTCCCCAGGCTATTTATGCGAGCTGTAACATATATGCATATTAATAGTAGCCATATAGGTACCTCCATGCAAGAATACAGGAGTTAATAATGCCAAATGCACTTGCAGTGGCCAATTTCGAGTTTTCTACCTATAACCTGTAGAAATCCGAACCTAGATAGACAAATAGGAAAGGGTCTCAGTCACCGAATACTTGGACTGTATTAAACATGGCTCTGTACCTAGATAGACAAATAGGAAAGGGTCTATGGTACTGTCAGCTAAAGTAAGTTATGAATGAAGATATAAGTGGCTCACCTCAGTCACCGAATACTTGGACTGAGGTGAGACCATCTATACTACCAGTGTATATATACATTCTAAACAGACAAAGAGAGGTAGGTGTTGCAAATGAGAGAAAGAGGAGGGGGCGCGACACATACGCGTCGTGATAAAGGGGGCAATGGTCCTTTGACCGATGGTGCGGTGTGATCTAAACAGTCAAGCTCGTAACACTCCTCCTCACCGCAGAAACGGTCTCCTCCTCACGTGGAATCGTGGTGTCAAACCAGACCGAGGAAAGAGCGCAGGCGAATGAATTGTTGGGTAGGTAACGCTTTTGTGAAGATGTCGGCGAGGTTGTCTTTAGTATTGATATATGCCAAGGAAATGTCGTGTGTCTGAACATGTTCCCGTAGGTAGTGATAGCGAATGTCGAAGTGTTTGGTGCGGTTGTGATGGAGAGGGTCCTCGGAAATGATGATAGCGGCATTGTTATCACAGAGGATAGTTGTGGGTTGGTTGGGTGCAAAGTTGACTTCGGAGAGAAGGTTGCGTAGGAACATGGCTTCCTTCGATGCGTCGAAGGCTGCCATATATTCTGCTTGGCACGTAGAAGTGGCAATCGTGGATTGTTTCTTGGAGGTCCACGAAATTACCCCGGACCCGAGTGTGAACCCATATCCACCGACGCTTCGACGAGTGTCTAAGCAGTTTGCCCAATCGGAATCGGTGAAGCCGAGGAGTCGAATGGAGCCTTTTCCTCCGAGGCGAAGAGCTAGAGATCGTGTTCCCTTAAGGTACCTTACTACGCGTGTAGCAGCGGTCCAGTGTGCGTACGTGTAGCAGTTGAGGAATTGAGACAATTGTTGGACAGCGTATGATATGTCGGGGCGAGTGCCAATGGCTAGGTAGATGAGACATCCTACTAAGGAGCGGTAGGGAAGTTTGTTGAGCTGAGTGCGTTCGGTCGGTGTGATGTCTTTGGGGTCAGGGCGACAGAGTTTTAGGCCAGGGTCCATGGGGGTCGAGATTGGATGGGCGTCGGATTGACCGAACTGCGAGACGACCTTGTCAATTAGTGCAGTCTGAGAGAGACACACCGTATTGTCCTGAAGATTTCAGTTGATCGCAATCCCGACACAGAACTTTACTGGTCTGCTCGAAATTTCCCATAAGCCCTGCATTTGTATCTCGAAGGTATCGTTTTCGCATGTGGAGTCTGCGATAGAAAGGAAATCGTCAACGTGGACGGTGGCAATTATCGTACCGGTGTCGGTCTTTCGATAGTAAATGCACGGCTCGCTCGTTAGCTTGGTGAAGCCCCACCCGATCATCGCGTCGTTCATTGTCTGGTTCCAAATGCGCCCACTTTGCTTCATACCGTATAGCCCTCGCTGCAATTTCCAGACCCAATCCTTCTTCTCTGGCTCCTCAAATCCTTCTGGTTGTTCCATATATTGGGTTTCATCATCAGGGAGAAGGCCGTACAAGAAGGCAGTTTTTACGTCAATCTGTCTAGCATCCCAATTGAGGCTGGCG